CCGGATGTATATGTATAATTTTTAATTCGACATTCTCGTCCGGACGATAGCTTCAACTACCCATGACATAAGCAAAAAACAAATTCACGCTAGCCATCGGCTGCGAGAAGGGACTGTAGGCATCCAGCTAGACCAGAATGCCTTTAATGAGAACTCCCTTTGCTAAACGCATTTAACTAAAAGCCGCTCACCTCATATTTGACGATAGCGGGGAAATTAAACACTCCCATCCTGCGAAACGCTCCGCATCCGGACCGGGTGAGACAATATTATGATGGCATTTTGAATTTTTGATTCTTTCGTACAGGGTATCGAGCAGGATGATCGAAGAATAATTACACCAACTCATGGGGACTTGAAGCTCTTGTCCGGACGAATATGTTCCTTTTTTAATAAAACATTTACGTCCCGATAGAAGCTTTAAGTCCGTACCATTTGTCCGCTTTATTCCACTGCCTCCACAAACAGAGATTTCCGATTGCAGCCTTACTCGACAGTATCCAAACTTCCCTTGCCGATAGTCGACGCAGTAGCTTCCGGACCCTTCTGTTGACGCAGCTTCTCCTCGAACTTCGCAAACTCCTTCAGTGCAACTTCCTCCTCCTCGTCCAGGACTTGCTCGACACCTGTGACTTCTGCACAACAAATTAGCAATGCTTTTCTGTATAGAGCGGAGCAGATAACTCGTGCCGGTTATGTAATGCATAAGCATGCTTTCAATGCCGTTCTTAAGTGTTACTGTTGATGAGTCACACGTCCGGCATGCACCCCTTAGCTTCAGCATGACAATCCCGTCCTGGAAACCCCTGAATTCGATGTCGCCACCATCCTCTTGAATTGCCGGCCTGATCCTCGTCTCCAGCAGCTCTTTAATCATACCGACTACTTCATCGTCATCCTCGTTGTACGCGAGGCTATCCTCTTCGCTCTCCTGGCCCTCGCCAGCTGCACTGCCCTGCGCAACGTTCACCATAGGTTGACCAGAAGCGACGTACTCGCTGATCAAACTGAACACCTCAGGCTTGATGTGCGCCCATGGCACGGAGCTGTCTTTGGAAACGGTGATGTAGTTGGAGCCAAAGAAGACGGAGGTGATGCCGTCGACGTTGAACAGCTTAGCGGCTAGTGGCGATGGGTGCGGCGGCGCGAGGGTAGAGCGCGGGTTCATGTACTCGAGGAAGGCCGAGGGAAAGCCCTCAGGTAGGACATTGGTGTTGGGGTTGAACTTGAGGGCCTGACAGTTGGGTTCGTTAGCCGCGCTGTCGCGTGCGCTTTTCGCACAAGTCTTCCAACAAAAGATTGCAGCCAAATGCGTCGCTTTATGAGGCATGGTTGATAGGGGAAATTAACCATGCACTTACGTCGGGGTTGGGGGTGTTTTCGGTCTGGATGAACATTGTCCGCCGGCTCTCAACGGCTCCGAATCGTGTCGCATTGCGAGCGGACATCGAGGAAGAGTTCGGTCTGTGGCGGACAGACATGAATGAAGTAGATGAGGTTGTCTGGTGAAGGCATCTCGGAGCAGGTTTCGTTGTGGCAAGCCTCTGCGCTGTCCGCGAGCTGGTCGACGGTCTGGCTCTGACAAGGGCGCGGATGGCCGTTCTGGGTACGGCGGAGGTCGGCATGATTAAGATAATTGACGCGGGACTGATTTGAATTCTTCCAGATTTAGGAAAGGTGCGTCGAAAGGCAATAGTGTTGAAGTGAAGGCGTTGTCAGGGTGTTTGCCGAAATGTTGAAGATGACGTCCGAGCTAGTCGATCGCCGCGGCGATTTCTCAGCAATTTCGCACGTGATTACTTCCTCTCCTCCGAAATTCGGACCGTTCTGATTGGCTGAGCGATGCACCACTCAGCTCGCTTTCTACGTAGTAAACCTTGCTTCAGAGTTAGGATGTGTTTCTGGGGCTTTGCTGTTGATTGTTGGTAAGCACTTGCGTCGACAAAAAACTGTCCATCCAAATTAGAAAAGAGGTGTGCTGTTAAGCAATCTACACACTCGATTTGATGCGACTCCTTGGTATTGAAAGATGAAAAGAAATAGAAAAGGTAGAATGTTTTGTTCTCCAATAATTATTTCCTACAAAAATAAGTCAGAGCAAAGGCACAGGCGTGATTCCCGGAGTTTTGAAAATCTCTCCAGCTTCATGAAATGCCACAAAAAGCAGCTTTTCGACCAAGAGACTGTTGCTAAAGTCCATGCCTCGATTCGCACCACTTCATCGTACAAAACGTATGCTGCGGCTTGATGAGAGACATAAGAATCTTCGTATTTGACCTTGGAGGACACCCACGGGCTACCCAGTTTTCAAACTGCTTTCAATACATCACGCCATCAACAGGAAGGAATGCACATTCTCTTACTGGCCGCGGTATCCCCATTTCAGTATCCCGGAGCTATCCAGCATTTTTCGGAAGGCACCGGGTAAGGCCATCAGAATACGAGTAAGGGATATCTGCGTGCATATTCAGCACCTTGCGCGTGGCATCCTAAGCTACGGTGCCCGTCATAGTCCTAGAGAAGATGTTTCCAGAAGCATTCTAGACCATCGGTAGCTTTCCTGAGAGCAGCAATCAAACCAGGTACCCTCTCGGGATTACGCGCGCCCCTGGCTGCAGCCGCCCACCTGTCAAAAGAAGCAATCCGAGCGACAAGGGGCAAGCGTATTGATTCAGACATGGGATTGGAAAAAATGAGTAGAAGACGGAGGTCATTGATCGAATGTTTCAGCCTCGCCACCAAAGGATGAAAGGCTACCAGCCACTCTCAGACCTCCACCAGGGAATTCTGCCTTACCTAGTATTGTGAGATAGATCATCGTCTACTTCTCGAAGAGCGGGTAAGATCCATACATTTTCTAGTCGTTTTCGTGCCACCCCTGCTTCCGCGCTCAACGTTTTGCGGGGGATAATCCAGCCAGTTGATTGGTGTGCCAGTGGAGCTTAAATCTCACGTGCAGCTCAGGAGAACATATGGCCGCTCTTAGCGGGCCAAACGGCAGTAATTCCCGTGTGGGGAACGCATGACGGAAAGAGTACGAGCACTTCGCTGGTCGGAGAGGCCGTGGATCTGGCATTGCATCTCGGCCATAGTGCGCGCCCCATTGCTGACCATTCCGATGGATGCGAAACCGAGAGCTAGTCGCACAGAGCATTATTGGTGATGTGCTGGATGAATTGCTCTCCCAACGACGACCAGCATCTTCACCTTTTGTCTTTAATCCTGAGGTACGTGAAGTCGAACCGTTGTGCAGAACAATGGCGTACATTAGGGGCGTTTTTGGCGTCTAGAGTGGCACTAAAGTGTCGGAATGGGCGGGCGATCGATCTGTAGAACGCATGTATGTTGACTCAGGCGGCGTTGGTCTGCGGTCAAGACAAGAGGTGTTGGGGGCGCCAGGCCCAAGCGATTTGTCTTGGTACACTGGGGTTACAAATCTTGTCTCTGGCTCGGGCGTCGTCATGAACAAAAAGACAAGGCGATCTCGGAGGCGCGGTTACGAGCGCACGGCTAAGAGGATAATTATGATGCTGAACATGGCCAGAGGAGGAATTTGGTGCAGCGGTACAAGTCAGCTGCCAGGCCACAGGCTGCGGGCAGCGGTCTAGTGCGGCTAAGCCGTGCGACGAGGCAGTAACTGCGGTGCCCCCCGACGCAGGTTCTATGTGTCCAGGCAGCAAAGGCAGACCCTAAGAGAATCCAGGCGACCGGTGCTCGGAGACGTGCAGGTGGTGGCGATGGTTCCCAATTGGTCTGGCGGAACCCCGGCCGCCAGCGTGATGGTGCATTCAGGCCTGCAAATCTCACGCAACCTGCTAGGCGGCAGGGCGGAAGCGGAGAAGGCAACTGGCGCGGAGAAGACGCGGAGGAAGGCCTAACGCGGCGTGCGGCGTAGCGGTGGCCAACTGCAAGGCTGACATGACGGCGAATTGTGGCAGAAGGGTAGGAGATGCGAAAAGGTTGTCTCCACGATGTGCCTCCCCACTGCAGTCGTCCCCATCGCGGGGAGCCCTAGGCCCGGGTTTTGCGCTCGGCTTACAGCTGCACTACCGAGCCCAACTTACCGCCTACCGGGACTTCAAGCCATCTCCAGCGACCGACCTCAGAGCTCAAGGCGAGGCATTTCACCCCTGCTCACGTCTCGGCGGCTGTCATAGCCAGCCCTGCCCATGACGAAAGAGGCGCCTCGGCTGACTGCCAAGGGCAAGCCACGCCGCAAGCCATAACGGCCGATCGCTTGTCGCTGCAACCTCCACGCTCTGGAATGCCGCGTGTTTCGCGCGACTGTGCAACCCGCTGCCACGAGGCTACCTACATCGGTGCTGGCCGGCATGGGAGCGCGAAGACATTCGCTGCCTGCTCACCGGCGTCGCGCCGCGCAGCCGGAGGCGCGGAAATCTGTATCGCAGCCGGCATTGGCTTCTCCATGTCTCACCCCCGCTGACTCAAGTGTGGAGAAGCGGACTTGGCCGCTTGCTGGGGAGGAGTGGGAGCAACCGTGCGCACCAGGCAAACCAAACACCGCAGAGACCTGCCAATCACCTCGAATTGACCCAGGATTATCATGAGCCCCCACTGCTACCGTGCAGTCTGCCTTGGCGTCGCCCGCTGCTGGAAGGATTCGTGCTGTGTGCCGCCTGGGCGCGGCGGGAGTCAGCAGACGAGCAGGGCATCGAGACGCTGGGCATCGCGCCCCGGCTGATGTCATTGCTGGCCGCGCCGACGGGCAGCCGTCTCCTTAGCCGTCGACTGGCAGTTGGAGGACGCGGCAGATGGAGTGTGGGTGGGCATGGCTTGGGCGATCGTCTGTCGTTCGCGGATAATTGGTGCTAGGTTCGTCGCGGGGAAGCAGCGCGAACCCCGGCTCTTGTTGACAGCTCCAGCCTGAGCCCGTCAGCGGCGCCTGCCGCAGTAAGCCGTCTTCTCCGCCATGCATTGCTTGAGGTTCTTATTGCAACGCTTCCCCGCGGCGCGGCGTCTTGTCCCCGTCTTTTGCTCATCCTCCCGGCACCGCGTTCCGAGTCTCCCTTCTATGTCCATTCTCGCCTGATCCACACATCTCCTGGCTAGTTGTGGACAACGCTGCCTGTGACAACATAACGGTAAGCTGCTTCCTCACCTTCTGCGCGCTGCCGATGTCGCTATAACTGATGGTAGCAGTTGTCGGCAGATACTGAATATATTTCCACAGGACGATCAAGCCTTTCTAACATACCCACTGGGTGTCTTGCCCGCCAAGCTTGCCCAGAATGGCTTCTGGAGACAAGCGCTCTTCCGAAGGCGGGGCTGCCTTTAAGGAAGACGCCGAGCGCAGCCATAGCAGGGGCACTCGCAATGCCTCCGTGGTCAGTAGTACTCACATGTCGGCCGCGGACCGTGCTCGCCGCAATGCCAATGCCAAACTCGCCAACCCTCTGTCTGGATACAGCCGTCCCCAGCTGGAGAAGATGGGACGAGACTATGCACTACAACATGCGCTAGCCGAACCCGAGGATATCCGCGCTTTCGAAATCGGCGCCATCCTCGCTCAGGACCCATTGGCCTACGATCGCCTGGGCACCGATACCCTGTCAGAGGAGGAAGTTTCAACGCTGTACCATGAATTCACCAACAAATGGTCCCAGCCCAAGACTCTGTATATTGTCATTGTCTGCTGTTCCGTTTGCGCTGCAGTCCAGGGAATGGGTGCGTAATTCAAGCTGTCGAGCGGCTGGTTGACTGACCTTTTGTAGACGAGACTGTCGTCAATGGTGCACAACTCTTCTACACCCCGCAATTCGGCATTGCCAACGAAGGCGAGGCGCGCTCAACTTGGTTGACTGGTCTCTGCAACTCGGCCCCGTATCTTTGCTGCGCTTTCATCGGCTGCTGGTTGACTGTTCCGTACAACAACTGGTTCGGTCGTCGTGGCACCATCTTCATCACTTGCCTGTTCTCTGCGATTGCCTGTTTCTGGCAGGGCTTTGTCAACACCTGGTGGCACATGTTCGTAGCGCGTTTCATGCTCGGCTTCGGTATTGGCCCTAAATCCGCAACGGTCCCAATCTACGCGGCAGAATGCACCCCTCCGGCAATCCGTGGTGCGCTGGTCATGCAATGGCAAATGGTTTGTGGACACCAAAAGTTCTGGGGATATTCTGGTGCTAACAACCGTGCAGTGGACCGCGTTCGGTATCATGCTTGGTTACGTTGCTGATCTTGCGCTGTACAAAGTCCCGGATACTGCTGCCGCCACCGGATTGAACTGGCGTTTGATGATGGCGTCCGCCATGCTGCCAGCTGTCGTCGTCTGCTGCTTCGTCTTCTTATGTCCTGAGTCGCCTCGTTGGTATCTCAGCAAGGGCCGCCACGCTGCTGCCTACCACGCCATGTGTCAACTGCGCTACAACAAGGTCCAGGCGGCTCGCGATCTGTTCTATATGGCTGAGCTTCTGAAGGCTGAAGAGGGCATGAAGATTGGCCAGAGCAAGATCATGGAAATCATCACCGTGCCCCGCAACAGACGTGCGATGATTGCTTCGGAGATTGTCATGTTCATGCAGCAGGTGGGATTCCTCTCGCCCAAAGTACCAAAGGACAAGCTAACGTTCAAAAGTTTTGTGGAGTCAACGTCATCGCTTATTACTCGTCCTCGATTTTCCGCGACAGCGGTTTCTCCTCGATATCTGCCCTTGCTGCGTCCCTCGGATTCGGCATTATCAACTTTTTATTCGCTATTCCCGCCATCTATACCATCGATACTTTTGGGCGCCGTAACCTTCTGCTCACGACGTTCCCGCTCATGGCGATCTTCCTGCTCTTCACGGGCATGTGCTTCTTCATCTCCAACGAAGGCTCGGCTCTTAGGGTTCGTGTCGGCCTGATTGCTCTGGGCATCTATCTGTTCGGTATCGTCTACTCTCCCGGTGAGGGTCCGGTACCATTCACATACTCTGCTGAAGCATACCCGCTATATGTGCGTGCGTACGGAATGTCGCTTGCGACGGCTACCACGTGGTTTTTCAACTTCGTGCTCTCGATCACGTGGCCTTCGCTTCAAGCTGCATTCACACCTCAGGGTGCGTTTGGCTGGTACGCTGCATGGAACGTCGTCGGCTTCTTCCTCGTCCTCTTCTTCTTGCCCGAGACCAAGGGAAAAACCCTCGAAGAACTTGACCAAGTCTTCAGTGTACCCACCAGCAAGCATGCTGCCTACGGCCTTCGTCAGATTCCGTACTTTATCAACCGCTACATCTTCAGACGTAAGGTTGAGCCTGAGATTCTGTACCAGGTAGAGGATGTTCACGCTGGTGGCGACCCCGAGGACCTCGCTGGTGACACGGATTCGGGATCCAAGGTTAGAGAGACCCGTAACGGCACATAGACACTGTGCCAAGGTCTGAATTGCGGGCCTGGAGAAGATTTGGAAGCGCCTAATGGGAGGTGGACGTAGAACGATCTCTCCAATGTGGTCTTCTTGTTGATGCTGTGGTCGATATTCTCTCTTTCAACGATTTGATACCCCCTGCTCGGCATGGCGACGACCTGATCGGGTTGCGATGTGGAGAGGGCCTTTTTTTTTTTCTCCCCTTGGTTTGAGCCGTGGTTGGGCATGTGAATACCTTATTTTCAATGAGTCTTTGAGTCAAGCCTCTGCAACCGTCTTTGTGCAAAAGCTTCCCATGTTCCTCCCCGGCTAGTGCTGGTATTTGAATGATTGCCCCCGGGATTACCGCCCGTGGGAGGTTCGAACACCGAAACCCAAAGTTTCTACTGGCTGACAATTGCACCGGGTCCCTGGTATTGGTTGCTTCTGCGAGGTTCTGCCATTGCAACCGCAAGGCTGTTGGGGAGCCCTAAAAATTAGCCTTTATTAAACTACTGTTTCAATTACGTTGCCTGACCATGTGAAAGATAAATTTAGACTAATGTGACGAGGTGAGGGCGCGGAGAGCGGTCTCGATCGAGGGATTTGCGTTCGACGAGCCAATCGCGGAGGTGGACGTGGTGATGAAAACGGAGGTGCGGGCTGAAACGCAGCGGAAGAGCTCAGCTATACTTGCGCACGCTGACGAGGGCCGTTTGCGCGGGCGATCCGCTAGAGGATCGGAGCCTGGATTGCCCCACGATGGCGCCAGGCTGACGGTCTCACCGCCCGCGCTAGCGTTGTTTACGCCCAATGCCGGCGCTGCTCCAGAACCCATTCAACATCCTCCTCCCTCCAGCACCCTAGGCTCCACAACTGCTGTAGCCCTTCCGTCACCTGCACCGCGTCCACGGCACGGAAACAGCTCCCGCTTATTGCGTCGTGCCCTGCGCCCCCATCGCTGGTAGAGCAGCCGCCCCTCCATTCTCGCTGCCTTATGGGCCCGGCTATGGTAACCTTTGGAATGCTAACACAACCCCAGTCCACAGATCGTTCCTCGTCGACCTGCATATAGTCGCCCTTCTGCGCCCGCCGCGCGAGCAATATGACTTCTTTCATTACCACAATGTTCGTCCATACCCCTTCTGCGTCACAGCCATCGTTCCACTACAGCCCGTTCCCCTCATTTCCTTCCGATCCGAAACCCCTTCCTCCCGTTTTCACCCTCCCTCCATCCGCTCCCGAGCCGTGCATTCGTGCCGATCAGCAAGATTGCGTGTTTGGGGGGCCCGACAGCGGTGTGCCGGTGCGCCGCGATGCCGGCTGCTGGGACGACGCATATTGGCACCGGGCGCACCTGGGATATACCCCGCCCACACTGCCTGGCGGTGTTTACACCAGCCCGCTACAAAAGGCGTTTGGCGAGGCTCTCCACAGCAACCTTCATGCGCTGCTCGCACCCCAAGCTCCCGCTCCGCCCAACTTGTGCTCGATCTCACAGCCGGCGCCCGACATGCAATCTCGCATCCCTATGCGCGCACATGAAAATCCCTCGCCTCGCCGGGGGGTTCTCAAGAGCTCACGCACCCCGAAGCGGCCGCACACGCACGTTGTAAATCAGTTCGGGAATGGCGATGCTAATACTCTCTTCCTCGGTAGCAGTAACAACAGGGCTGGCCGTACTGGCAATGGCGGTACAGCCGCATTCCGCGCGAAGGAGGGTAAGCGCGGCACCAGCTCATGGCAGCTGAAGCAGTTCGCCGAGGCAACCCTGGGAAGTGGCAGTCTGCGCAAGGCGGTACAGCTGCCGGAGGGAGAGGATTTGGGCGAGTGGCTGGCGGTGAATGGTATGTTGCTCAATACCCGGGGAAGGGCTTGCGGCAATACTTGGTGTGGAGCGAGACTGATTGTTGCGCACCATGCAGTTGTCGATTTCTACAACCAGATCAACCTGATCTATGGCGCCATAACGGAGTTCTGCTCGCCGCAGAGCTGTCCTGAGATGAAGGCTACCGACGAGTACGCCCGAGCGACCCTTGATTCCACTGACTTCGCTGACGTTTTTGTTTTTAGGTTCGAGTACCTCTGGCAAGACTCTGAGAACTACAAGAAGCCGACCAAGATGCCCGCCCCAGAATACATTGAACACCTGATGGCCTGGGTCCAGTCCAACATCGATAACGAGTCCATGTTCCCCTCTCGCATTGGCGTCGCCTTCCCCAAGCAGTTCCCGGCCTTGATCCGTCAGCTTTTCAAGCGCCTCTACCGCGTCTACGCGCACATCTACTGCCACCACTACCCTGTCATCATCGCTCTCGGTCTCGAGCCGCATCTCAACACCAGCTTCAAGCACTACGTCCTGTTCGTCGACGAGCATCAGCTGAACCAGGGAAGCAGGGATTACTGGGGACCTTTGGGCGACCTCGTTGAGAGCATGCTCAAGAGCGATTGAGCAGGAGCGGCGTAACTTAACGTTTCGGCAAATTTCCCGACTTCAACTAGGCATATTGGCAGGGCCTTTTCTGGGCGTTTTCGGGCGTGTGAACATGGCAGGTTAAGGGCAATGGCGGATGCATACTACCGGACATGGTTTAGTACTTGGTTGGCTTTTGGTCTTTCTTGCAGCTTTTCCGTTCTTGTGTGCATACTTAATTTACATGGTGGGCTTTCGGCGATGGGTTTGGGTTAAATTCACAGGCGCTTGAGATGCCATCTGCTGGACTTGAAAATACTCCAGGCTGTAATGTGACCACTTGAGACCCACCTAAGACATGCGGGGAACCCTTGGGAATGGATGCAGAGCCATGTGTTCACACGTGTAGAGGTGCAGAAAAAAACGGAAGAAAACTCATTGGCTACGTCATCTGCCACGGCGCGACCTACTGCGTAGTGCGCGCCGAAGCTAAAGTTAGTTCACCGGCACTCCCGCAGGTGAAGCACCTCATCGCGATTTAAATCGCCATCAAATTTTAATCGGAGTCTAGCCCAGGAGCAGCGCTAGCTACACACAAAACACCACGCGATTCATGTTGATACCAGATGCAGCATGCCAGGCGCAGGCGGTCAGGAAAACACACAACACGGCGCGGAAGACCGGCCAACATGCACCCATTGGGGCCACCGGCCTTTATGACACGAATCCAAAACGCAGGAGAGAAGTCCACGGGGTGCTTTGGATCGTCTCGGCGCGCCCGCGGCGTGTACGGGTCGCGCGCGGACAACACAGCAGGGCGGGGAACGTTTGGTGGAGACTTGGAGGTCTGGAGAGCGAGTGCGCGCTCTGGGGCGCGAGCAGCGGGCACACTGCGGTGCTTGCGGGCGGAGGGGCGGGTGGGCAGTGATGCAGTGGCGGCTCTTGCGCCGAGCGCTCGGACTCCCTGCTGATCAACCGTTGTCGAGACTGTCAATCGCCCATGCTGCACATGCGAGCCCACCGCTCTCAACCATTTCGCGCGAGGCGTTTGTTGTTGGCGGGCGCGCGTCGCGCGAGAAAAAGGTGTGCGACGACAGGCTGCGCCGCCTTGTTCGCGTCTGCGGGACGCTTACCGCGCTTTGACACATGCTGGGCCGCCATTGCCCTCCCCGCGCTGGCTGGCAGCTGCTGCACGGGCGCATGCTGACAACCGGCGCTGCTCTGGTTTCTAGCTTGCTTGCGATAAGGAAGCCACCGTCATGCTAGTCCACTTCGCTACTACTGTTCCTGCATGCAACAAAAGCGTCGCCGCCGCCGCCAGCGCCGCTTGATCTTCTCTCACCCAACTCCTTCACGCTCCCAGCAGCAACCCCTCCTCCAGGCATCTTGCGCTCTGGCAGTATATTCTACTCTTGACTTCCTTCACTCTTGTCCATATCTCGCTTGCATTGCACATTTGATCAGCGCCCGCCTTCCTTGAGCTAGCTGCCTCTTGTTTCGCCTGCCAACGCTTCACCGCCCACCGCTTTCAATTGCCGCCAGTCTTTGTACTCGTAACCTCGAACACCTGCATTCTTCCCGCCCGCAACCATGGTCATCGTCGACGGACAGCAAGAGTACCTCTGCGAAGAGGAGAAGCGGTTGAAAGAGGACCGCAAACGCGAGCGCTACTGGAAGAAATGGGGCCCTTACGTTGCCGAGAGGCAATGGGCTACCGGTAAGCATCCATTGAGCCCCCCTTCGTACTCGAATTTCAGCTAATTTACCGCAGTTCGTGAGGACTACTCGTGAGTTTGTTCCCACGGAAGATTGACACCGCTCGCTGACCTCAGGCCCACAGCCACGATGGAGATGCATGGAGCCGTGAGTGTGAACCTAATTCACCTCAATTGACTTCTGCTGACGTTGTTTTCAAGATTTTTCCCATGACATGTCTCGCTCCCGCGCGTACCGGTGGGGTGAAGACGGTATCGCCGGTGTTTCCGACACCCACGGTCTTCAGAACATTACCTTTGCTTTCTGGAACGAAAAGGAGTATGTTACCAAGATGAAACAGAGTCTGAACTGTGCTGATTAGTGTAGTGATTTTCTCAAGGAGAGACTCTTCGGCCTTTCGAACCCTCAGGGAAACCACGGCGAGTCGATTAAAGAGGCGCACTTTCACCTGGACAACACACCCACTGTAGGCACCCGCATACAGGCCCGAGAAGCGACAGAAAGCTAATTGCTCGCAGCACTCTTACATGAAGTTCCTTTACAAGTATCCCCAGCGCCGATTCCCATACGACGACCTCATCAAGGAGAATGCGAGACGCACTAGACTCGATCGCGAATACAACATCGTAGACACTGGTATTTTCGATGATGACAGATACTGGGATATCTTCATTGAAACGGCGAAAGAAGCCGATGATGAGGAAGAGCTTCTCTTCCGAATCACGGCCTACAACCGTGGTCCCGAGGCGGCACCACTCCACATTGTGCCCCATGTCTTCTTCAGGAACACCTGGGCGTGGGGACGTGAGACGCCAGACAAGAAGCCGAGCATCCGGAAGGTTGGCGGTACGACTGCTGTGTCCAGCCACCACAAGCTAGGCGAGAGATATTTCCAATTGTCGCCTTCTCCAGGGTACGGTGCAGAGAGCGAAGACGTCCAGCCAAAGCTCCTTTTCACCGACAACGACACCAATTTCAAGAAGCTTTGGGGAACGGAGAACAAGACCGCCTACACCAAAGATGGTATCCATGAGCGCATCTGCGACGACAATGTGGCCGCTGTTAATCCCGAGAACGTTGGAACCAAGGCAGCTGCCTGGTTTGCTTTTGACGAAGGTGACGGAGTCCCACCTGGAGAGTGCGCTGTCGTCCGCTTCAGACTTTCCCGGAGAAATGACGGTTACCTTGATGAGGAGCTTTTTGATGACATCATCGAGCAACGCAGAATTGAAGCCGATGAGTTCTACTACCGCATCAACCCCTTGCCAATGGCGGAGGATCTTCGCAATATCCAGCGCCAGGCTTTCTCGGGCATGATGTGGTGCAAGCAGTACTACCACTTCATCTGGGACGAGTGGGCGAACGGTGACCCCGGAATGCCCCCTCCTCCGGCGAGTAGGAAGGAGATCCGCAACAAGCACTGGAAACACATGTACCTGGACGACATCCTGTCGATGCCCGATTCATGGGAATATCCCTTCTTCGCTGCATGGGATAGCGCTTTCCACTGCATTCCGCTGGCCATGATTGATCCCGACTTCGCAAAGAAACAGATGGATCTGTTCACACGCGAGTGGTACATGCATCCGAACGGTCAGCTGCCTGCCTACGAATGGAATTTCGGTGACGTCAACCCTCCAGTCCACGCTTGGGCTACGTTCAGGACGTTCAAGATTGAGCGGAAGATGTACGGGCGCGAGGATCTTGACTTCCTCGAGCGTGTGTTCCAAAAGCTGCTTCTCAACTTCACCTGGTGGGTGAACCGCAAAGACTTTGATGGCAAGAACATCTTCGAGGGCGGCTTCCTGGGCCTGGACAACATTGGACTTTTCAACCGCTCCGATCCTTTGCCCACAGGGGGTGTCTTGGAGCAAGCTGACAGTACTGGATGGATGGCTTTCTACTGTCTGTGCATGCTCAACATCTCCTTGGAGCTGGCCAAGCATCGCCGCATTTACGAGGATATTGCATCGAAGTTTTTCGAGCATTTTATTCTCATCAGCGATGCTATGCAGTACCGTTCCGATGGCGAGGAGAAGTCCCTTTGGAACGACGAGGATGGCTTCTACTATGATGCCATTTCCTGGGGTGGCCCCTGGAGCAAACAGATGCCCGTCCGCTCCCTGGTCGGTCTGATTCCGCTCTACGCGACCTTGACTTTGGAACCTGAGGTCATTGACAAGCTTCCTTCATTCAAGAAGCGTCTCAATTGGTTCATCGATAACCGTTCCGACTTGGCTGATCGCAATTTAGCCAGCATGAGCCGCCGTGGAAAGGGTGACAGGATCCTTCTCTCGCTGGTTAGCGAAGATCGCTTGAGGAAGATCCTGAAGAGGATGCTTGACGAAGACGAGTTCTTCGCAGACCATGGAATTCGATCCTTGTCAAAGTACCATCAGGAGCACCCTGTCTCCATGGATGTGAACGGACAAACTTTCGCGGTCGCCTATCTTCCGGGCGATTCGGATAGCGGTTTGTTCGGAGGCAATAGCAATTGGCGCGGTCCTATTTGGATTGCTGTGAACTTCCTACTTGTGGAGTCTCTTCTGAGATTCTACATGTTCTACGGCAACACCTTCAAGATTGAGTGCCCGACCGGTTCTGGCGACGAAATGCATCTGGGCCATGTTGCCGAGGAAATCCAGCACAGGCTGCAACACCTCTTTGCGCGCGGGGATGACGGACGTCGCGCCATCAACGCTGGAAACGAGATGCTTGACTACGATCCCAATTGGAAGGATTACATGTGGTTCCATGAATTCTTCGATGGAGACACTGGCAGAGGTCTTGGCGCCAGCCACCAATGCGGTTGGACCGGATTGATTGCGAAGATGATCCACGACACTGGCATCCGCTGCCGTCTGCCCCAGACGCCGCGCACTCCGTCCACAACTGCTGCGCACTACTTCGACGATGTCTTTACCAAGTACAAGATCCGTAAGCCTAGCTTCCGCAGGTCTTCAACCAGCCGATCCATTGGCGGCCGCCCTGATTGGGTTGATGTTGAACCCCCGAAGAGCCCCAAGGCGGCGAACGGCCATGCCGTGGACGACGAAGAAAGTGAGCAGCCAGTCAAGCCTTTCAAGAGAGTCAACTCGGTTGGCTATTTTGACGAAGAGGCGCTTGAGAAGAAGAGGCAGATTGACGAGCAGGTGGCGGAGTACGTGTCCAACAAACTCTCACGGATGAGGAGTCACGACTCTGCAGGTGAAGGTGTAGGTGACGAGCTTGAGACTCAGCTGGATGGTGCCTGAGCGATGTAAAAGGGCAAAGCTTGCGGCCTCAGTTATGGGCGTTTGGTGACATTATTAGTAGACTGGCGGCTCAAATTGGGGTTCCTACAGCAGCAGTGGTTTCGCTGTATGCTTAAAATGGGGCGCGTTACCTAGACACCTAGAATCCCTACCTAATAGATACTGGAGTAAGTTGTATTATACAAAATGCACAACTGCTGCTGTGCCTTCCCTCGTCCGTGTTCATGTTGTGCGTGAAGTCCGAGCGCTTTGAGGCCACGACTTTGGCCCGGCGCGTCAACAGTGATGATCTCACCGAACGCGACCGCCGCGGACGATAGTGCATCTTTCCCCTCTACAAACCGGCCGTGTCCACGTTCAACCCCGCGCACACGCTTAAGTTATTTCGCGCGACCTTCCTCTGGCACCAGGACTTGTACTAGGACGAGCTTCACTCTTGCTCAGCTCACAAATTGAAGAGCATTCACCGCATCCCCGAGCTCCGAAATACAATACGCGCGACGCGTCTCCAAAGCGACCCCAAGAAACCTCCGAGCACGCCACCTCTCCTTCCACAGCACACAATACATAGATCGAATATTTGCGCATGCCGCTATTGCCGACCTACCGACCTACCGACCAGCCTGCCACCTCTCTACCTCCCTGCCTAACTTCGGCGCAAGATTCACGAAGTCCTTGGCAACACTGAGCAGATAACACAAAACGACGGGACACGCAGCTTAAGAGTTTCACCCTCTCTCGCTCCCGCAAATACTACGGACAGATACACAGGCTGTGCGGTGCGTGCAACGTATACCAAAAGAAACGAGCAAATGCCGCCGAAAACCAGTCGCGACCAAGGACGCGGTCGGCCGAGCAAATCGTCGAATGTTGTCGCTTCTTCCTCCCAGAATACTGCACAAACTGGAGCTGGGGCTGGCGCTAAGGGCCGGAATGGCAGGGCTGGCCGTCCTGCGGCAGCAGCTTCACGGAGAAAGAATGACGGTGTGCGTGCAGAGCAGGTCGCTTCTGCTGGGCGGAAGAGGAAAGCCGGAGATGTTGAGGAGGATGCTGAAAAGGAGGTAGAAGGGGATGAGGAAGATAGTGAAGGGGATGAGGATGATTGGGAGGAAGAAGAAGCGCTTGAGGGGGATAATGACGACGACGAGGAAGATGAGCTGCTGGAGATGCCGTCAGCGGCGTCGGTGGTTGCAGACAAAAGAAAGAAGGCCAGCAAGCGGAGCAGCGATGTCGCGGCGGATAGTGGGGCGAAGAGGAAGAAGAGGCGTAGCGACGCAGAGGCGGAATCGAGTACTACAGCAGGAACGGCGAGGAAACGGGTAAAAGAAGACAAGGGGAAGGAGGAAAGAGTGGTGGCGAAGACAACGACGACCACAACATCAAGCAAGGCCAAGTTTTCACATTTGAAGCCGCGCACCCGCCACATCTCACAGTCGGTCATCACGACCAAGTGGCGGCCTGCGCCATTGCCAGCGCAGGCTGCCGCGCGCGCATTGTTCATCACGGCTAAGCGACCGGTCGTCGAAGCGGCGGGAAGGAGGGCGTCGACCGCCTCATCTTCGAAGGCTGGTGTTATGGGCGATGGGTACGATAAGAGGAAGACGGAGGCGGAAACGACGCTAGCGAGCGTTCTGAGGAAGCTGGATAAGCAGATTCCGAGAATCCCCTTCCCGCCGATGAAGGCGGCGGGCGCGGCGTCGGCGGCGGAAGTGTTCGAGCTGGAGAAGGTGGTCGAGAGGAACAGGATGCTGGAGGCGCAGCTCACTCCGGCGATTCATGCGGTCAAGCTGCTGAAAGAAGCGGTGGTAAAAGAAGAAGAGGTGTTGGAGAAGGAGAGAGAGGGGCTAGAAGTGCTCGAGCAGAGAGCGAGGGAGGCGGAGAGGAGGGGGAGGGAGAGGGGAAAGAGGGGTTTACATCCGGCGTTGAAGAGGTTTAGGGCGGGGAATGAGCAGAGTGGCAGTGACAGTGGTGGTAAAGAGGACGGCGCGGATGAGATAAGGCTGGTTACTGCTGGGGAACGCAGGCCTTTGGTCGACGAAGAGGAGATGGTGTTGGACAGCGATGAGCAGCTGGCACCAGTGTGGGGGCAGCTGCGTGGTCATCTGGAGTCAATGCAAGCGAATTTGGAGCAGGTTGAAGGATTGGACGAGGCGATGAACGGTGCGAGGGTTGCTTTGGACGGAGTCTTGAGGGGAAGGTTGGGCGGAGAGCGATATGAAGGGCTGATGTCATCTTCTTAGACATGGCCATGGTGGAGGTAGTGAGTTTTGTTGCACTGCACGATTATGATACCCTTATTTGTTTACCGTTGAGGTGTGGAAACCACCATAGTGTATTATAGCAGCTATTCTAAACTGGATGCTTTCCTTTCGATCGATGTGCGGAAGAGCCTACGATCAACGATAGCAGTGTGTTCGAGGGGTTGGATACTGCAGCGACCCGTGCTCTACGATCAAGACCTTGCTTTTTCTACAAGGGGGCATGCAGGCTGCTGCACGCGATCTGGAATTATTGGTTCCGGAGGACGATCAGACTCGAGATGGCTCGTGGCCTAGTCGGATAACAACGATTCGCACTATCGTTTCGCGCACAGATGGGGTTGCAAGACAAGCTTTTTCTCCTAGAACCAACCCCCTTGCTTCAACCATCTTCACGGGTCCAGATTGATCGGCAGCGTATCGTCAAGATGCGCAGCGATCATGGTCCCGAAAGGGAACGAGGACCGCGTTTTCCCACCGCGTGGTCCTCGCGCCTCACGTCTTGACGATAACGGTCCTCGTAAAGCTTAGTCTCACATGGCGGGCAGATGCTGCGGGTCTCAGAGGAGGCAGCGTGAGATCCAATACTTACCGACGGGCCCAATGGCTCGGTGCCTGGAACGTGCTCCGCTTTTTATTTTTCCTCTCGCATTGGCACAGCATGCGCATGCGTCTAAGAAAAGTACATGCACGTACATAATATCGGTATTGCCAAGGCGCATCTGTGTATATTGAACACAACTACCGCATCGGGCAGTCGGGCGCAACGCACGTTTTCCTTCACCCACGACCGCGGCGGCGCCAGTAAGCTCGCGCCGAGTGCGGAGTAAGTACGTAGTGTCGTCTGGACGAGCGCTGCTCTGTAATCTCGCTGCTCCTTCCTGTCACCCGCTTCCTGAATTTCCCGCAACCCCTCAGTCGGGGAAGTTGGGGTAGAGTCAAGACAGCGCGCGTGCTCCGGAATTGGCCGGGCGGCGGAGAAGCGTGCGGGCAGGCACCCTGCGTCAGAGAGCTGGGCGCGAATACGAGTAGGTAGGCTGGTGTGCAGCGGTGGGCGAGGCAGCAACAGCTGGGACGCAGTACCAGCAGACACGGCGCAAGGTACGATGCAGGCGACGCTGGACAGGATGAAACGGCGAGCCCTAGCGGAGCGGGCCTGAGGCTGAAGGCGAGGGTTGCTGACCGCTGGGCCGTGGGTCAACGGATACTTTTTGGCTGTCACGGTTTGCTGGTCGCGGCCCCTCGGCTTTGCGCAGGGCTGGGCCGGGGATCGCCCTGCGACCGCGGGGCGGCGAAGACTGGGTCTTCCACAGTCGCGTGCGAACTTCGAGCTTTGGGGTAAGCAGCGCAGGCCAGCAGCATAACAACAACGCGCGCGCCGCCGTCCGCCCGCCGCCTGTCGCCCAGCAGGCCGCACCCACAGCCCTCAGATGTCGAGCGCACGCTCTCGATGCCTCCGCAACCTCTGACGCGCCTACCCGACGACGACGACGCGAATGCGCCTGCCCATGCGCCGTTCCGATCCGCAGTCCCCTCCGTCCCGAGCGACATAACCCCATTCGATGGTTGAGGCTACACAAGGAACCGCCGCAGAGGAATCGAATGGAGCTGCGCCCCCGGTTATGACGACGTCGAAGGATCCCCAGCAGAATGGCGACGACGCCAATGCCTCCAGACCCCCGAAGCCGGAACAGCAGCCCCAGCCGCAGGCGCCGCAGCAGAAGCAGCAGCAGAGCGCCGACAAGAAGGCTGCCGGCGATGCCAAGGATGGCGCCGGCCACAAGAGCGCGAGCCCGCCCAAGAAGCGGCGGAAGGTCAATCATGGTGCGCAGAAGACCAATCAGTCCGGCAAGAGCAAGAGGAGAGCAGACGCATGGCTAACTGGCAGCGATAGCTTGCATTTACTGCAGACGTTCGGTGAGCCGCCTCACTCCCGCCCACGCGACTGGCGTACAAGACCGGTACACGACATGCTGACCATTGCGCCTATCTCGCCGCCCACAGCACATGACATGCGATCTCGTAAGTCTGGCCCGCCTGTCTTGGGCCTGCGGGTGCACGCGCTGACAATGCGCCCTTGCTGCGGCCCTGCTATTAGGAGCGGCCATGTACCAGATGTATCAAGCGCAATATTGGCCATCTCTGCCACGATGAACCGCGTGAGCCGGCGAAGCGCCAGAAGACGGACCCGCCCAGCGGGCAGGCCCAGGACGAGGAGCAGGCGAAGAAGCTGGACCCCACGGACGCCCCTCTCGGCCCGCTCGACCAGCGTCACGGCTCGCAAGATGCAGCCCTCGGGGCCCTTGCGCCGCCTCCATTGCCGCACGCCCTCCCCAATGCTACCCCGGGCCCCATCGCCCAGCCCGCACCCGTCTCCGCGCCACACGCTTCAAACCTCGCCGGCAACTCTCAGTCATGTTCGTGATACCTCCTGCCCTGCTCTGTCCCCCCCTTCCAGTCCTGACGACAGCCTGCTAACACGAAGCTAATCGCGAAAAGTCGTGAACTACAATGACTGGAACTTTGGCGCTTCCAATACTTTCCAGGACATGCACGCCTTCCATCCCTCCTACATGTTCAACGCTTCCGAGGCATCCAACGAGTACAACTTGCTCAACGATCTGTTTAGCAACAGTCTCATGGACGACGGCGCTCTGTACAACGGCGACGAGATGAACAGCCTCTTCCCAGATCAGTCACTCACTAACACGATGAATTCATTCAACGGACAGAACTCACTGGTGTCTGGCAACCAGCAGAACAACCAGCTTCTGCCTCCGTCGCAAGCTGCGATTGGCAACGCCATCTCACGACCGACGAGCGGCTTCCCTCTCGACAAGGCGCGCGAGGCCTATTACATGACGGCTGCTGACCCTGCAGGAAACGACACGCCCGAGGAGCGCATGAACAAGCTTTTGAAAGCCAAGTTCGACGCGGGTATGCTCAAGCCCTTCAATTACATTAAGGGCTACGCGCGGCTGTACCAATACATGGAGCGCAACTTCCCACCCATCTCACGACAGAAGATTCTGCGGTGCATGGACAGGTTCAGGCCGAAGTTCAGAGAGCGCGTACAGACCTTGACCGATATCGAACTCGTCCGTGTTGAGATGTGGTTCGAGCGATGCTTGATGGAATACGACCGAGTTTTCGCCAGTATGGCTATACCTGCCTGCTGCTGGCGGAGAACCGGTGAGATTTTTCGCGGCAACAAGGAAATGGCCGAGCTGGTGAATGTGCCTATCGAGACCTTGCGCGATGTGCGTCGATCGTTGACCCCCCACGAGCGCCTCGCTAACAGCAGCACCAGGGTAAGATTTCGCTACACGAGATCGTTGAGGAAAAGTCGCTCGTCAGCTACTGGGAAAAATTCGGTGCCATCGCGTTCGACAGCTCGCAGAAGGCGATTCTGACCAGCTGCTCGCTGAAGAACCCGAACCCGGACTCGAAAGACCCGGAGATTCGGTGTTGCTTCTCCTTCACGATCCGAAGAGACGCACATAACATGTGGGTAGCACTTTGCCTGTGCTGGATAGTAAGAAACTGACACTGAATTGCTAGCCCGTCTCTGATTATTGGGAACTTCCTGCCCATAATTAATGACAGCCCGAGCTCGAGCTCGTAATCGCGTCCATATACCATGAAACCTTCCTCCGTACTTATCGATTCGAGATCACTCCTCTACTCCGAACGTACATATTCTCTTTTCTCCCTTCGTCCCCACTGCTACCTATCTTCTTTTGAGATAAGATCTTCAAGGGGTTCTCAGAACCTAGATGAAAAAAAAAATTCGGGATTAAAGGTTTTGAGGGAGCGAACTTCAGTGCCCGCTGTTTTAAGTCGATATCATCGGTTTCTTTTACTGTACGTCTCATGCGTGGCGCGTCTATTTATCTGCCAGACCGCCTGAGCAAGCACCAAGTGGATTTGACTTGGTTGAAACAAGCCTGATATGCAAGAATAGGATCGGTGTGGAAAAAAAAGGAAGGAATTCACGCTGCAGTATTTTTTTTTTGTTCAGCCTACGTTTGCTTTCAAAGCGTCGGGTGGTTTTCTCTCGTTGCTTTCATCTGATACAACTCCGATGCGCATGGAAAAGTGTCACTGTAACTGCTTTTCCTTTGCCTGTTTTGCAGTGTCGTCCTACGATGCGTTTGGCTTTGTGTTCTATTGTACTGGTGATTTCAATGCGGAAGTCGCAGGCTGATAGCGTAGCCATTGCCCCACGGCAGTGACGAGCGAGTGAAGACAAAGATAAAGCAACAGTATCTGTGAAGCGTCGTCGCTTGAAGATCGCGTTAGTATCATTGCACATACAAACTCTACTACTTCCAATACAGCAGTTTTTCCGCGAATGTGCGTGGATGAGTGTACGCGGAAGTACGTGGAGCTGTCTGCTAGCTCCCGTTCAACGCGACACCCACACCTTAACAACCACGCCGCCTACCTCACTCCCGCCCTCACCTCAAAATTCAGTCGCAGCCCTGACGCGTCACCTCCTCTGGCAGGCTGCCTGTATGTCAGCCGCGTTTCGATTTTGAGGAAATTCGCGCCAAAACTGCATCCTGTCGTCACTGCGGCTCTCATCTTCATACATACCGCCTTTCAGCGGCGCAACCCTTACACGGCAGAGTTGGCATCCACCATGATGTCACACGAAAGAAGCCGTCATGAGAGAGAAAGGAAGGTTGAGGCTCTCGTGGGTACGTCCATCATGCAAAGAATTGTTGTGCGCATTTCGCACAGTGGCTCTCTTTGCATCGTTTTCTCCCTCCGCCCCGTCGCATCGTGCGCCATGCCAGGCCGGTTTGCTACTTTCTTCGAATGATCGGTCGCAGCATGGCCATCCTTCGTCTTCTGCACTGTATTTCATCCTTAAAATCATGCCGTAAACCCCCACACCTCACCGTGCCTCTCTTGTTCCTCCGCTTTCTTTCACCTCAGACCCACATCTTGTTCTTTCCAGTCTTTTATTTGCCCTTCTCTTGGGTGCTGCGGCTAATCTGTTACTGACACGCCACATAGCCTTTGCAACGACTCTCTCCCGCCGCCTGCATCGCCACCTTTCTCCTCCCGTAGCTACAGCTGCTTCCTCCACGAGCGATGAGGAGAGCCCCGAAAGCCTCACCGACATCGTCCCCGCTCTCTCTACCCACCTTACCACCACCTTTCCGCTCGCCGTCCCCACAGCCGTTGTCTTGGCCAAGCGCGACACCCTCGACCGCCTCGCTACCGAGATATGGAACGCCGCGACGAGGCTCGGACGAGAGCGCGAACAGCATGCAGAAGGGCAAACAAGAATAGATAAGAAGGTACTGTGCAAGGTGCGGGCCTTCGCGGTGTTGGTGCTGGATGCCGCTGCGGCTTGCGATAGCTCTGGAAAAGGGAAGGGAAAGGTCGGTGATGGAAATGAGGGAACGCTGGTGGATAAAGGGGTGAGGGTATTGAAGGTCGCGTTGAAGGTGGTGAGGTCTTGTGTTGAGGTGGGTATGGTGGAGGAGGGCGGTTTACTAAGGGTGCTGGAGTGCGCGGCTGGATGGGAGGGGAGGCTGGAAGGGCTGGTGGAGGGTTTGAAGAGGGATGGAGATGCGGATGTGGGAATGGTGGATGTTGATATGATGGAGGTGGTCGGGAGACTGAGGGCGGAATATTGGATCCTGAGAATGGTTCATGTGAGTGGGGCTCCAGTCTGTAGGTTGTCGGAATCTGGCTTGCGCTGACTTTTGATTTATACAGGCATGGAAACAAGCACGCCTAGACCTCGCGGAGCATATGTTCTCGAAAAGCGGCCTCGAGCCGAACCGGCTTACGGCTGACACGGGAGATATGCTGACGGATACACTGTTCGAGATCGGCAGAGATTTGTTCAGGAAGGGCCAGTATGAGGACGCTGTGAAATGGCTTGATCGCGCTTACGACATTATTGGAGAGCAAAATGTGGAAGAGCTGGATCACGACGCCGTGGAGCTGCGATTGGCCATTCTTAACTTCCTGGTCCGCGCATGTCTCAAAGTGAACACTGCAGAGTCGCAAGACAAGGCCCGCGGTATCGTCGATTTGCTCGAGTTGGATCACGGCGACAAGATGGTCGTCCATCTCCTGAAGCTCGATGTTATTTCTGCAGATCAAGAATTGGACGTCGAGCAGTATTACAATGTGGTGGTTCGCATGATACGGTCTATCGTGCTCACCGATACAAATTTCAAAACGATCATGCACCACGCCCATATCATCAAAGGTAAAAGCCCTGAACTAGCTTGTAAAGCACTGGACAAACTGCTTCATGACAAGCTTTTCCAACATGAGAATCCTCAATGGATTGAGAAAGTTACTGTTACACAAATATGGATCCTTGCCAATTCAGGAGACGACCAACCGTCAGAATTTCTCACGGACCTGTTAAATATTGTACTGCAGAACTCGCGACCGTTCGATGCTCCAGCGACGCACGCCTCACAGACAATTCTTTGGAAGAAAATTGAGACCCTCTACAGCCATGGAAAATATGTCGAATCGGAAGCCTGGTGCGAAATTGCACTTCATCCTCTTTTCACCAAGGCTGGAGAGTCAAACAAGGCGAAGATTTCTAGAAAAGTCATTCTGTGTGCTTTATCAAGACAGGAACACAACACTGCCCGGAAGGTGTTTTTTGAGATGCCTGAGAAGGAAAGGAACAACCCGATGACTCGCTTTTTGATGTACAAAAGTGCCATTCGAGACCAGCAGCCGGAGTTCGCCGCGGAATGTCTCGACACCATAAGTAAGCAGCCGGGAAGCGATTGTACACTTCTGTACGCTTGCGTTGTAGAAGCCCAAGGATTGCGAGACCAGAAAAGCGCCATTGCTGCTCTTCAGAAAGCACTGGAGAAATACGACTATGGTGCACCTGTCGCAATACACCTCCCAGCGCTGCTTCGATCAACAATCAGACTCCTTGTCAATCAACTGAGCGCCTCTTCCGACATCAATGAGGAAGCAATGAAGGAAGTATGCAAAGTTTTTGAAGGAGCGGTGGTGCAGGCTACCAGGGATCAGGCGCCGCAACCAAATAAAGATCAGTCGGAACCGATCTTTACTGAGGAAGAGCTTGAATGGTTCTCACGAAATAGTTACAATATTGCGCTCAAGTACTGCGGCTCGACGCACCCGGCAAACCTTCTATGCCTGCTTGATGACTGCATTCAGCTCATCGGGCTTCTCCAAAAAGCTTCACCCAAGACAAGCCGCGGTGCTTCCACACCAGATCTCATTCTACGGCTCTTACTATGTCACTACTTAGTTTCATGTGCGGCTGTAGTATTGGCGAGGTCTACTGACTCCGTCCCAGAGTCACTGACCGCATATGCAACAGTTTCAAGGCACGCCCGCAGCTTTCGGAGCACAGTTGCTCCTCTTCTGCATGCTTCAACCACCACGAATAATAATTGCAGGTCTGGCAGCGCCGGCCAATCGATAGAGTTTGGTGCAGCGACCAAGACTGATCTTGCCGCAAAACGGGCACAGCTTCTCCGGTACGAGCTCGAATCGGCGCTGAAGCGCAGGGACTGGGATAGCCTCGACACACTCTGGGACGAATGTTTCGACATCCCAGACAGCGGAACTGGAACAAAGGAAACAGGAGGCAGCTGGTACACCCGCCACCTTGAAACTCTCGCCGACCTTGCCCTCGTCATCCATGCAGATCTGACCAAAGCTCAACCATCGTCTTCCGCGTCGACAACAACAACAACAGCCACCCACCGCGCCCGCATCCTCGGCGTCCTCCAACGCATAGTCAACCAGAGCTGTAGCAGTGGTACTATCGGTAGCAGCAGATCTGATGACGCCGCCGTCCATCTTTCCCGCTGGATCCGCTGTCTTTTCAAGCTATCAATCGACAACAGCCACGCGCTCGATGACCCGGACGCCATCCCACTTCAATGCATAGAGCAAGCAACGAACGTCATCTCGTCTTCGTTATCTTCGTCAATCGCCGGCGCTGTCCAGCGGGAAAGGGGCAAGGGCGTAGATGAAAATGATGGCGGCGGCGGCTCACACTGCTACCCGCAAATCGAAGCGGAGTGGCTGGCGTCGACAGCGTTCAACCGGGCCATCGACTTTTTCTGTGCTGGGAATGATGCGAGGTGTAAGGTCTGGGCGGAGAAGGCGATGGAGCTGGCGAGAGCGGCAGAGCAGAGGACTGGCCGTGGTGAGGTGGAGAGGCGCGAGCGTGGGCTGTATGCGGTCTTGATGGATAGGTACAAGGGATTGCTGAGATGGGAGTAGTGGAGGGCGTTTGTTTTGTGGGTCATACTTATTTCTTTTTTTTTCTTTTATATTACCTTTGTGGGAGATAGAGGAGAAGAGCGGGCGCTCGTGGTAGCGGGAGCTCGTGGTAGCGGGAGATAATTTGCTTTGCGTTGCCTGAATATTTGCGAGTGGATATTCTAAGCTGAGATCAGATATCGCAAATAGGATGGAGGTTACTCTTAATTTCTGTTAGCAGAAATACTCGACTCTCCCCACATGAGCATTCTTAAAAGATGGCCGGAGCTTGTGACAGGTCCAGTAATTGTGCAAGCCGCATCATGCTAATTCAGGAGAGAGAGAAAAAAAATAAGCTGGTAACATCGCCACCAACTATGCCAGTCCCCTTTCTTGATTAAAATGAAGAGAAAGGAGGAGTCAGGCTCGCCAACTGGGGATAGGAAAAAAAAGAACAAAAAAATGAGGCTTAACCAATCTTAGATTGGTAAGGATGTTATTCCTTGCAGCTTCTGTGGATCGAACACAGTACCTCCAGATACCGCACAGATGGCTGTTGGCTGAAGTGGACTTCAGTCTATTGCAGGGTTAGTGAATGTTGGATAGATCATGGTTCATTGAGGACTACTAACCTGGCGCTCTCCCAAGTGAGCTAAAGCTGCCGTGATGAGGAATAGATTTGGTTGCAAAACTTATGTTTGTTGGCTAAATTCGTCAGAGAACGCAGCGCAAAGTGGGATACGGAAATCACTCCGATTGCAGTCTTGTGCGCGCCACATCTCACAAGATGCGGCATAGCGGTGACCCATTGCGAAATACTTCTATATCTTCACTTCTCAAGGCAATTTTGCGATCTCGCTTCAGAGTGCTAAACATTTGGTGTCGTACCACCTCGGGCACAGCTGTACGCACGTGGTAACGTGATATCTTACGCATGCTTTCTGCGCAAGGGCGGTAAATGACGGTTATTGCAGGCGTCGCAGGTATCGTGAGGCTCGAGAGCAGCAGGCGGGCTTCTGGTTCAACGCACGACCATTGTCGATACGAGTACGCCCGTGCCTCGTAGCTAAACCCCCGGGGGATCCACAGAAGGAAGAAGTAAGCCGGAAGATTCGCACTCTATTCGAACTTCAAAAAGTAAAGATCATTTCTCTTAGGGCACGACGGCTGTCTGGAATGGGAAAGCAAAGATGCAGATGCGCTGGTGGGAGCAACAGAGAGCGGTCGCAGGGAATTGCGCCGAGACACATAGGCGGGACGCGTGGACTGCGGCGCAGACAGTGGAAAGTCGTCGTACCACAAGAGGGCGCGAATGAGTGCGGCGGTGGTCTACTTTAGTTGATGACGACTGGATTTTTAGCAGTGCTAGCTCGATCGCAGGCAGAGGGAGGGCGTTTTGACTGCCATGCGATGGGTGCATGTCATTGCCGTTGCATTAATGCCAAGAGAGTTCTGAGAAGGGAATCAATACTGGGCGTTGCTGTGCCGCGATGGAGGAAAGGCAGGTCGCGTGGGTGACTTCCCCAACAGGCGGGCACCACCAGCGGCGCTGACGTCGCCAGCGCCTCAGGCCGCGCAAACCTCTCATGAAGCTGATTACACTTTTTGCGACGCTAGACGCTCCGGCAAACCACATCGGCCCGCCAGGTGGTAGGTGCTGCGTGATAAGTCTCCGCTCACCATTCGGGCCACTGCTGGATCGGCCTTCATCGAGCGCATCCCCCATCTGTCGGTTCCTGGACCCAGCCTATTACCGTACCAAGGTCGCGCATAACGCCGGGGATGCAGCCGACCTTGCGCAACGCCCGAGACGACGGATTTGTGACTGCCGGGGTTAAGGGTGTCAGGCCGCCCATTCCCCGAACACGTTCGCAGACTCGTTGCGCCCGCGACGTTAACTGCAGCCCTTTCTCCCACCGACCTGGGAGCCGGACAGGGATCGTTGCCGCTGTCTCCACGCCCAGGGGAAGCTCCTGCTCGGTCTGCAGCAACCAGAAGCCGGTCAGGCCAAGCATAAGCCATGAAAGAGAACCATGATCAACTCACCTCTATGCCCCTTGGCCCGCCCACATCGGCCTCGTCAGCGCTTGGCCCATCCCACGCCATGAACGCTGGAGCACGCGCGTAACTCCCTCCCACCCATGATACAATATCTCACAAACCCCCGCATTCACTTTCTACCATGCCTCTCGCCATTGCTGTGCATCCGCCTAATCCTGCCCTTGTACCATGAAGTTTAAGTTTCTCTTTGCTTCTTTGCCGCTTCTAACACAAGGCCTTCCCTCACGCCAGTCTAACCCACTTTGGTACGATCAAGGCCTCTATGGGGCTTACCCTTGGCGTGAGTATGTCTCGTTCGATCTCGCCTCCCCCCGCGTCAACATCCTGTCGGAAAGCACCCAATGCGACCCCGGCTATGTCTTTCTCGAGCCCCGCGGGAGGTCAGTCGCCACGCCCGGCCCAATGATTCTTGATGGAGATGGCAATCTTGTGTACATGGAGAAAAAGTGGGGTGAGGTCATGGACCTCAGGCCTCAAACCTACAAGGGAGAGACGTATCTTACCTTTTGGTCGGGAACCGATGATGGAACCCACGGGCGCGGAATATATTACATGGTGAGGCTTTCCGATCTGCTTTCAATAATCATGTTTCTAACACTGTGAGCAAGCTCGATTCCGCGTATGAGGTCAAACACACTGTCATCCCCGCCAATGGCTTGGAAGGTGACCTTCATGAGTTCGAAATAACGCCAGAAGGTACCGCGCTCATGACCATTTACGAAATCATCCCGGCCGACCTCAGCTCTGTCGGTGGTCCCGTCGACGGTTGGATCTACGATGGCCTGTTCCAGGAAATCGACATCGAGACGGGCGCTCTCGTGTTCGAATGGCGCGCATCGAGCCACTACAGCGTCGACGAGTCCTTTGCGCCGCTGAAAGGCCATGGCCGCAGCGAAGCCGATGCCTGGGACTTCTTCCACATCAACAGCGTCGACAAGGACCCGGCCACCGGCCTGTATTACATCTCCTCCCGCTACATGCACACCGTCACCTGCATCTCCCCCCACAACAGCGAGAACGGAACCGTACTCTGGCGCCTCGGCGGCAAGCGCAGCTCCTTCACCGACCTGGCCGGCGGCGCGGCGTCCGACTTCTCGTGGCAGCACCACGTGCGGCACTACGCCAACGACACGCTGACCATCTTCGACAACGGCGCCTACGACAACAACGCCCACCTCGCCACCCCGCACGGCCACAGCCGCGCCCTGATGGTGCGCCTTGACACGGAAGCGATGACGGTCGACCTCGCCGCCGCCTTCGTCAGCCCGTCCGACATCCTCGCCCACTCGCAGGGTTCGGTGCAGATCTTGCCCAGCGGCAACGTCTTCGTCGGCTGGGGCCACTCGGCCGCGTACACCGAGTACAAGCTCACCGCCGACGGCGAGGTCGAGGTCCTGTGCGACACGCACTTCGGCAGCGCTGCTTTCTTCGGCTGGGGCTGGGTCAAGTCTTATCGCGCGTTCAAGAGCGCGGATTGGAAGGGCTTGCCCAAGACAAAGCCAGATGTCGCGGTGAAGAGGAATAGGGTGTTCGTCAGCTGGAACGGCGCGACGGAGGTGAGGCGGTGGAGGTTGATGGGTGCGGCGAATGCGGGGGTGGAGGATGAGGAGTGGGTGGTTATGGAGGAGGTGGAGAAGGAAGGTTTTGAGAGCATGATGCATTTGGTGGGGAAGAAGGGGGTGGAGGTTGTGCGGGTGCAGGCGTTGGATGGGAGCGGTAACGTGTTGGAGACGAGTGAGGTGGTGGATCGGAGCACTGGGCAAGTGGTGAGTTCGACCCCTAACCCATTCTTTTTCCCCCGTCTTCATTGCTGATGAGATGAACAGGTCGACGGCGAGTTCAAGCCCATCCAGGACCGCGATGTCGTCGCATTGCAGCTACTGCTCGCTCTCCTTGCGTGCATGTCGTTTGGCCTCATTGTTTGGGCTTGCTGGCTCCCAGCAACCCGATTCTCCAGGGGCCGTGTAAGGTATCAGCGGGTTCACATATGAGAACACGATCGATCACCTTTTCCGCAAAAGAAAGCAATTTCGATCCAGTGGCTGGACTCCAAAACACGCGGTTGCTAAAACGCCGAAGAATTTCTCGCCCGGTGGATCTGCAAGCCCGCACCTTCTATTGAGGGGCTTCCTACAAGCGAATGGCCCTGCTCTAGCGCATGTCACTGGAGCAACTTCAACTCTTCGGTTGCGAGTTCCTGAAAAGCGACGAGGAAGGTGACTACATCAGTCAAAGACGACCTGGTCACCACGAATGAGGATGCATGACAGCACCTTCTATGCTTTGACTGAGCTCTGTCACAAAGTACTGTACTACTACAGGCGGACTCCCGCGCAGGGGTACCTCGAGAACAGGGAAAGGAAGTAAAGTGATGCAGACACTTTTTCCACCGTTAGAGTCAGGACATCGGGCTTCTGTGGCCAATTTCCACTCACACTCTGTCCAATCTGTCGCAGTTAGGTGAAGTCAGTCTCATAGACGAGGATGATCTCTAAAAGGCATCTATAATGTAATCAAAACGGGACGCGAGGTGTTTGGCGCTCTGGCTGGGTTATAGACTGGGTCTGAAAGGCGGAGTAAATAAGTAGACTGATTGATATTTATTTGAAAAACCCTACATACCTTTTCTCGACCCGGATGACCCCGATGAGTTGCCATAAATTTGCTGGGGATGGGTTTTTCGGTGTCGCTCTCACGGTCATTTCAATCTGGGGTAAAACAACCGTTCACCAGATGACCACCCTGTCGACGTGCTTCTAGAATGTCACATTTATTCTAGAATTCACTTCCACAGAATGTGAAGTTGGTCACATGGCCCATGTTCTGGACGTGCGCTAATACCTTTGCTTTAAAAACAGCTTCGAATTGCAAAGCCACCTCGTTTTACACATCAGTCTACCTCAGTCGAAGCTGGTCGACTTCGAATCGAAATTGACTTTATTACTAATCGAAGAAGTCGGTTTACTTTTTTCCGGCTGTCTCTGCCACGTACTCCATCCGCCATATTTCACTTGCTTAGAATTTTGGGGAGATGCATCGCAAGATACAGACGTCGAAAACATGCTGTTGAACAGCCTCATGAAATGCTGATCATGTTCAGCTGTGGAAGACAAATGATGCTGCTCAGCATGAACATTTGCTGAGTGGTTACTTTGATTTTTCACTAGTGATAAATCAGAAAATTTTAGGGGGAAATCAGCGACGCAGCTACACCCAAAAGCGAAGCAAAGGAGACAGTTGGTAGGACATGTATCCCTCTGTTTTAATTAGATCACGACAAAGTCTGTCTTGAACAATCTAGAACTGGAGACTGGCGCGGTCTTAAAAGTACTAGATTTTCACATTCCCAGGAACCATGACGTCGGCAGCGGACTCGCTGAAGTCAGCCGCTTGCATTTGGGCTCACGCGAATATGCAGGGTTTCTGTCCGGTGGCGCTTTTTAAGCACGCACCGGTCCCATGAACGCCTTTCTTAGGACGAGATCAATAGCTTTTGTGAGCCAAACACCACTCTTATGCCCAGAGGTTCAGCCACAAGCTGCAAACACAGCCGGCTTCACCAGGCGAATACTTGACTCCGCCCTCTATCATACTACTATCAAATTACACTCCGCTCTCAATGACTTTCTGACTTGACTTTGTTGGGGACACAACTTCATTTCTATGGTGTTCATTTGAACGATGATGCCAGTCATCATTTGCTTATTATGAGTCGCAGCTCTAGACACAAATCATCCTATCGACTATTATTAATCATCTCTCAAGCAGATAAGAGATATTCCAAGATTCTGTCAACTCCTCCGGGCCCTCCGTAACTCGGATGCCCTATTTTGTACCCCCCAAGACACAGCAGCGAGTAGATGTCATCTACTGTATCTTTAATTTCAAACCAGTGTTCAATGCCTGCCGGAGAAGACCAAAGCGTGAGCCCCTATATAGCTAGCCATTGCTCCCACTACCGGCACTTCTCGAAGTAAGGCTCGTGGCTATACGGCCTCAGGCGGTTGCACATGCAGCTGTGTTATGCGAGTCACGTCCACGTGTCTGGCTCGAGCGCCTGGCGGCAAAGAGAACGTGAGGAGAGATCGGCATTCAACAGCCGGCTGATCACAGCCGCACAGAATTTGTAGATGGTATTTAAATGGGCGTGTGTCTAGAGGTGGCAATGTGTGGTTTCGAACATCGTCGAAGGGCGAGATTCATTTTCTCCAAGATTTGCCATCAGAGGACAACTTTGACTGTTCTTAGTTTCTTCCTTTCTACCAACGTAACTCTATAAGGTCCGGCCCTCTTAGACATTGCCGCGATTAAACTCAATGCAAAAAATCACTAACAACATCATAAGCAAATGATTCACACCATCACTTCAACAAACTCATGGAGCAAATTGACAAAGTTCTCACCAAGCATTGCATTATCTAGCGTCCTCTCTAAAAGAAGGCAGATATCTTCTTCCATCTTCGATCTTCATCTTTTTGATTTTCCTACATCAATTCTTTCAACACTCCAGGGTATCGAGCGCCCGGTCCTTCGTCAGAACCACCTACTTACTACACGCTTTTCACGGGAAAACAAGGAGCCAAAAAAAAAAAGCAAAACGCCTCACCAATGCTGGCTCCCTAGGGAAAGAAAAAAGAAGAAGAGCTCTGAAAAGCAAACCCCCCAACCCCCCATATCCAACTCCACCTTCCCCCCACCCCTCACAAAAACGTCCTCTTCCGACTCAACTTCGAATACGCCCTACTAATCGGACTGTTCGTCGCCAACCTCGCGCCGTCCTGCTGCTGATGCGCCCTCCCCATCCCATTACCAGACATGCCGCCGATCATCTCGTACGCCGACGCGCCGCTGGCGCCCGTGTACGCCGTCCCCCTCGTCGTCGTCTTGTACAAGCTGCTCTCCGCTCCCCACTGCGATGTCGGGCTGTCGGTTCCGCCACCACTCAGTCCGACATACCCGCCGGCGCCGGCGCCGCCGAACGACCGGTTGCTCCACGCGCTGCTGGGCGGCATGGCGCCGCCGCCTGCCGAGTAGAGGCGGGTCGCGCTAGACGGGGTATCCGGGCTGCGGGCGTATGCGGTGGCGCCGCTGGGGGGGCCGGAGGAAGAGAAGCGCTGCTTCAGACGAGCCAGGAGGCCGTCGCCGCCAGGGCCATTAGCGCCAGGGGCGCCCCTCGTCGCCGTCGCCGTCGAGATGGCTAGAGCGGGGGCACCGCCAGGGCCGTTATGCTGTGGGATCTGCCCGTACTGGTGGTACTGCTGGTGGCTGGGGTCGCCTTCCTGCACCGGCCAACTCGCCTCTTCCTCGACGCGCCACGCATTGCCCATGTTGCCGCGGGCGGCGACGACGGCCGGCACGGCCTCCTTGGGGACGACGAACAGGTGGCCGCCGCTCTCGCCGACGAACCACTCGCAGTTCCACTGGCGGCCGGCGGGGCCACCGCCGCACGAGCCGGCCATGGACGCCGCGGGCGGCGAGTTGACGGCCAGCGAGAACAGGTTGGGCGGCTCCGAGAAGTCGGTGACGAGGCCGCGGTGGAAGATGAAGTAGACGAGGCACAGGATGTTGGTCAGGAAGGCGAAGACGAGGACGAGGAAGAAGAGCTTTTGCGGCTCGCCCGTCGGGCCCGAGGCGTAGATGCGCTCGCGGAGGGTGGCGTTGAAGTTGACGGTTTCCGGGGTGAGGAGGATGGTTTTCTCGTGGTTCTATATCAGCGTGAAAGGGTTAATTGTTGTTTCAAAGTTGTATAAGAAGGAATGCTTACCCAAGTCATCTCCATCTGCGCGTCCTGCGTGCCCAGTAGCAAAGTGGTACTTGACAGCACCGCTAGTGCCTCAGCTATGCTCGGTCGGTCAACCTGCAGCTTCGGCTCCTTGGCGATGGACTGTGTGAGTAGTCGGGCAATGCTGGCCTTGCCGTCGGTGATGCCGTTGTTGAGGGACATCGAGTTTGCCCACTCGGTGGCGACCCAAGGCCAGTTGAGGCTGATGGTGGCCGAGCCGGACTCAGCGGTTGGATCGCTATTGATGTAGGCCATTGAGTCATTCTCCGGATCGCAGCGGGACGAGAGCGTCGAGCCCTCCTGCACCGCGCTGTAGGTCGTGCTGCAGTTAGGCGTGAGCGACGCCTTCATTTGGCAGAGTGAATAACGCTCTACGTCCTCGTCGCCATCGCGGCCCAGTAGGTAGATGGACTCGCGGCCATAGAAGAATGTTTGGTTCAGAACTGTGTTATAGGTTGACGGGAAGCGCGAGAATATGGGGGCATTCTGGCCATTTTTGCGCCAGCCGAAAATATCGTCGACGACAGTCTTGTTGATAGATTCAGCGGAAGTGAGATTGCTGATCTGGTCGGGCCACGTCGGGGCGTCTAGCTTTTCCGAGTTGTTCCATGCGGTATAGACGAGGGGGGCGAGTTCGCTGCGGTTCATGTTCGCGCACAGAACGTGGATGACAGGGCTGGGCACCGAAGCCTCAAGATTGTATGCACCCAAACCACCGAGTTCGCTCGGCTGCATGATCTCATTGCGTTCGTCGGTAGCTGCACTCATGACGCCAGCGTGAGGCATGGCCAAGCTGACGTTGTTGATGATACGACCATCCAGCTCAAAGGCAGAAACATCCATCCAGGTTCCGTTGACTTGGATCTCAGAGCGGTATTGGGAGAAGGCGGGAACCCGGGTTTCCTTGGTAGTACCGGCGCTGTGGTTACGGGCATAGTGATCCCATTCGGCGACATATCGTTGGTAGTCGTGGTACGCTTGTGCGGCATAGGAGATGTCAAGGCAGGTTGCATTGCGGTGTACGTCATCTTCCGAGATGGGGATTGGCGTTTCGCATTTGTAGCCAAGATACAGATTGTTGGCAAACTTGGTCATCACGTTTGCCTTCACAATCTTCGTTTCCAGAGGTCCTAGCTTGAGCTGGGGTTGCACTGCGTGACATTGTCAGCCAATCATATGCTTAAGAGTGGTTTTTTTTTCTCCCTTACCAAGAGCATCCGAGGCGGACGTATACACGGTTGCAACAATAGCAGCGATGAAACTCACGATTCCCAAGATACTGAAAAGTGCATAGCGAACTGTCTCGAAGTTTGCTACCATGTAGCCAGGCGCTCCGATCCAGTTACGCATGCTCATTTCCGCAAGAGTCACGCCCCTGCCGCTACCTCTCACGCTCAAACTCCGTCTACTCAGGACTTGGCCGAGAAAGGCAACGATGGAAGATCCGAATGACAATTCAACCGTCTTTGCAAGAACGGCAACCAGCAGAGAAGCGTTGGACGGCGTAAGCCAGCCATCGCTGCGAATCATCGGCCATTGCGGACCACGGAGAGCAACGACGAGGAATAGTCCAGAAATGAGGGTAGCGTATATCGAGATGAGGATGATGGAGCTAGTCACCCATCTGGTTCGGAAGAAGTGTCTTCTTGCCGGGCAATGCTCGGTCGGGTTAAAGCCTGCAGAAATATTAGCCGGCTGCGCCTAAGATATCGAGTGGTTCCCCCAAAGCGGAAAATGTGCGCCTAAAAATGGGTTGTTTGGTGCGAAATAGCGTAGAATCGCCGGCGCAAAATGGCGTAATTCTACGCAACCATGGATCCCGAGACCACATTTCATCCTTGTACACAGGAAAAGACAACTCACCATACTGCTGCGGATTTCTCTCAAAGAAATACGCCAGCTTGGGGCTCGGCACGCCGGCCTCGACGCCCTTCGCATCAGCGTCAAAACCGCCCTTCGGCCTGTCCTCCATGTAATCCATGCCATCCACATCCCTGACCAAGCTTGCGGTGCTCTGGTTCATCGACCTCGGCGTGTCAGCCGTGCCGTACGCGTCAGAGAAAGGGTTGCTGGTGCCGCCGGTGCGGTCGTTGAAGCCAGGCGTGGTGGGCGTGCCCGTGGTATCGGAGCCGCTGTGCGGCGGCAGCAACGGGAAGCCAAACGAAACCTGGCGCTTCCCGGACGTTGGCGTCACGCCGTCGGCGGTACCGAGGCCGCGGGAAGAAGCACTTCCTCCCTCTCCACCAACGGCGGGCACGCTGCTCCCCCGCGCTGGGCCGCCCGTCTCGATGCCCAGGCTGCTCGAGCGCGAGCGGCGGCGCTGCTGCAGGCTCGCGTACGAGGCGACGGAGCGGATGCTGCGGGTGGCGATGCTGCTGCGGCCGCGGTAGGTGCCCGTCTCGTAGTGCTGGTCGAGGTCGTCGTCGCGGTCGTCGTCGAGGGCCTCGACGAAGCGCGAGCGGCGCGTGCCCTGCGAGATGCGCGAGAAGCGCGACGTGGTGGAGCCGGAGCGGGCGAGCACCGTGGCCGAGATGGGCGTGGGAGTCGTGGCTGCGGGCGTCATGGCGACGGGGCTGGCTGTGGTGGCGGCATCGTTGGTGATGGAGGTCGACGAGCCGACGGTGGTGTCTATCCGCGGGTGTTGTCTGTTGTCGGACTCCATGTTCTCTTTTCCCTTGCTCTTTTGTGGTCCCTGCTTTCCCCTTGCAGCGAGCAAACTTTCCCGGGGAATCAGGAAGGAAACAGCGCCCTTTTATTGGGAGGAAATTCTGGGCGCGCTTCGAAGGCGAGGCGGGGAGAGGTCGTCCAAGATACGGCGACGCCGAGCTTCCCACGTGGAGCAAGTAGTGGAGCTTGCGCACAGGCAAACGCTCGTGCGTGGCGTCGGGTTGCTTTGCTGTGAGGTGCTGGGGCCGCGTCCAGAGGCGTCCGCTGTCCGATCGGTCGGTCAGTTGGGTGAGTGGACGAGTTGATCAATGGGACCACGGAATTGCCGCTGCGCTGCTCATTGATACGCGTCCTGACCGGTCGTTGTGTTGGGTTTTGTTATCGACAGAAGAATAGACGACACACTAGTCAGTTTCCCTAGGCAGGGGCGGTAGCGACCGTTAGGTGATGGTCAAATTTGGGGTTGAAGGGATCGAAAATACGAGGCGATGACGAATGGCGAATTTGCGGTGATCTTTATCTCAGCCGACTCCACGATGTGCCTACTAGCTTGCCGCTGCTAAAAATGTCAAACTGTAGGGTCTAGGGCTAGGGTTTCAGATGGTAGCACGCACACAAACAATCCACGAAGGCAGAGCAAAAAGGCTGCCAGCACGAAGTAGAGCCGCCGGAGCGTGCACCGCGCGCCGCATGCAGGCGGAAGTAGGCGGCGTGCTTGGGCGGTCCTTAATCGATGCGAGAGTCAAGCCGGCGACGCAGGAGCCACCCCTTTTCTTGCCTTAGCCGCGACGTTGCACCTCCCCGCCTGCGCCTCACCTCCCGCCCCGGGCCAGGCCAAAATGAGGCCAGCGTCGCGGTGCATCGCCGAGCGGCATCGCGGAGACGTGTGGCTGGTGTGCGGAGAGGGCGACAGACATCTGCAACCGTTGCGGCTCAAAATCCGGATCGCAGCGGCTGGTGGCTTGCAATCTACATGACTGGCGAATCAAACATGCACCCTCCCTTGGCTGCTAGCTCGTCCGCCGAGCCGACCGTCTCCCAATTTCCAACGCCACGGCAGGGGTTTGTGTCTCCCTCGCCCTCCCCGCTCACCACAAAACGTGATTGGCTCCGTGTGGCATTCCGCTTCACGCCATTCTTCGATACGTCATGTCCGGCATGGGTTGCGCTGTCCTTCTTGCCCCGAGAGAGGCAATTGCAATAGGGGACACGCCTCACAGACCACTGACATGTTCGACCGAGTTCCACGCGTCCACTCACGCCGGCTCCCGGCTTGGCGATCAAATAGCCCGCCCCTCGATACTCAAATCCCTCGCCCGCGGTGATCGTCATCTTTAAAAAGGGTCACTTCCGCCAGCGCTTGCCTGACTCGAGCAAACTTTGGCACGGTCCACCCCAGCCTTGTCTTTAACTCTAATCCGCTCTCCTGATTATTCAGAAAAACAACTAAAGGCTGAAACGTATATAATCTACTATCACGAGTATCATACGCTCAACTGGCTACAGAAAGACTGAGCATTCAACATCTACTGCAGCCTGTGCAGCGAATTCGGTGCATGCTTAGCCTCCGGGTACGACGGCCGCTACACATTTCAAGATGATGGTGGTCAGCCAACGATGATGGTATGCAGAAAGGCCAAACGACACTCCCCAGCATCACCAAGAAATCGAAGAGCTCGAGAGTACCATCCACCTTCTCTATATCAAACTCATCCAGAGTTGAAACCAGTCGCAAAATACCTTACCACTAACGACCAAGACAGACAGTTTTCTTATCATGTACTTCTCGGAGGGAATAGGCCACTTGCTCGTTGACGTGAGATTTGGATGAGACTCACTATTTCCCCACAACTCTTGGTTTTAAAAGCACCGCCAAAACAATGGCCCTGACCAGGCGGACGGGCGCAACTCGCGGTCAAGTCACCTGCCAGCGCCTAGTGATTTCGTTGACATCGTTCCCGCAGATGACACCGGGTTGCTTTTGAGCCACGTTGGCACACAAGTCTACATAAAGCGTCCGCACACTTCTACCAAGCCGACCGAGTTAAACAATAAACAGAAGCAGCAGTAGAAGCAAGGTGGAAACTTACTCTGCTGTTTGTTCTTGTTAGTCACATTTATGCGTCGTCGAATTTGAAGTTCCCGCGATCTGCCACGCATCTACAGTTTTACTGAAAAGAGAGCAGCATCAAGATAAAATGATATACCTTATTTTGTAAGCTTGTTGAAAAGCTTCATCATCACTGACTATGAATCACGCCGTGTCACTGTCCGGCAACCAAAGTTAGATGTGGAGCAGGGCGCAACCCTCCCACCGAAGTATTAATGTGGTGCTCCTATATTTCGCCGCAACATACACTGTGCTGATGAATCGGGAAATGGTAATTGAAAGAGGAGATTAACAACGAAGTGACCATTCTTAAATAGCCACTCCTCGCCTAATCATCCGCGTGCTAACAAAAGCTCAAGCCACCATTCCAGTCCCATGGTCGCGACCTCGCTCTCCATAAGCTACCCTGCATAATGACGAGACATCTCGACGCATGACCATATGCATCACAACATTTTCATCACTGCAAGCAAGCAGGATCACTCGATCACTCGAAAGCCGCACTCGATCACTCGAAAGCCGCACCAGATCATTTCTAAGCCGCATAAATTGCCTCTCTGCCCTAATAAAAGAAGTAGAAAAGGAGGAGAGCAAAAAGCTATCTACGAAGCCACTATGGCCACCGCCTTCACCCCTAAGGGGCTCATCGCGTCCAAGCCGACAACGAAGACGACTCAGCGAGCCAGAACGAAAGGGGCAGAGAGGACGAAACGAGAAAGGGAGAAGAACGGCCTGCACTCCGTCTTTACCCTCTCGAGTTCCCTCTTTCTTCCCACCAAGTAGTAGAGAGAGAAAGAAGTAGTCTCTGTCCCCATACTGATGATACAACGAATGAACGCTAAATCAAAGCCCCGTCCGCCGCTGTGAATCGAAGGAAGACGAAAATAAAAAGACTAACTACTGTTAACCCATCGCTCCTGCCCCATCCCCTTCCCCCAAAACTGCAAAATCGAGAAGATCATCTCCCCACTTGACCACCTAGTATTATCTACTTGGAGGTTTTTATCCTCCTTGGTTTGCATCTTCCGGAATTTTTTTTGGTACTAAAAAAGAAAAACAAAGAAAACACTTCGCCAGCGCCCTTGAAATGCAGCAAAGCAACAACTAATGACCATTCGCTCTCATCAATCTTTCGTTTTTGTGTTGTGCATGTACGCCATGCAAAAGGGAAAATAGAGGGGGAAAAAAACCGGTCCACGTCCGCTCAAGCAAAGCCAAAGTACTCGCTACCAGCCGTCATGGCCGTGTAAAGCTGCTGCCTGAGCGCCTCGTAGCTCTCGTACTCGGGAAGGTCCAGCTGGTTGAAGCACGTGTGCGAGCTGGGAAGGCGATCCTTGCTGCCGTAGTCGCGGTGGATGTTGAACCGGCTGAAGCCGTTCATGCCTTCGAGCTCCTTGAAGCCGTTGAGCGGCACCTTGGACGTTCCGGTCACGAACTGCAGCAGCTTCGCCCGCTCTTCCTTGTCAAACGAGCGCACCGCACGCCAGAACCACTGGATCTGCGGCGACGCTGCTGTGTAGTTGTGGTACTCGGTGTTGTTCTTCCAGTCGTCCACGTCAATCTCAGGCAGGCCGGAAATGAGCAGCTCGAGCTCCTGCTCGTTGAAGATGGAGATCAGCTCAGCCGGGACGATGTCGTGGAAGCCCTTAAGGAATTCGGAAAGCTGGTCCTGCACGGAGCCGGTCAAACGGTACTCGACCATCAGGCGGACATACTCCTGCTTGTTATCCTCGGTCACGGGGATGTTGCGACCATTCGGAATGAGATCGATGGTCTGCGTAACGCCAAACTCTTCGGCCTCAACCGAGAAAGTCTCGGTGATGATGTCCGTGATGTCGTTCTCAAGCATCCACAGGAGGGACTTGTAGTAGTCCAGGTCGAGAGTTTCCATGTCCTTGATGCTGACAGGCTTGCCCAAGATGCGCTTGTACACGGCTCTGCTGAAATGGCAGTCAAGCACGCGACCCTCATACAATGCCTTGCCGATGATACGACCAATGAACTTGAAGAACAGAAGATGCTCCTGGTTGATCGCACTTAGACGGTTCGGGTGGAAAGTTGTACGGTCCGAGGCAACGGGGATGAAGAGAGCGTAGTCGGGGTTGAACATTTGGCGGGCAAGCACCTGGAACCACTCACGGGTAACACCGCCAGCATCAACACCCTCTTCACCGTGGAAGCGGATGCTGAGCTTGCCGTACTTCATCTCGTCGCCAGTCTTGAAGTAAAGGGACTTGAACGAGTCAAGGAAGACGTGCTCGCGGCGCACAGAGAGTTGAAGCGTGGGGTGTGGGTGGCGCATCTCCGCACCACGAGAGTGAAGGCGACGAGTGAAGAAGTTGCGCTTGTTGTCAAACTCCAGGACCTTCGAGTTCCTGACGAGAACCGAGAATGAACCACTCATAAGCTTGGGGTTCTGGCGGACGAGCTCGTTGAGAATCTTGCGATGCTCCTCGGTGAACTTGAAGAACAAGCTCTCCATGCGGTTCTCCGGCGGTGGACTCGACAGCTCAACTTCTCTGGCGTGCAACTTTGCAAGCGGCGCATCCTTGAGAGTGGTGTTCTTGCAAACGACCATCAACACTTCGATCAGCGGCAATAGGATCGTAGCCACGCTGAGCATGTTGGTACGCTCGCGGATGACTGTCAGACATTCGCTGAGCTTGTGCCACAGGGATGAGAATGTAGGGTTCTCGTAAAGCGTGGTGAGAATATCAGCCTTCTGCTCGGCAGGCAGGCCGTCTGCAACACTGGAAGCAGGCTTGTCTTGAGTTTCCGAACGCTTGGGATCGAAGAGGTAGTCCAATGCGGTCAGCACACGGAGAAGCTTAGTCTGGTCAGAGCTGGCTGGTGAGAACTTAGACAAAGCCATGCCTTGCACATCGGTACCCGTCTTGGCCTTGGTGATTTGGGAGACGAGCTCGTTCAGGTCATCAAGGCACGATTGAGCCAAGTCCTGACCCTGCTTGATGAGCTCCTTTCCGAAAGTCTCCTTGGCACCTGGAATAGCAGAGAGGTTGTTGATGACCGACAACGTGTTCTGGAACGTCTTGCTACTACATTCGCGGGCGGCCAATATGTGGACGACGAGGCGAAGGTTGTACTCAGGAACCTCAGGCGGGACAAGGCCACGCGCCTTCTTCTTGTCATCGGACTGATCATCGGTCTTGTTCTCGTCCTTCTTTTCGGTCGAAGATGCCGCAGGGGTTCCGGCCGGAGTTGTGGACTGCTCGGTCGTCGTGGCAGTCTCACCGGTCTCAGTGGCAGTGCCCTCCGCTGGTTGAGCAGAAGTGCTAGCCTCAGCGGGCTCATCCTTCTTCTCCTCACTCTTTTCCTTGTCCTTCTTGAGGAGGATGCCAAGCGGGCTCGTGATGTTCATTAGCAAAGAGGCCAGCTGCTCCATGACCGAAGAGCTCTCAACGATAAGCTTACGGTCAAGCAAGCTAAGCAGAGCATTCAGTGGGTACTTGTGAGCCTTGCTCTCCTTTGCCTTGCCCTTACGGTAAGCCTTGGACTTGAAACCCACCGCCGTCTCGTGCTCTGCAAGGAAGAAAGAGGCGATGTGTGGGTTGTTGTACACCAGGTAGACGAGAGTGCTCAGACACTGCTGGACGACCATGATTGGCGACATGTCACCATGGCTGGAGAGCTGCTGACCAGCGAGCGGACCAGTGAGCGAACGCCTCAAAGGTTGCGGAGTCTTCTGATTGCCAGATGGCTGTGGGGCCGGAGGCTGCTTGGCACGAAGGGATAACTGAGCGAAGCTGCGCTCAACAGCGTTGATATCCGCGGAACCGTCCTGGAGAATGGACAGAAGAATGCTGATGACCTCGGCGCGGTTGTGACGGTTCTGGCAAACATCCTTTAAGATGCCGTTGAGAGTCTGGCGAGCGCTACCCTGCTGTGGAATGAACATGAGTCGAAGTAGAGTTGCAACGCCGGACTTTTCGAGCATCTGAACAATGGGACGAGGCTTTTGCTTCCTCTGAGCTTGTTCCTCCTCCTGCGGGGCACCATCATGGCGGCGGTAGCCGCCGCGGTTGAGACGGCCAATGTCAGCCATATGATGGTTCAGGCGGCGGTCTCCACCCAAGCGGCGGGCTTCTTCAGCGAGTTCCGCAGGTAGTTCGCGCAGAGTTTCGTCGTCTTGCTCCATAAGGACAGCTTGACGAAGACCGGGATCCATGGAGGCGAATAGAGTAGCAACGTCCATCTCTTCAGCACGTGGTGCACCGCCTTGACGATTCCTCTCCTCTGTACGTTCTTGGCGACGACGGGCCACAGCCTCTTGTTCAAGAAGTTCGTCACGGATATCTTCAGGTAAGGCATCAAGGAACTCGCGGCTGATGTCCGACGGCTCGTTGCCTTGGGTGCGAGCTTGTTCGCGCTGAGTCTGGATCTGACCCATTAGGACTTCTTCTCTCAAGTCCTCAGGCAGAGCCTCGAGGTAACTCAAGTCGATACCAAGATCTGTAATATCGACTTGACGTCCACGAATGTTGGCGACAACTCTGTCCTGGGCTTGTGAGCTTTCGCCTTCGGTAGCTTCTCCCTCAGCAGCGGCTGCAGGTTGGGAAGCCCCAACATCCGCCATCTGTTGGTCCTCTGTTGTGGATTCGGCAGGCTGTTCCTGGGCTATTCTCTCCGCTTCCAGGCGGCGAGCCTCCTCGGCTTCGCGCTCTTCTCTCTCTCTCTTCTCCCTCTCTCTAGCTTCCTGCTCCTCGCGCTCCTTACGTTCACGTTCTTCTTTCTCTCGCTGCTCTTTCTCCCGGGCCTCGCGCTCTTCACGCTCCTTGCGCTCGGCTTCCTTAGTAGCCTTGATCGCGGGAGGAACCAACAACCTGAGGATGGAGTTGACAAGGCGAAGGGACTTATCGACCGCAAGACCGTTGAAGAGGAGACGGCCTTCCTCTTGCCAACGCGCCGTGGTAAGGGCGGACACAAAGGAGACCGCCTGAGCGGGGTCATCCCGAGATGAACGAGAGTGACTGTCTTGGCCCCGTCGATCACGACGGGTGTAGGGGTCGAAAGCACCATCAGGGAAGCCAGGGTCGCCTGGGAACATACCCTGCACAGTCACCGTGATGCCATCCTGTTGAATGGTGGCTGAGCCATGGCTCATGATATTGAGAAGGTTGCTGATGAAGGAAACAGGGGTGTCGCCACCAGGGGGGAAACGGCCGGGCCGCATAGGATCCATGGCATGAACCCAGTCACTCGAACCAGCACGACGACCTCCAGCGCCGCCAGCACCGGAAGAGGGACGACCAGAGCGTTGAAGCAGAGGATTCGTGCCATCGTCTGCACCACGCTGAGTTCCCGCCGGGCGATGGGCTCGGTACGCAGGAACTAAGGCACATCAGTAGTGAACAAGCACGGGTTCAGAGATGCAAACTTACCCAGGTGACGATCCAGCGTAGCGGGCGGGATAAACGAGAAAGGGTTGACACCGATGATACCATGACGATGGTGGTGATGATGGTGCCCACGGAACTCTGGAGGAGCACCCCAACCCCATGCAGGGTCAGGAATGCCATCTTCATCGTCTAACGCTCTCAGTAAGCGCTGCGGGAGTAAGTGGCGCATCTCTCGGGTCATCAAACCTTCAAGTCCAGCCTCGTAGGCGATGTCGTCCTCGTCGTAGTCTTCCTCCTCGTCTTCCTCATCTACTGCGGTTAGCATGTTCGAGGACCAGGCCCGGCGGAGGGCGGCAGCTATACCTTCATCCTCCTGCATTTCGTCATCCAAATAACCCTCGTGCTCCATATCCATCATGTCGCCTTGGAGGTGCTCTAGCAGGCCAGGGCCGCCCTGGCCATCCAGAATGCGGACAAGATTGTCGATACCGCCGGCGGCACCGTGGTCCTCATCGGCACCGTCTTCATCGTAGTCGTCTCCTTCGTCATCGTCTTCGCTCGCCCATTCGTCATCCTCGTCCCCATTGAGGCTGTCATTGATGTTGTCGCCCGTGACTTCGTCCAACTCGTCCATGTCGTCCATGACTTCGATGTCCTCGTCATCTTCGGGATCGTCATCGTCCTCGTCCATGTCTGCCGAATCGTCATCATCTTCGGACATGTCGTCTCCATCTTCACCCTCAATGACAATTTCCACATCATCGCCGACGTCGCCAGGCAGACCCTCGATATCGCCCATGCCCTCGATCTCTTCGTCTTCGTCGCTGACCACGTCCTCGCCATCGTGCTCCATATCTTCCTCGTACTCCATCTCGTCGCCATACTCATCACCGTACATGTCCTCATCATCATCTTCATCAGATTCTTCGGACTCTGTTTCCTCATCTCTGCTAGGATCGAACATGGCAAGAGTGGAGTTGCGGAAGAGATCCGGGGTTTCCTCGCGGAACTCGTCCATGTCTGACACTGATGATGCCGTGGAGATCTCGTCTTCGTCAGCTTGACCCGGAGCACCCGAGATCTCGGCATTTAGACTGAGTTCGATAGCAGTCTGTGTGAGGAGCTTGATCGGACGGAGGATGTACTTGACAGCCCGCTTGGCGTTAGGGAAGTTGAGGTCGATGTCGGCAATGGCGGTCGTCAAGGTGGTAATGAAGTTCTTCTCATACATGATTCTCGCCAGTTGCTTCTGAGAGACCATAACCATGTCGACGGGAAAGCTGTTGGAGTTGTTCGTGGACTTGCCATAAAGCATGCGATGGAAAAGGTCCGCAAGGTTGAGCAGGCGGGAGTACTTCATATCCAACGACTCTGAGGAGGCGTTGGCATCCTTGAAAGCCTTCAAAGCATGTTCGAGAACGAACTTGCGGACAAAGAGCAGCTCCGGCTCATCTTCCTCCTTTGCATCGCGACTTTTGGCGGACCGGCGCTCGCCTGTCTTCTGGCACAAGGCTACAATGACAGAAATGGCCCAGTTGGAGGTAGCGCATTTCTTCTTGAAAGAGATGTCTTCTGCATGTGCCAGAGTACCCACGGGAACGAGATTCTCAAGCATATACCTGAGAACAGTCGAACGCGGCTTTGATGGGGTCATGGCTTGAGGATCAGCTTGGCGCGAAAATGTGACAAACTCCACCTTGGTCTTGTTGTAAGACGTCAGAAGCTCCGTCAAGCACTGGAGGATGAAGCAGCGGTAAATGAAGATAGGGTTTTGATCAGCCTTGAACGTTGGCTTCTCATTCTTCTTCTGTTGCTGCTCGGGAGCGGGAACTGGGGTAGATGCGGTGCTACCTGGAGTTGCGGGAGTAGTACGATCTGCAGTGTCCGTCATCTCTACGTCGCCGGCAGAAGTGTCCTTCGGCTGCTCTGCAGGTGTGGGAGTAGGTTCCTTGTCGTCTACATCCTTGTAGGTGAGAAGTTCACAGAGAAGGTAATGAATAACACCGTCTGGGTTCGAGATGACCGGAGGCTTAGTGTCGGCAGGCTTTGTCTTTTCCGGCTCTCCCTTGGCTTCCACTTCAGTAGAGGGCTTGACAGTCTCAGCAGTCTTTGAAGAGTCAGCGGGCTGCTCGCCCTCCGCGCTAACTTTCTCGTCCGGCTTCTTCTCCGCAGGAGCCTCTTCCTCCTTGAGCTCGAGGAAATTCTGACTACGTGATTCCCGAGCATAGCTAGTTAGCCTCAGCTTCTCGTTGGTGACCTCCACGAAAATCTCAGGACTGCGGTTGGCAAGACTCCAGAGAGCTCGAACGTAGGCGGTAGTATCCATCTGCTGAGGGCCGTTCCGAGGACGGTTGCCCTTCTCCTTGAACAGCGCCTTGATCTCGGTCCTCATGATCAACCTAATGGTCTCCTCGTCTTCAACAATGTGACGCAAAATCAACATGAATGAGCTCTGCAACCGTTCATTGGTAATGCCGCTAAGCTGCTTCACCATGACAAACAAGCGCTGCAGATTACGCTTCTCTCCCAGCTTTGTAGCAAGCGGTCTATGCCTGGTAAGAATGACGAGCACGCGAGCGACCGAGAGTGCTAGAGACTCGTCCTTGCCGATGCGGGGTAGGACTTCGACAATGGCGTTGAACAGTTCGTGCTTGTCATCCATGGGCACAACCGGCTCGGGGAGCTCGATGGCAGGGAGTGTCAAGTCCTCAGCATCATCATCTCGCGGAGGAGTCCATTGGATCTGTGGGGGTTGAGCATCGTCGGCAAGCATGCGCTCGATGATAAGCAATACGTGGCCAATCCAAGGCGACGACTCCTCTGCACGCTGTTCTGGAGATGTTTTGATGAATCCAAGCAACGAAGAGAAGAATTCCTTCAACTGAGGCAGAGTCGCTTTGTAAAATTCGCGTTCTTGGAGGATGAGAGCAAGAAGGTGAGCGTATGATGCAATCTTCTTGCCTATGGGCCTTAGATCTTCCTCAGATTGCAAGGATATGAGCGCATTGACAAGGGTCTCGCCGATTTCGGTCCGCATGCTAGAAGCCTCAGACGACTTAGCGACAGCTGCAGATATCAAATCCGCAAGCTCGAAGGTGACATCTTCGTGGACATCAACGACTTCCAATGCGCGGTCGATGACGTTCTTTCGAATCTCGGATCTCGCGTCCTCAAGATCTTCAACCCGGATGTACTCGGCGCTTCCAGCATCACTTGCTGAGGTTCCACGACCCCACGCAGAGTTTTGAATAGCGTGGGGAATGTATACTGAACTATCGGCAGTACTGGCAGAAGTGACGGGGTCCGTCGAAATGGGCTGGGCGTCAGACATGACGACAGACTTAGAACCGGGTTCTTCAGACTCGTCCTCACTCTCGGCTGTCAACCGAGGAGTAGTAGAAGCCGATGGAGTCTGGCCAGTCTGTTTGAGGAGCTCGGTTTCATAAGGAGGCACGAAATTCCTCTCGAATCGAGGATCGTTCTTTGCTGCGTTGCAATACTCTCTGGCGTAGGTTGCGTTGTCGTAAGAGCGGTATTGCGCCTCCTTTGCCAGGTCTTCTTCGAAGCCGTCACGCTTGAGATTTTCCACATGCTCGAAGGTGCGCGCCTTCCACGGCTTGTAGGTGAACCTCAGCCGAGCTGGAGGAGTGTCAGCGCGTTTGTACGCTTCGCTCTCACCCTCGCTATCAAGGACGATCCGGAGAATCTCGACCAGATTCTTGACGATGGACGTTGTAGCCTTGTTCATAAGCTCCGAATTCCATATCTTCTCAACCGGCTTGATGACGGCCATACGTAACTCGACTAGGAACTGTGAGGGGAAGAAGGAATCGCCCTTTGGCCGGTTTCGGTCGCGCGTGTTCATGGCATTGGTCTGATGCGCGTCTATCACGCATTTCGGGTTGACCATGTTGGCATACAAAGTCAAGATGATCTTGATGCCGCCGAGTGCCAAATTCATCAGCCCTTGTACATCTTCCGGAAGCTCCTGGCTGTCGTTCTTCTCAATAATTCCCTTCGCCTCATCGAAGAACGAGTCGAGTATTTCGCTCAATTGATCGAGGCCGCCTTGGGTTTGGAAAGAGGCGAGGATCAGAGTTAGCATGTGTGGAGGACTACGATCCATGCTTCCTTCCATGAGAATTTGAGAAATGGAAGTCAGAATGACAATCCAATACGCGTAGCGGTCCTTCGCATCCGCACTCTTCTTTGGCAGCTCGTAACTAAGTTGATCCATGGCGAGTTTGGCGAGTTGGTCTGCGACAACAAAAGCATTCTGCTTCTGCCACTGCTCCTGAGTCCTCCTGAAGAGAAGGCATCTGCCCAATGCCTGCAAAAACGGAGTGATGGCAGTCGGGACTTGGCTGAGTAGATAACGCAGAATCTTCGTGTTCTTGTACTGAGCTGACGACTTGTCCAGAGATGTACCAGCCTGCGATGTACCGCTCTCGCCGCTGTTGGCTCCACTAGGCTGTTGACCAGATGCGTCTGTAGTCGCCGTCTCACTGGGCTCTTCTGGGTGGTGCGGGTCTGTCAAGCGGAGGATGTTGTTCGCTTCGTCCGTGCTAAAGCCACTGCTCTTGACTCTTGTGCTCTTCTCCCAGTCGGAGGGGATTTCCTTCTGAAGAAGAATCTCCTCCCACACGCAACACCTCTGAAGCCTTCCGAGGCTATCAATCAGGTGAGCGTACATGTCGCCCATGTTGACCAAGGAGAAAATGTTGTGGCTCGAACGGTGGTTGAACATTGAGCCTTCGAATGTCATGGAGAGCGCATTGGCCAGGGTGAGGACTACAACGAGCGCCTTTGCAAATCGAGTGCCATTAGCGACGACGGTAGGGTCGGGGTCCACACCAGCATTTTTGCTAGTGAAAACCGCAAGATAAGCAGACTGGCGATCATTGCGCATGAAGGGCTCGAGCTCGTCACAAGCAGCTTGGAACCGCCTGATTAGAGAAGGTAGCGCAAGATGGGGCTTCTGATCGACGATGAGTTGAATGACGCGGCTGAACTCCTCTCCCACAGCAAACCACTCGTTGAAATTGTACGGTAGGCATGGTAGAGTCCCGAAGTCAAGGACGAACTCGAGGCCTCCTTCCTCAATGAATGCTGAGCAAAGGGATTCGTTGATGAAAAAACCTTCCAGAAACTTGCAAGCTGCAGTGATGAACTGGGTGGTGGTAGGGCCGTCCTTAGGGTCTTCATGCTCTACCACGTCATCTATGGAGACGTCGACATTCGAAGCTTGTGCAGAAGCTGTCGAAGTGTCAGCATCAGTCATCTCCACATCACCTCCTTGGTTTGGCGACTGTTCCCCGCGAGAGTGCTGGTGGCGGGCACCCTCCTTTCCCCAAAGGGCCTTACGGCCCCCTGAGACAAGGATTTTACCTTCGCTACTCTCAACCCAGAGCTTGGAACCGACACCCTTCTGCTGTGCCCTCTCGAAGCAGAGCTTACCAACCCTTGCAACCATCTTCTTAACCGACGCAAGGATGGCCTGCTTGAGCGGCGGGTGGTGGCGAACGAGCTCGTCGAAGGAAGTACCAAGCTGCTGCGTCGTCTCTGAGTCCACTTCGATTGCCTTCACGTGTGCAGAGCTGGTGAAGACCTCGAAAAAGCTCTCAAGGGCGGTTGAATTCTTGAAGAGGTTGAGACCCGCCTCAGTCAGGCAGATGGCGCCGAAAGCAGGAGGAACTGCAGCGATTGCTTCAGCAACTGGAAGAATACCGGTGGTCGCGGCCTTGGAATCTTTATCTTTTGGAGCCTCCTCTTTGGCGACAGGAATATCTGACTGTGAGGGCGTTTCAGTCACACTCTCGGTGGTCGACTCAGGAGCTTTCTCTTCAATCGGCTTCTGCGTGACAGTTTCCAAGAAAGTCTTGCTCAATCCAGCCTCGGCGATGATGGCGTAGCTAGTAGGCTCGTGGTGAATGAAATTGGCGAGGATATTGACGGTCATACTCCACACAGTGCTGCCGAAGATGGGTGCCTCGGCCAAGACTGTACGGAGGCCTGCCAGAAGTCGCGGAGAGTCCATCAAATTCCGAAGCAACCGATCGATACCGCCGCCTCCATGAGTCATCATGTGGCTAATGAATTTGAAGAGCCAGCGAAGGGTCTGCTGGGGGTAGTATGCGATCTTATAGTCCGTGTGCTGGGTCTTGTATTGATCGGGCATACCCTCGCCCCGCTCGGCTCGTGTGAAAGCACTCTCAACCTCATGTCCAGCGAGATCAGCGATAGCATCGAGACCCTTGGCTTGCACGAATGCTTGGAAGGCATCGCGAAGATTGAAGGCGAAAGTGTCCAGGAAGCTCAAGACGCGAGAGTAGTAGCGCTCGGACCTCTGAGTGCGAAGGGTGAGCACTTCTACGAAGATATCGAACAAACCTGCCGCAACCATGCTCTCGCCCATACGGTTGACCTGTCCCGGAATGCTGGTGAGCAAAGTGAACAGGGATTCCCGCCACTCGTCATCTTCTAAAGAGCCTCCGGGTCCATCATCGCGCGTAAGTTCGGCGACGGCTTTCCTAGCGACGTAGAAGAGAACACCGTGATTGACGTTAAGACTGAGTGCAGATGTCAAATCGGCGCCCTTGTTCTTGTGCTTAGTAAGCGCTTCCAAGGCACACAAGGCGGTGGTCTGGAGCTCTCTAGAGGCACCGAGTTGACCATCTGCAGGGGGGTGAATCAGTTCGGCAAGCTGGTAGGCAAGCTGAAGTGGACGAGGCTCATCAGAATCCTGCTGCCCGATCTTCTGATGGAACGTCGACTCGGGATGGACGTAAGCCAGATTAGCAATAGCAAGCAACCGGATGGCCACGATGTTTTCGCGTGCCGCCCTATCAGACGCAAGAGAGTGCGCAACACGAACGCGATGGAGAAGTTCATAGCGGGTCTCCTCAGGCACGTCGTGGGCATAGCTCCTCATAATTTCGTAGCAAGGCTGAGAAGAGATTTCCCGGTAGGGGATTTCCAAAAACTTCGGACCCGGAGGACGAGCTGCATCATGCTGAGCATTGGGTGTCACGGGAGTGCGTGGCGACTGTTCAGTCGGCGCAGTGCGATTTTGTCTAGGCGTAGAATGGGGACCGAGAGTAGAACGACGTACGGGCGTCGGGGTACTTGGCGCCCCGCCAGGGCTAGCGAACGGTTCATGCGGTGCTGGCTTGCTGACTTCGTCCTTGGTAGTATCGTAGTAGGCTAAGAAGACGCTGGCCCACTCCTCACGAAGGGCAGGCGGAATCTCTTCCAGCTTGACCTTGCCCACCAAATCCGCCACCTGCATCTTGTCTGATGGAGCCTCGGCGCTCGGACCAAGAGAAAGCTTGTCCTTACCCTTGCCAGATGCCGGCGAGGAGCCCTTTGCGAAGGGTAATGCGATCTTGTGGAGGTTATCGAGGTTGATGTTGTAGTGGCTGAGAAGGAGGCTGTTTTGCACGGTGGCGCTCGAGCCCATGCGTACACGCGAGGTATGATAGCGTTGGGCAAGCCGGAGAGTGAGACGCAAAGTCGTCCTCAACAGCGAGATGGAGGTAGTGTTTAGAAGTTTGCTGAGATGCTCGCTGCTAGCGTACAGGCTGCGGTTTCCGCAGTTCTCCAGTAACAACTTGGTGAACCTCAGGATATCCTCAAGGAGTTGCTGATCGCCCTCCGCAGTGTAGCCAGCAGCATCGAGATCAGCAGCGCTGGGCAGCAACTCCGGCGACTGCTTGCCATCCTCCGCATCGCCCTTCAGCAGCAGACGCCTGCCGAAAGGTTGGGTTTGAGGACCGCTGGCCAAGGCATATTCCTCAACGAACAGCTCGAGCACGCGGTCGAAACGGTTCAGCACGGGGATCCAGTGATATAGGTCACCACGAGGGAAAGGCCATCGCCGGGGGAAAGAGCTCAGGTGAGCGGGTATCTTGTGAAGCGGGAGCGCGAGCGTCTCCTTGATGAACTCCGCGATGTACGGAGACTACAATCAATTCATGTTAGCAAGAGTTTGCCGCGTCTCAGAAAGCATGCGGAGTGAGCACATACCAGAGTCGCGTCATGCTTGGATGTTGCGACCTTTTTTATCCTCCCCATGTTCGCAACCACAGCCTGGAAGGCAGACCTTCCCACGCCCAGGTGTTGCTATCCAGCTCACACAGCTCCAAGCCTCACTCTACAGCGGTTCGCGGGGATCGGCTGTGATGGGTCAGTCAGTAGCGGGCTTAGGAGGGCGGGCTTGGCGGGTGTCGCGGCGATGAAAGGTAGCGTGAGGTGCGGGCGGAAGAGTGGCCCGGTGGCGGCGCAACTGTTGTCGAAATCGCGGGCGCGCGTGCCTGGAGCTGGAAGGCGGCGTAGTGGGCCGGCAGCAGCGACGTTTGGGGCCAGCAGGCGACGGTTGAGCGAAAAGGCGCGAGATTGGGTCTGTCGGAAGCGCAGGGCAAAGGTTCCAACGGAAAAGAGAGGAGCGGTGCAGGCGTCCCCTCACGTTAGACTTTTGCGTCTGTGTCGCGGGCGTTGTGAAGCAGTGCGCAGGCCAGCCCGTGTCGATGGCGGAGGGTGATGGAGAGGGAGTGGCGGGGAAGCGGGTGCTGAGGAAGTTGGGCTGGTTGTCTGCGTCTTCGCCGTGAGGTAGGCGGTAGCAAACCTAACGTCACCGACAGGCTTACTCAGTTTGAAATGTGGCCCACGGGCCACCCACAGAAGAGCTTCGCGGAACAGCTGCAGTCCCTGGCGCCCCGAACCATGGAGCACCTGGAGCATTGCGTGACCAAGGGCTGCACGAGACTCGGGCGTCCGAGGGGCTCTGCTGGGCTGAATCGGCATGCACGCGCTGGCCGATGGTCACTGTTTATCCACACCCAGCCTGAGTAGCACGAGCAGCGCAATCGCCAGAAAACAGCTGCCCTTTCAACGGTCTTGATACGCATCTATGTACAAAGCACTTGCGACGACCGTGCTCACGGCATGTTCACAAAGAGGAAGCATCACTAATCAAGCGTAAGATAACATCAGCACCATGACGGCGCGCATGGCATTCGCGAAAGCTAGCGGGCGTCGCGACGCGTGCGAGGCGCCAGCCGCCCGTCGCGCCTGGGAGGCCCCAGGCCCCGCCGAGCGCGTCGCCCGTAGGTACAAGGCAGCTTGCGCTTGCACCACCCGCTGCATCCCCGCGCACTCCAGCCGTCGCACGCGGCGAGCTGTGGTTGGAGATGAGCCCAAAAGCTCCTTCTTTCCCAACCGTTTAACCCCGCGTCCACCCATTTGTCCCGCTTGCGTTTCCTTGATCGGCTTCGCCCTCGGCCAGCCGGAGCGTCTCTTCCACCACCAACAGGTCGCGCTCGATCATCTCGGCCCAGTTCTGGAGGTCGCCCATTTCATTGAGCTTCTTCACGTTCTGATCCGCCATCTTTTGCCATTTGTCGCCCTCCTTGGCCAGCGCCGCCGTCTGCTTGGCCAGTTCTTTCTCCTGCTTCTCGATGGCTGCTGCATTTGCGTGTATGTCTCCTGCGCGCTGTCGCATCTCGGCGTTCATCGATCCACCGACCGAGGACAGAGAGGCTGTGACCGCAGCGCGCGCTTCAGCAACGCGCTGCTCGTCCGGTGTCTGGGACGGCGATTGTGTCGACATTTTCGTTGTCGAGGCGACTGAAACTGCTTGAGTGGAGGAACTGTGCTGTGCAGAGTGATAAGAATCGTTAGAAGCGGCGAAGCACACAGGTAAACGCGCCATCCACGATCATCTGACTACGCTGCATAAGCGCTGCCGCTCGTCGAGCTCCCGGCATGAGGGGCCATCCGCACACTACTACTGCCGCTTTGGGTAAGGTGGAGGCGGATCATGAGCTTCGACTGCGCGCTCTGCCGGGTAAGTGGTCGCTACTCTTAGCGGCCCCGGATTTGCAGATAGCCGGACAGTTGCGCAAGCTTCCGAAATGCGACGCCATACATCCAGCCATCCTCCAAAGTCCGCTTGCCCATAGTAGAGGTAAAAGCCAAGGTGGTGCAGAGCTACGGTATGGCCTGGAGGCCGACTTGAACAAGAGATGCCTCAGCGACGGTCGTGAAAATTGGGATACAACAGACCGAGATAGACTTTTGCCAGCGACTGACAACCGACTGAAAACCAGCAGGAGGTCTCGGTGCGGGCTGGCATGTATTTGCAGAGCTGATCTTGTCCCAACCTAATAGCCGGCTCAGGAGATCTGTGACACGCCACCTCCACTCTGCTTCAGATAGTCGCCCAAGATCGGCAGCCCATTCCACTTTGAACACGGAGTTTGTATGCATTCTGCTCAGTCTTCCCCTATGGACGCTAGTCGATGTGAGAAGGTTCCGGCACGTCGCTGACTTCGCCAACCAGAGCAGGCCTTATTCGCCCAAGCGCGGAAAATTCAGTGGAACAACACTTGTCTTCCGCACAGCTTATCCGAGGTTCGAGACCTTCTTTCTGTCCTGGGCAAAGATGCGGCCCATATGATTGGGTGACTGTGTTCGGATGTTTGTCCGCAGAATGCGAAGTCGGTAAACTCTATGTTTCAAGGTCCGATTGACAACGTGTTTCATTCAAATTTCCCCGGATTTTCTGTGTGCTGCAGACAAGCGCCAGAGCACATGCGTGCGTAGCGTTTCGTTGTGGGCCTTTGACACTTAATATCCTCCCCCGGTTGAGACGTGTTTTAGCGGCGTTTCTGTCCCGTGCTGCCGCACACGAGGTCCGTCCGAAGATCCACCAACCCGTTTGCTCCTCGCACTATACAAGTCCCGCACTACCTTCTGGAAGAAACGGACCCAGGAAGCCCGTGAAGCCCACAGCGCCGGTCGCAGCCCGATTTTCCTCGTTCTTTTCTGGGCATTTGCCAGCTTCACGCACTCGTCCCTTATAAATTCTCCAAGGCTGCATACAGCGGATTCATTCACTCGCCCACACTTCTTTCTTTTGCAATTCCTACAGAATGAAGTTTTCGACCGTTCTTGGTGTGGCGGCTGCCACTTCTCTCGCTGCTGCCAGCCCGCTGAGGAGGCAATCCAACTCCACTTTTGCCAAAGTCGATGGCTTGAAGTTCAACATTGACGGCGTGACCCAGTACTACGCCGGCACGAATGCGTACTGGCTCGCTTTCACCACTGGCAATGATGACATTGACACGGCTCTCGATCGCCTGAAGGAGTCAGGCCTCAAGATTCTTCGCATCTGGGGCTTCAACGATGTGAACACCGTTCCCACTGACGGTAAGCTATCTCTGAAGAAGCATTTACAGACGATTGTGCTAATCAAATCAAAAGGTACTGTCTGGTTTCAGTCGTTTGTCGATGGTCAGGACCCGGTCATCAACACTGGTACCGACGGCCTTCAACGTCTTGACTACGTCGTCAAGTCTGCCGAGCAGCGCGGCATCAAGCTCGTGATCAACTTCGTCAACAACTGGACGGACTATGGAGGCATGGCTGCCTATATGAAGCGCTTTGGCGGTTCGGCGAACCCGGACTGGTACGCCAACGCCGATATTCAGGCTCAGTACAAGAAGTACATCAAGGCTGTCGTCTCTCGCTACTCTAACTCGTCGGCCGTGTTTTCTTGGGAGCTGGCCAACGAGCCCCGCTGCAACGGCTGCAACACGGTAAATATCCCCGCCTTGATCCTTCATGAAATCATAAGACTAACGCTTTTCAGAGCGTCATCTATGACTGGGCAAAGGAAACCAGCGCTTACATCAAGAGCCTTGATCCCAACCACCTGGTTACCCTTGGCGATGAAGGATTCGGAGTCTCAGGTGGTGACGGCAGCTACCCTTACACGGTAGGATTCTTCCCTGGTCACGCACGGGTAAAAGGCTAACGAAGAAACAGCAAGGTGAGGGTGTCGACTGGAACAAGAACCTCGAGATTGAGACTCTTGACTATGGTACTTTCCATCTGTACCCCGATTCCTGTAAGTTCCCCTTTTGAGGATCCCAGTTATTGCTCCACCCTGACCGCTTTTCCAGGGGGCCAAAGCAACGACCCGTTCGGCTCCGAATGGGTGGTTGCTCACGGCAAGGCATGTGTTGATGCTGGAAAGCCTTGTGTCTTTGAGGAATACGGTGTGCAAAGCGACAAGTGTACTGTTGAGGGCAAGTGGCAGGACACAGCCCTCAACACTACCGGAATTGCTGCCGACAACTTCTGGGATTTCGGCACGACGCTCAGCTGGGGCCAGACTAACAACGATGGCAACACCATCTTCACGAACACGTCTGACTGGACCTGCCTGGTCACCAACCACGTTGCCAAGATCAACAACTGAAGTGGATAAGCAGCGTATCCGGCGTGTGTTCTTGGATTCTTGTCTATACTTTGTTTGTACAAAAATATCGAATATGACGTATATATCTTGTGATTCATCCTCGAACACGACGGCATTGTAAACAACTTTCCGAAGGCTGAGTTAGTCGCGTTTATCCATGTGCGCTCTGATTGGGCGGAGCCGCTACTATTGGGGCGGCAGTGGGAGACTCGGCGGCGGCACCCCGAAATACAGGGCCGTCGTGCCGCCTCAAATTAACAGGGGGGCGGACCTGTGGAGAAACATCAAAGCGGATCTGTTTCGAGGCGGTCGTGAGGCTCGGCTGCGCGTCTGTCGACCTCATTGGCCGGTCGGGGCTCAAAACGTCGCTCTGACCACCGTTCCACCGCCAAGCCGTTTCGACTTTAAGCACCTCCCATGCCAACATCATGCACTCTCGCATCTCGAAGCGCCCAAAGGGGCCGCCGATCGAGGGACACATGTCTTACCTGGCTCGGTTAAAGCCTGAAGCAGTGAAAAGCGGAAACAACCAACGCTGACTGGCAGTCTCGAGCCGCTTTCCCAGATGAAAGACGGCGAAAAGTGCCACCCCTTCATCCCGTCCAACGGGATCGATGGACGATGATCCCTCGGGATGCCGGCCGCAGAATGCATGGCGGTGTTTGAGAGTCTTGCGATCAGGCCTGCGTTGACAATCCCTCTATAAGAGCCTTGAGCCGCCGTCAAGGATCCGTTTCTCTTCACTGCCCATCAGTCGCTGTGCATCTTTACCTTCTTCAGTCCTTCGCTGGTCGAAACAACCCTACAACCCTCCCGTTCGCTCTTTTTACCGTTTTTGTCAATAATCCCAAACAAACTTCAGGCCTTGTCACCACCGCCATCATGAAGGGTCTCTTCGCTATTCTTGCCACGGCTTCGGTCGTCTCTGCCCACGCCACCTGGCAGGAGCTCTGGGTTGGTACTGAGGACAAGGAGGGAACTTGCATCCGCCTTCCTCAGAGCAACAGCCCCGTCACCGATGTCACCTCCAACGACATCCGCTGCAACGCCAGCCCCAGCGCTGCCTCGACCACTTGCTCCGTTGCCGGTTAGTAAAGCCCCTCCAACAGCATATCCTCATGTCCCTTCTCTTTAGAGGCCCGAATGATTGCTAACGAAAACGTAACCCACAGCCGGCGGTTCACTGACGGTTGAGATGCACCAGCAGCCCAACGACCGCAGCTGCGACAACGAGGCCATCGGTGGCAACCACTTCGGCCCAGTCATGATCTACATGTCCAAGGTCGACGACGCCGCCACTGCCGATGGCTCTGGCGACTGGTTCAAGGTCGCTCAGGACACCTACAACGGCACTGAGGCTAGCTGGGGTACCGAGATCCTCAACGCCAACTGCGGCAAGCGCGCCTTCACCGGTAAGCCATGACTTCTTTTCATAGACACAGAGAACAACCACGAGACAAGAGAAATAAAGGGGAAGAGAAAAGGACATACCGTGCTGACTCAGTCATAAATAGTCCCCAAGTCTCTCCCGTCGGGCGACTACCTCGTCCGCGCCGAGGCGCTGGCCCTGCACAGCGCAGGTAGCGAGGGCGGTGCTCAGTTCTACATGAGCTGCTACCAGGTCACCGTCACCGGCGGCGGCAGCGCCACCCCGTCCCCGACCGTCAAGTTCCCTGGCGCCTACAGCGCCGACGATGCTGGTATCCTCATCAACATCTACCAGACCCCGCTGACGTACGAGGCCCCTGGCCCGGCTGTCTGGAGCGGTAACTAAATGGAGATGATGTGATGAGAGGTTTTGCGTGGTTCTGTGTAAATACTTATTTTTGGATAAGCGAAATAGCGGGATAGTTGGGATGTGAATGAAGAGAGATGGCACGTGAATGCATGAGTATGTGATATGAGAAACTGCTCGTGATGTTGAAAGGCGATAGCCTAAATTGAAGAGACTTGGCGCTGAAGGCATGAATTCAGAATCAATAAAGTACGTGCGGTAGACCCTTTTCGAAATCCCGCGTAGGTAATTGGGTGCAGAGAAATAAGGAGTTGTAGTGGCCACTGCGTAGTAGGTGCTATCGTCTGCTCAGCTCGTCACGCAATAAAGCTATTTTTAGTCGTGGGTATACCCACACTTAGGGATGACAGGGTCGTAAAGGGTGGTACCTATTTGGGAAGATATAGACACGTCCTTTGGGTAGTTGAAGCAAATGATCTAGTGTGTATGCTAGCTTCAAGAACAATGTAGCATGTCAAGATGTCGCTTTCAACTATCCGCGTGATTCAAATAGTACGTGATGAACCATCAGGTGTGTTGAAGTACGAAGAGTCGCGTATAGTAATTGCCCAGAATAGAAGGCTTGTTTCGGCTTAGTCTCACCTCTGAATGCCCATAGTCTCTGCTGGTCGCGTGCCCCTTAGAGGGTCAATCCAATATGGTCTCGGTAAAGGCGATTCCATCATGGGGTGGTCGCCCCCCGTGTTCGCTACCTTTTTCAGTACTTTATAGGAATGCGCAACCCTGGAGCTGAGGAGCACTGGGAAATTAGAAAGAATCGCAAATTGGAATCTCTGCATACGGGCGCTCGGGACGTGTAGATTCTGTGCCTTCTGGATATGCAGCCATGGGAAAGCCCTGACGAGGAAAAAAGAGAAGCGCAGGCAAAGGGCGCAAGAGGCGGAATGAAGGTTGATAGAGTGCTGTGGAAGTGAAAATTAAGATGAAGGATGTTCAGGGCTGAGTAATTGCACAGTCGGCGATGCACATGGACAATTTTGCTGCCAATAAAATTGACCGCGCTTCTCCTTGCGTGACATGTGACCGCATCCCGACGGCGATCATCCGGATTTCCATGGCAATCGCTTCCGGAGTGGACAAGGAGAGAAGGTCGATGGAAGATTGCGCGTGGCTGGTGGGGACTCGGAAGGCCGATTGCGGCGGCAGCCGGGCCTTTGGCAGGGAACGGCGTGGGGGCCGGGCTTCTCCCTGTGCCGTCACGCCAACAACCCACCATCGATGCCGGCACTTACGCCAGACAGTCTCAACACCGCTCACCACCACAGGGCTGACGGCAGTCTGGCCACGCGATGCGAAGCAACCTTCCTGCCTTGTAGCTGCAGCCCGCTGACAGCCGCCCCACTCCGCCCGGCACCACTCCGCATCTGGCACGGTCTTCCGCACCTGCATCTCCGCCCCCGACCCATGCATTCCACACGAAAACGGAAGGCCACGAGTTGCTCGGCATGGACCCGCATCGCCCATCGCCGGGAGGCTGCATATCTTGAGCCTCTCGGCGAGACAGCAGCAACGTCACCGCACGACTCAGCGCTCCGGGCCGGCCGTTTGAGACGTCGCCTCGCAACTCATGGGCCTGCTCCTGCCCAATCTCGGCGGCCTCCCTATCGTCCTGCAGCCTGACACTGCCGTTGCCGGCCCGCCCGCGGTGCCTCACGTGGCCCGCCGTAAGGCCCTCCTCTGGGCACGTCACTGCTGCTGCCATGGCAGGGCCAGAAGCTGGGCGGCCCGGACGACGACTGTGATTCGCGCTCCGTGCCGAGCGCTCTGACGCCTCCGCCACCTGGATGGCGTGCCTATCTCCGCCGGCTTCGAGTGCCCTCCCAAGCCCTCAACCCGCCCGACGCAGAGATGCCGTTGGGGATATGCACCGCCAGGGACCCTGATCACCGTCCGCATCCGTCCGCAGTGCCTCTTCCTGGGGACAAGCTTATCAGCTCTCCATCCTCACCTCGGGCATTGGCCAATGATCGGCTATCAGCACGCGCAATGCATTGCCGATACGACGCTCGAGCCCAAAGACGCACCTTCCCCAACCCGTTAGTCGGCCTCTTCACGACCATGACCAGGGTATTTGCGAGGGGCTGTGAGATGCTTGTTTGGACGTTTCTTTCTATTTTCTTTCGCCGTCCCTCGGCTCCCCTCAGGTCCTCAAATGGCTCTTGCTTCCTCGCTACTCCTCCCCTAGGCCTCTCTTCGGCGGCGATCGATGGTCTGATGGTCCACTGTCGCATCCTACATCATGAGCGACGACTCCTCTTACAACAAAAAGTATGACCCCGACATGCCGGTGATACGATGGCGCCAGCGCATGGAGTTGGCGACTGTCTGCGTCGCCAACGCCATCTCGCGTAAGTAGCCACTTCGCCCGCCGAATATGCCGTGTGCTGACTGCCGCCTGGAAAGTTTGTGTAATGATCACTCGCATCATTGTGCAGCGGAAGAGGTTCAAACGCTTTCGCAAGGTTGAATGGCAAACAATCATCGCCACGGTGAGTCGCCTTCCTAGTGTCGCCATCTCTGCGCGACTCCAGTCGTCTAATTTGCGCTGCCAGGTTCTCCTCGTGTTTCCGCTATGGACATCGCAAGTCTTGACGAACCACTACGGCAGTGGGTTGCATGTGCAGAATGTTCCGCCCGAATACGCGATTCCTTTCTGGAACGTAAGTGAATCTACGCCGTTAGTGTTCCGCCTCGCGCTAACAAGATGGTATAGTGGAGCCTTGGGTGGATGTCCTATTACATCGTTGTATCCATGGTCAAGGTCTCCGTGTGTTACAGTCTTCTCGAGATCCGTGAGTATCCGAGCCGACTTGAGTGCGCCTAACCTACAGTCGCAGCTGACAAGGTTTCTTCAAGTGCCGCACACTTTTCGGACGTTCCGCCGACTTGTCCACCTTCTCTGCGTTGTCATCATGGGCTTGGGAATTGCTGAAGCGCTAGTATGGACGTTTCAGTGCGAGCCTTTCATGAGCAATTTCGATTACAACGTTGAGTCTACATGGTGTGCGAATATCGACGCCGCGCGATTCTGTACGTCCACAAAACTTGCTATTTTCCAGCTATTTGACTAATGATGACCAGCGTGGGCCGGAATCGGAATTGGCATCGACTGCATTCTCACCTGGATACCGATCGCAATCCTGCAGCGCACAAGGTTGCTTAGGCATGAGCGGATAGTTTTGCGCGCAGTTTTTGGAGCTACCTTGTTGGGAACTGCAGCAACGTGGGTATTAGTCCACATGAAGACCGAAGCAGTGCTGACTTCGGAGAACAGGGCTGCCGGATGCTACGGTATCTGGCTCAACCGCGAGGCTCAAGCTGTCAATGACCTTACATGGACCGAAAGCATTTATATCATGTTCAACTCGATTGAAATCACGCTTTACACGGTCGGTGGCTCGCTGACGGTCTTTTCGCGCTATTTCATCAGCAGGGCCGCCGCGTACTCTTCAGGCGCCCGCACCGATCACTCTCATTCAAACAGCTTCTCAATTTTCTCAAAGGTTTCGAATCGGATGCGAAAAATGTCGGTGCACACTGTGACGGATTCTCAACTCAACAGGGAGGAGCCGGAGCCTTTCAACATCAATGCCACCGCGCCACTGCCACAGTGGGATATTGATGGCTATGAGCTGCAGCAGCCGCTGCCCCCGCCGCCGATGACCGCCATGACTGCGTTGCACGACCCGGAAGCCAGCAAATGGCACACTTGGGAGACGAGCTATGGAGTGCCTGCGAGCCGCGAGACAACAACCACCGATTTGCCGTCGATCGAGCACATGGGCGTCCTCCCCGACGTGGACGATACGCCGCCGAGAACGAGAGAACCTAGCACGACGAGACAGCCGCAAGTCGAGCAGCAAGCCAGCACCGCGTGGTACAATAGCGAGCACAGCAGCGAGGAGGAGCAACCACCGGCATCTCCGCAGTTCTTCACAGGCATGCACCGCCCATCAGGTTCAAGGCACGACAGCCCGCAACAACCACGGTATCCGGAACGATAGTGTTGACGTGTTTCTCTGTTTTGTTTCTTTTCTACAGGAAGTTCCATCTACCGTTCAGCCAGTCGCAAGATCCTATCATCTACGAGTACGACCGATCCTGAAACCATCTAATGTCGCGCAAACGGGAAAGAAGCATTGCATCGGAGTTCGGGGTTTTTCTTCTCCTCTGGAACGATTTCGGGTCTACACTGGGCAGTTGATTTTTGGGGTTTGGCTGAGAAGAGTAAGGCTATCTCAATCCGCGGCGGCGGGAGATGAGTATGGGGCGGGTGGGGTGATCAGCAAGAGAAAGGGAAACAAAAAAGAAGGATCGGAAGCCGGGGGAAAGGAGGTGGCCTATTGCTCACGATTTTTACGACGTCGACATTCGAACGCAATTCCCCTATCAATCTTCGTCGAACCGCTATCTCACCGTACGCACGCAAGTATGGCAACCGACTTTCCGTTCCCGCTCGGAATTACTTGCGCTCCGGATTTATTGCATCCGGGTGTGCATGATTTTTCGCCCGCGAGTCGTGGGCGAAAAGCCGCCCTGGATCCTGATTCAGCGCAGCGTGCGCACGGTGGGGCCCACTCACAAGGCGCAAATCCAATCCGGACTTGGCTGGAAGCATATTAATGCGCAAGCCACGCAATAAAGGATGTCCGAGAAATCGCAGCTGAAGAAGTAGGCACCTGTCGTGATCCACCGGGTGGCCTGTTCTCCTCTCTACTATACACATTGCCGCCTCGCCTCGCCGCGTGATCCGCCGGGAAGGTGCTGGTCATGGACCAGGTACTCCTTGCGAGGAGAAGGAGAAAGAGACGAGGATTACGAGGTTTTGCCACCAGTGAGCAGGGAGGACGCCGAATCGTTGTGGCGGGAATTTGAGTCGTGAGAGAACATCTTGCGGCTTGTGCACGGCCTTGGCTCTTTCGATCCTCTTGCGCCTCTTTCTTGGTCTCAGGCTACGACGAATCATTCTGCGTCCGAGGGAGCGAGGGCTTCTGCGTGCATCGAAGGAGCCGTTCGGACCCTGCATAAAGGTCGCGCGTTTCAAGAGACGATTATAGGATGCCGTGGATCTCGAGGTTGTCGTCATCGGACCCATTCTGGCGCGGAGTCTAGGAATAGGGAATATTTGTTGCGAATAAGTTCTGGGAGGGAGGTTTAAAAGGTGGGTGTTATAGGTCGGTGGAGCTCTCCTTGATTCGTCGGTTCCTTTTTCCTTTTTCGGTAGGCATCGTCTGCGTGTGTATGAGAGGTGCTAGATGGGGGGCGTGCTTGTTCTGGAGGCTTCTTCTGAATTTTCTAGACAAGTGTAGAGGGGGAGGATAATGGTGTTGTTTTGCATTTTTCCTTTTGGTGTATCTGGCGCTTTTGAGATACCCGTTTGCTATTTTGTGGTGTTCGCTGGCGGTGGTAGAAAAGTAGAGTCTGGGGCGTATTGCATGTAGGGGTCTGCACTGGTAGGTCGTAGTTGGCTAATGAACGGGCTTTGCATTGCTATCATCCATACATTCACTCGATTTACCCTCGCTCTGCTCAAACCTCTCGAGCAAGCAGGTGCAGACAGTTTGGTAAATGACGTATGCACCTGGGTACTCATCCATGGCTCTGGCTATTTCGCAGTGCTTATTATCGGCTTGGGCTGTCATAGTGATGCCACTGGGTTGGAGGAGCCGCAGACAAAGCACCGCCAGCGTGGGTGTACAAAAGATATCATCACGCACCCGAAACCAGACTTCGAAGACATCGCAGATCGGCATCACATTGCAGATACCTGTATGCATATGCATGTGCAACACTCGCTCGACAAACCCACCTCCACTTATCACTGCACAACACCATTTCTTGCCCCTCCTCAGTCGGGATGGGCGGGTTTGATCGGAAATGGCAGCGCTCTCTCGGCCGACCAGGCCCAGCACACTGTTCAGGGGATGTGAGACCTTCCCGTCGATCCCGTCCGCAATGCCATGGCTCCGGTCCGCGTGCCGATCGCGGGCAATGCAGCTCATCATCCCGGTCAGGTGCATAACAGCCAACAGCAACGGCGTGGCTGTGATGCGCGCACATCCGTGGGTCGGGGATGCTTCGGGGCGGGCGGCGGTGAGTTTCGGGGGGGGGCGAGGGAGCGATATAATGTTTCTAAATGCGTACGCGGACGAAGGTGGCTTGGGTGGTGGTGTTTGCTTCGGACTCTCCGATGGGGGTTGTTGGGTGCATGGTGCGTGTTGTGGTGAGGATGGTGATCGACGAGGAGGGGAGGGAGGATGTACTGCCCTGAGCGCCGGTGGGCATGTGCTGTCCCGGCGCGTAGGGCGGGGAAGGGGGAGTTGGAAGTTTCAGGATACGGGATGCGGTGTTGGAAGGGTGCACTTGATGGCCTGTTTTCGCACTGGCCTTGTCTTTGGCGGTGTGGAATGTATTGAGCGGTGCAGGTTGGTCTGGTCTAATTGGTGAGAGATTATTGGTTCCGTCGTCCTGGGTGCGGCGCGAATATAGAATAGATGAAAGCGGAGGAGAAAAGGCAATAAATCGGTTCGGAATACAGTTGAATAATGAAAATTTCGCTTTTGGGTTGGTGGACATGGGTTACGTGGCTGGCCGGGTCGAGCCAGACGTTGATCCTGCAGATCAGCATGCGGCTGAATGCACTCCCTCGAGGTGGCTTTCCTCTTCTGTTTTCGTAGTCAGCGAAGAGAGCGGTCAAGCTTATGTGCAGCAACACCCAACGTAAACCCCAAGTATTCAAGTAATTAGGGGAGAATGCTCTGTACGCACAAGTCTTTGTGCAGTCCACTGTTTCCCGATTCCATCTTCCTCTCCCTTCTCCAGTCCGCTCCTATATTGAGTTACCGGCCCGCTTGGCGCATAATCGGTGCCACACCATTCGCTGATTATCTTGTGCTTCCGTGTTCTGTCGCCGTACATGCCTCCTTCACGCCTGGACCTGTGCAAATTTCAACCGTGGGAAACTTGCTAGAAAAAATCATTACCAAGAGTTCGCTGAAACCAGCGTATTATAGCAGCGCACAAAGCGCCAACACCCATAGGCATGACGATCAAGACGAAGAAATTAGAGATAGAGGCCATGCTGAGAAAAGCGTAGGCGACAAGGATGAGGACGAGGATGACGGACAAGATGGTCGCGATTATCTTCGAGACGGTGAGTGCAGGAGGTTTGGCTCGACTTGAGATAGCTTTGGCGCTGGGTGTCATACTGTTAGGGGTCTTGGTGGGTATTTTCTTGAAGTTCAACGAAAGGCGCGGTTGAGGTCCGTTAGTTGATTCTAGAAGCTAATTAAGACTAGCTGACAGTCCAGATCGAAAGCACTTTACTCAAGCGTCATTGTACCGTGGCTGAGATGCGAAACACCTGGAATCTTGATACACCTCAGGACAAGGTGGTTGTGACGAAGTGGCAGCGCTGTAAGATCCAGGAATGTGCTAACCGCGATCCAGTAGCCACGACGCAGAGTCTTGTTCGATCAATCACACAACACAATGAACAGCGTGAAGCCATGAAGTTGGGAACAAGAGTGGTGGGAAGTCGGCGGGGTCGGAGGAAGAGGCCCGAGCTCATCGCTTAGCGCATGCGCTAAATAAATTCGCTGGTACAAAAATTTCCCAACGCTCTCTTCATTCCTCCTCCTCACCACACTCTCGCCCAAGGCACGATGAGGCTCTTTCTCATCCGCCACGGCGAGACTGTGGACAACCTTGCACAAGTCTAGTAACGACACACTGTCGCGCGCCGCCGTCGACATCGACGCTGACCCTCGCAGCGCAGGCAGCAAAGACTCGGAACTGACCAACCATGGCTTCCAGCAAGCCCAGCGCCTGGCCCGCTACCTCAGGGGCACCGACGTCCATTTCACGCACATCTTCGCCTCTCCCCTGCAGCGAGCCCGCAAGACCGCCCACGCCATCCTCGACGCCCAGTCGTCGCCCGCTCTGAGGATAACTAGCGTGTCAGCCATCCAAGAACAGGATTTCGGGTCCTTCGAAGGCAAGAGCTGGTTGGAGGGTCCTTCTTCCGACAAGCCGCGACCGCCCGGCTTCATTGATGTCGAGTCAAAGGAGTCGATGGCGAGGCGCGTCGACTTGTTTCTGGATGAGCACCTGGCTGCCTTATGGCGCTCGGCTGCAGCGGGGGAGCGATGTGTCGTGGCCATCGTCTCACATGGCATCATCCTGTCGGTTCTTTGGCGACGCATCTTGCGCCGCCTCCCACCGGACAGCGTCACCATCCGGCCAGAAATCTTGGTTCCTGGCAAACCTGTGTCGCTGGAGCGCATTGGCGGCTTCTCCAACACAGGATACCTTGAGCTGAGCATGGCTAGAAGAGGTGCGCCGGTCGCACGAGCGTTGGACAAGGCGTCAGGTCACACTGGTACCGCATCCTCGCCGAGCAAACACTTGGCAGCTCGAGGCACCACAGCTGGTGCCTCCAGCCTCGCCAATGTTGCCGTCGCTCCTGTACCAGCCCCTGCCAGGGCTGTGGAGAAGCTTCCCTCGAGCAGCTCCAGCCATGTCCTGCACGGATGGACGACACAAGTTGTCACCATCAATGGCAAGGAACACTTGATTGGCCTTAAACGCACTGGCGGCGGAGTGGGCAGTTCCAAGCATGACCAAAAGCAGAAGTCGATCGACACCTTTTTCAAAAGGCGCAGGGTCGACTGATATTAACTCTGCAGGATTCCGACGGATGTACAGCCACGTAATGGTGGTTGTACATCCGACCCTTTCAGAATGTGAGTAACCATCTTCCCTTTTTTGCACCACCACCACTACCCCCCTTCGTTCGAATGATGAGAACTATTCACACAACAGACCTGTTCTGAACCCAGAATGAGGACAAACGATATTGCCAACTGCTGTCTGATCTCGAACACACAACTCGCATTGAAAATTCTGCAACCTAATTGCGAGCCGAAGCTAATTAGTCTTCAATAGGAACTCTTCAAGTCGATATAGCACTGGATGCTTCGACGTTTCGGACGACTATCTCCTTAATCTCGCCGCCCGTCAGAGATGCAGCTTAATGTTCAGCTGTCTCGGATTTGTCATTTGCCGAGTACTTGTCTTTGGTTCATGAGTGATGATGCGATGCAACAGATGACGTAGGTCTTAGATGAATACAATGATACTCAAAGTATGATGAATCCCAAGCACAATCTTGCCATTTGAACTCCGTGTGTGTGTGATGTGATGGCTGCGACGTGGACGCCATCCTGCCGTTCCTTTGTAGTGAAGAAGAGTATCTTTGCCTAGCAACTGAGCACAATCGGCAGGCTTTCCATTTCACACAAACCGTTGCAATAGCCCTTCACTGGAGGCTAACTATGATCACTACAGCCAGCAAGCGTTGTAATCGAGCCCCTGTGATCGGCCTCCCCAATCATCCTCGCCGACTACCTTCCGCACCACCACCATGGCCATCACGATTTTACTTTCGCGTAACAAACAACCATCACAAATCTTCTGCAGGTTCCCGATCGGCTCTGCCTTGATTTGCCACCTCTCCGCTTCCTTTTGTTAATTGCCTTTTCCACGATGATGACGCTCTCTCTTCGTCTTTGGTTTTCACTGTCAAATCGGCTACACCCATGAGCTGCCGTCTAAACTGAGCTCAGAATCATTCCATGACCCATCTCCCAGTTTACCATCATCATGGTCAGCGTGATTCAAGCGTGGGGGCTGGCGTCCCTGTTTGCTGTGTTTGTCCCGACGGCAGCGTGGCCATGGGCGTTGAAGCGGGAAGCAAATAACGGTATGGTTAATTCCATTCTACTCATCCGTTATGGGGACCAAATCTCATGACTGATCCCGTTCTCTTGGGTTTCGAAGCCATACCGACGGAAGATGTTGGCGCAACTGTCACGATTCATCCCTTCAGCTTGGACACCACGAGCTTGTCGCAGGTTGTCGAAAGTCTAGAGTCCGTACTCAGCACGCTGCCCGCTTCTTTATATTCAGAGGGCACATCTGGTGAGTACGGAGATCTATTAATGGGTTTGGACGTGAAGCTGACCCTCATTCAGACGTCCTGGGATTGACGACAGCGGTCACTTTCACCATCGCTGCTACATTATCTTCACCTGAGCCTGAGGTGTCGACGAGTTTCGTCACGATTACCACGGAGTCAACCGTCACAGAGACGCAAAACACAGCATCGGTCCTCTCCGCCGCCCTGCAGACCTTCACCACCACCACCATCGCTGTAGCAACCCAACCCACCTCTCCTCCCTCCTCTGCGGTCCTAGCACCACCACCCCCATCAGCCGCGGCCTCCTCCTCCTCCTCCTCCTCCACCTCCACCACCACCATCACAATCACCTCAACCACCACAGCAGCAGCAACAGCAGCAGCCACCTCCTCCACCCCCAACGCCCTCTCCGTCCTCTCCGCCGCCCTCGCCACCTTCCCACCTTCCCCTCACCCCACCACCACTACATATACCTCCTTCGCGCCCCCTCCTCTCCCCGAACGTCCATTACCATCATCATCACCAACCGACGACGAAGACGACATCTACCCCGCCCTCTCCCTCCTCACAACCGTCACCCAAACCATCACCTTCTCCGACACCTCCACCGGCACCCTCACCTTCACCTCCGCTTCAACTGGTGTTAGCACTTGGACCTCCGCCTTCCCCGTCCGCACCACGACCGTGACGTACGCGTCGCCGCGGCCCGAGAGCGGCTCGGCCGGCGTCGGAGGGGCCGTGACGAGCAATGTTAGCGCTTGGGGGAGTGTGGTGGAGAGTTTGGATCGGTCGCTGAGCGCTGCGACCGCGACCGCGACTGCGACCGCGACGGGGGCGAGTGCTGGGGCGTCGGCGAGTGGGGGAGGGGGTGCTGGTGCTGGTGGTGGAGATGGTGCGGCGGCGAGTTCTACGGCGGCGGCTGCGACGGGGGCGGGAGTGAGTGTGGGGAGGGAGGGAGGTTGTGGAGGGCTTGTGGTGGCGGTTGCGGGGTTGGTGGTTGGAGTGGTGGAGGTTGTGGGTCTTTGAGGGGGGGGAAGAGGAAGAAGGGAAAGCGTAATGTGGGCTGGTAGGCAGCCTGGAGCTCTACGCCATCACTAATTATTTTCTTTTTGGGAGCTGCGATCAATGCTAGGACGCGCTATAAGGTAGCCAATTCCCTCTGGCGTATGAACAGACACTTTGATTCGGTGTGCCCCTGGAGTCTAATGAGAATTTAGTATGGGAAACGTAAATGCAGTTTTTTTTTTTCAACCACTCTGTTTCGTGATGAAAAGGTTGTCTTAATTCGTGTTGCCTCGGCTTGGCACGGTAGAATATTTTGTAGATGGCCTGAACCTTATCCATTGTGCAAAGCCGCCTTGGGTTGGAATATGCTGTGATAAATTAGACCTTAAACTTCATCTGGATGTAAACCCAGATATCATGTCACTGGAACTTGACACTCTTGGTAAGACAGGACGACGCATATTGCCTCGAGAACCCATTGAGACTATCTCAAGAAATTAATTAAAGAACGTAGTCCTAGAATATAGCATAAGTATGCCTCAGTAAATGTACAACTATCAATTCCACATTTACATCCAGATGATAGCCTCAACTACCCATGGTATGAGCGAAAAATAAATTCTCTCTAGCCGTCGGCTACAATACCCCCTGTACCCCACTGAGTTTCTGCGGTCGTCCCGATATTTCTCAAAACACTGTCATTTATTCTTTGGGTAATGTGCATCTATGGGCTCCCCGAAATTGCGTAGTCCTGCAACTGATAAACCATATGAAGCAAATTATGGAGACTGCTCTCTTTTTTTGTCTGTCGGATTAATAAATGTACATCTGCGTCCGGATGGTAGCTTCAGCTACCTACGCGAAGATCATTGCATCTTACCTCAACTTATATCATCGCTTCCATTTTAATCTGTAAGATTGCTTCTGTGGAAGTGGCACTTAACCGAAAAGGACTTGCATCGTGGAATCGCCTTCCTAATCCGCCGGCCATCAGGGTCCATTATCCATATAAGTTCACTCGCCGTTCGTGATCCTTCTCCACACAAACATCCACCCCAACTTCGATCCCCTGGTACCTTCATCCTAACAACACCGCTCTACCGCCTTACTCAGAAGTAGTCTCTGTGGTAGCATTACCGCAACGCCGACCTCGCCACCATGGCTGATTGTCCCTCATCGTCCTCCAGCAGCCAGATGCAGTCGATGCCTCCCGACTTCGAGACCCAATTCACCGCGGAATGCAACATCAATGAGACGCAATCTGATATCGACATGACTGACACTCGCGAGGCTGAGATGCCGCTTCCATCCTTCCAGCCTCAGTTCACCTTCGACTCCAGTTGGAAATCTGACGACGATGAAGACAAAAATGACGTCCAAGGTAGTACTGAGGGAGACCAAAGCCAAATTAACATCTTCCAAGACAACTCCCTCTTCGGCGACGGCGGGATGCAAAGCAGCAACCCGAAAACGCCAGAGAGCATCCCCGAAACGCCTCCCTTCAGCCAAGCAGGCGTGATGAACCCACCCGCCACCTCACCTGCACTCGGCGAGTCAAGTCAGAGATCCCCATCGAGTTCCCAGCACAGCAGCGACGGCGTTGACCACGGAGCTGGCAGCGACTATGACTTCCCGCCCTACCCTTACGGAAACCCAGTGCTGGATCCCCGCCTCGGAACACAGGTCCCCGGATCACAGTCTCCGCATGATTATTACGGTTCTGTTGAAGACAACGAGGAATCAGTCAGCTCTGTGCATGAGCAGCGTGGACGCGGACATGAATTCCTATCAGAAAGCCGTAGCGTGACACCAGAAGCGCACGGTAGCGGTTACGACAAGTACGAGTTCCGGGAGCGAGACAGAGCTGTGGCCACGACACACTTGGACTGGGATAAATCTGGCGACTACGATCCCAGCGCGAAAGAAGGGCGAAGGCCAAAAAAGGCGGATGGAGCTGAGAGCAGCAGTAGCAGGAAGCGTAGGTCGGGCCAGGCGCTTCAAGAGCAGGATAATAAGCCCGGTGAAAATGGACAGCGGCGGCAGAAAAAACCAAAGACGTACTCGTTGGCGTACGCCCGCTTCATCGGCGCGTCATGCATGCTCACGGTGAGCTTGAACTCGGATGCTGGGAAGGAGGTGGCGAGCAGGTTAGGGGGCGAGGACAATTGGCCGTTCGAACCGTACAACTACGTGTCGGATGAGTACATCGCGCAGAATTGGGTCGGGGCTGAGAACGGCGACGACGAGGGGACAGATGGGCCGAGTCGACAACTTCGTCCGCGTAAGCGCTACGTCCATTACGGTTCATCTTGCTCCGACGAGGACCTCCTCCCACCCATCCCGGACCCGGCCGGCATCGAGGATGACCTGCGCAACCACCCGGCAGCTCGCGGCTGCGTCGAGTGCAGGAGAGAGGGGAAGAAGTGCTCCCTTCGCGAGTCGGGTGGGAGCTGGCCATGCCAGAATTGTCTTGAAAACCACTCGGGCGAGGAATTCATCGCGTGCGAGTTTATCGTGCCGCCAACGAAGAAGATGCCCTGCGAGGAGTGTGCCGAGGGCGACAAGGAATGCTCCTATAACGACCCAGACTCGGACCACGCGGCCGCATGCCAGCAGTGTCAGGAGGGCGACCTGACGTGTGTCGCCAGTCCGGATATAGATTGCCTACCCAAGCGCGTCACCTACACGCCGCCGCCGGGCGAGACGTACACGCCGTACCGTCCCTTTGTTGCATGCACGGCGTGCCGCCAGGTCAAGAAGTCGTGCTCACTGAAGAGCAAGCAAGACCAGCCACCCTGCCGCGCGTGCGAGAAGGCCGGCATCGAATGCACGTTCGAGAAGCTGATCCCCACCAACGCCGGGAAGCAGAAGGCCGCATCGAAAACCGCTGGTCGTGAGGATGCTCCGGCGAGCTCGAACTCTGCAGAGGGTGGCCCGGTGCGTCCTCCGGGCGGCAGTGTTGGTGGCATGGCAGCGCGCACGCCCGACTCTTTCAGCCTCCCAATCCGCACTTCATCGACCAGCTCCATCGGCGGCCTGACGCGCATATCAAGCTCCAGCGCCGCGCGAGGCGCCGCTGCCTTACCACCATCCAAGAAAAAGAACCCGCGTGATAGCGGCGTTGCCGGCCTCGCGAAGTCTGCCACCCCTTCTTCCCACAGGGCCGCCCATACTTCCTCCTCTTCTTCATCCACCCTCCCCCGAAGTCGCCGCGGCGTAACCATGAGCGGCGACGGCATAACCAGCTTCCGCAGCGGCGCCCGCACCGTCTCCGACGCAGCCCGCCGCATCCAGCAGGAGAAGGAACGAGAAAGACTTCAGGCGCGCCAGAACCGCAAGAAAGACCGCTTCACCCACATGAACCCGTCGTCGACCCTGAAATACAACCCGGACAACGCAAAGGACTACACGCCCCCGGCCGACCGCGACATCCCGGCCTCATACCACGTGCTCCCTCCACCTGGCCCGGACAGGCCGCAGGTAATGAAGGATGCCGACGGGCACACCGGCTACGTGCGCGAGATCGTCACCGCGCTGCCGCACCCGGTCGTGTTCGACATCAACTCTTCTTCTTCTCCTGGTGGCGACGCTGGCGGTTGCCGCTTCTGCCAGCAGCCCCCCAGCTTCGCGCTGCTGGGCTTCAGCTGGAAGAAGCCGGCCGTCATCCACTGGAACGACGGCCGCGGCTACACCGAGATCATGGACGGCCACGCGACCTTCGGCGCCGCGCCGGCCCGCATGTGTCGCGCGTGCGTCATGGCGCGCGTCGACGTGCTGAGCTGCGAGGAACACGAGATGGAGAGCTTGTTGCCGGCGCATTGGGGCCCCGTCGAGCGCGATGAGCGGGCGGCGGCTATGATGCAGCGGTTGATGGAGAATGGCATCAGCGGCGGCGGCGGTGGGAACCACCATCACCACGGCGGAGGAGGAGAGATGATGGATCGCTGGTGTGCGGTTTGTCCGGGTGCGGCGGTTTGGCGGTGCTGCAGGGCGCAGGGGAGGGATGAGGACGAGGATGACGAGGAGGATGAGTTGGGGCTTATCGCGGCGGCGGGTGCGGATCAGGGTCAGGAGGGCTGCGGTCTCTTCTTGTGTGACGACTGCAAGGTGGAGTGGGAGGACTGCGACCGCGATTTGCAGGAGCTGCTTGAGCGGAAGTTGAGCACCGAGAAGGGCGTCATGGAGTGCAGAGCGGATGCGGGGTTCTTGCTGCAGGAAGGCCTGCTGATGAAGAACGTCGAGGCGGAGTTGATGCCAGGCCAGTAGCGGGGCTTCGATGCAGAAGTGCTGCAGTATTGGATGGTATTGCTCTGCATCAAGAGGTGCTGCTGGTCGGAAAGTAGCTTTGGGACGAGGCGTTGAAGGTTCAATTGACATGGAGAATCGGCGTCATGATTCGGAACAAAGCATCTTTGGACTGGAAAACAGACAGTATGTCTGGCTAAGGAAGCTTCTGGATGATCTGATAATCAGCTATGATTAGTTGCATTTACATAGACAAAAGTTAAGTTTTGATCAAGACACTTACTGCCGGCGTGCTGTTGAAGTGAAAACAGAAGGCGTACTCGATATTTGACAGGACAATAACAATGACATGCGGTTGCGATGGTGTTGAGGAGAGGCAATGTTGAATAGCTGGACCACTGCGGTTTGGAATGATTGGCGTCAGCCCCATCCAGCTGGATTGACTTGCTGGACATGTGTGAGCCTGTGCTTCAGTCGTGGTGTCGTTAGGTTCCGAGAGTAAGGCGGCATCTGGACTTTCTATCGAAAGACACGGACCCCGGACGACGCTCTAGCTTTGTTTTTTGCTCATGTCATGGGTAGTTGAAGCTATCGTCTGGACGAGAATGTGGAATTTAAAATTCTACATATACGTCCAGACGATAGCTCGATATGTGAGGCTGGCTTCTGCGGTGATGGAACTGCGTTGGTAGCACTAAAACATCGCTGATGCTAACAAATTTGCGTAGCGGTAATGTGTTTCGTGGCCTGGTATTGTAAAGGAGAAGAGACGGCAGCTTCATGGAAGCGATTTTGATGGGGAGTAATCTAGAGGAGTATTGTGGTCACCCTCCCATTGTTAATAGCTATTGTGACGTAGTTATTGTGATACAAATAAGGAAGTTGGGTGATTAGGCAGCAGCTGGTTTTAACATGTGAAGCTCGATGACCCTGATTGCGTCAAGAGAGTAGAAATTTCACTCCCGCGCCTTTGAATTGTGAGACCTTTGAATGAGATCGCGTATCTTATTCTTCCCAAGAGTCTCTGGTCTATAAGGGACCGTGGAGCGCAGAACGAATTTGACGGGGAGGCTTGATAGGGCGGCGAAAAGGGCGGGTTTAGAATGCTGAGAAAGGTGGTCTTGGCGATGGGTTGTGTATATCTTACTGTGGCACAGGCTGATAAGACTAAGAAACGCCATGTACGATAGTGGCTGACGGTAGATGTGGTCATGCGGGATACTCAAGGGGCTCCTTAGGTGGTTGTCCATCAGCGATCTTTTTGCCTCAACTACCCGCGAAGGGTAAAAACTGTAGGCTGAGACGAGTCATTGTTCGTACGCCGAGTTCCTGCAGGCTTGGAGGATCAAGCCGCTAGAGCCCATCACGATTGAATCTCGACCCTCGACGAGAGTCACGCTGAGATATTTCGGGTTAGCAGAAGCTCTGGATCCTCAACGGGGTCAGGTACCCGGCCGGCCATTCCCGTCACAGCCGCAAGACGATTTGCCGATCAAACGTTCTCGGTAATCGACAACATCTGAAAATCCCCGAACTAGCCGAAAACTTATATTCGTGAGACGGCGGACGAAGAAGGATAGCGGACGAAGAAGCTGCAAAGTTCAGCTTGAACCAAGAAATTGACCCGATGGAGGGCCGCGCAATACTACGAATTTTTCCGACGAGCAAAAGCCGACGGCAACCGCCGTGGCTATAGAGGTCCAGATCCGGTCATGGTTGATTCTCTATGAAAGGACACGTTTATAGCACACGGCTACTGTAGCCTCGAGTGCCGGAAATTTGGCAGGGCCAGATGTGCCAAGGGCTGAGATGCGAAGCTGGCAGCTGAGGTGGGCCGGATATAATTTTGTTGATGGCGTAGAAGGGCTTGATGGCGGAGATGAATCTAGCCAATGGCGCTGTGGAAAATGCCGCGGCTCTGTGAAGAGTCGGTGGCGGCGGCAGCACATGGACCCATGAGGCTTAGAATAAGGCCGATGAGGCTTGAGGGATGAATTGGAGTTTGAGAGTTGAACACGGGGACAAGTTTTAGGTATCGGGAGAAATGCGGCTGTAGTGGTGTTGATGAAGCCAAGATGTAGGTAGTTGAAATTGACGAGCGACTGACGGCCAACAGGAACCAGACGGGGACTCCCCGCGTTTTTCGGTCTTTTTAGTAGGCGCCCTAGTACATGGGTAGTGCGAGCGCGGACCCTGAAAGTAGCGCAGCAATAGTCTCCGTCCTCCTCGCCACGCAAATAACACATCACGTCAAGAAACGAAACGCAGCGACGTGGGCGCCAACTTACCGCCGATTCTGAGGTGCAGTGATACTGCGCTGTATTATAGGCGTAGAGAGAAGCAGAAGTCGTTAGCGGCAGCTGCTGGCATGGAGGGGTTGGATCGCTTAGGGCTGCAGCAAATGACAGCCGCGCTAGCAGTCTGGCCCGCGCACCCCAGTTTCGCGCACTCCGCATCCAGCTTCCTCCACCGGCCACCCGCCTGCGCATTCCATGGGCTCCTTGGCGATTCCCCAATTCGCCCCCATCGCGATCGACTGATGCTGGTCCCATCTGCCTTCGGCTTGCACCAGCCTGTGGACCGCTTGCAGAAGACTGGTTGGCAACGAGTCCCGCTCGGCCAACAGGGCCGGCGGCAGTCACACAGCAGCGCGCCGCGGCAGATGTGCTGCGATCTGGCACATTTGCCCAAATCCACCACACCACCTGAGCCCGCCGTAGCCCGATCCGGCAAGACCCAACTCTAGGTTCATTATTGTTTGAGCTCCTTGCGCTCGCATGACCTTGGACTTCCCCAATCCAGTCGCGCTTTGCCTACTATGGCCCGCTGCCACCAGGCCTCTGCTTCGTCCCAGGCGCGCATCTGGCGTAGCCACTGCGCCCCTGCTCGCACCATTCACACCGATGCTGCAGCCGGCGAGTAAAAATACCGCCCGTCGCCCTCTTCTATACCCATAGGAAATACAATGTTTCTGTAGTCTCGTCTCCCACATTCGCTTGTTTCTGCGGCCTGGCTGTTGCCCCTCCTGCATTCGCTATCCATTCACGAACGTAACGTCAGACAAAACAAACCGGCCGGACCAGACAATCATGACCGCTGCAGCATTTCCAAAGGTTCGTAAATACCTGCTCTACGTACCTTCGATGCCATCACGTTTCCCCGCTTTGCACTATGCCTGCATTTCTCCGGGCCGTTCTTTCATCGGCATGTGCTGACTGTGAACACGCAATGCAGCGCTTCTCTGCCATCCCCAATAAATTTTCCGCCGATGGGAACAAGCGGGCATCCACCGTCAAGCCGGCCAGCAACCCTTTCTCTTTCAATAATTATGCCTTCAGGCCTGCGCCGCAGCCGAGCGCACCGAACCTACCTGTCGATCCAGCCGAGTTGACCCGACGCCTGGAGCGCTACCTCGCTTCCCTGGAACCAGGATCAGATGCAGCGGCGCCTCCTGCACGACCTTCCGCAATCTCGAGACAAGCGTCGTCATCGTCAGTGACTGCCGCACGTCATGCTGCTTCCTCTGGCCAACAGCAGCAGAGCAGAAATGGAGCTAATCAGCCGTTGTTGAACCCACGCACAAAATCTGCCACCGCGTCGGCACATTCGCCCGCTAGTCCCAACACGGGAACCGCCGCAAGCCTCTCGAAAAAGTCTTCCCATGCAGCGCTTAACAACGGAAATACGGCATTGTTGGCTTCGTCGCGTGCGGTGGCCGAATCGCTGCCTTACGCCACGGCGCCTCGGTCAAATGAAGACCTGGTGACGCTGGAAGCACTGCGGCAGGAGGCCCGGAGGGCAACGAGGCGATCGCTTGCGCTGCACGCGAGTAAAGGTCTCAACGCGCCCGTCGCGGCCGGGGAGCTCGCGAGGCGCCTGAATGCCCTAGCAGGCAGCGGTGCTGTCAACTCGGCTGGCAACAATGACCCGTTGCTGGCGCTGAAGTCGTCGTCGCCCGTCACGGGCAATGGAAATGTCAAGCGCTCCTCGTCCGCCCGCGCCAACGAGAAGCGCGTCCGCGCCCCGGGAACTGACTTGCGCAAGTCTTCGTCGATGCGCCTCGCGACTCTGGAGCTTGAGCTTGAGAAGATGCGCACCAAGGAGGCGCATGGAAGCCGCAGGAGCACGAGGCGCTCTATGCCTCTCGTCGGGGCAGATGCGGACCAACTGTGGCGTGTGTACGTGTCTACGCAGCGCGGGACGAACACACAGGCAATGGCTCCGGAGCGACAGCAGAAATCTGTGCGCAAGAGTGCAAGTGCCAGGAGGGCGAGGCCGACCAGCACGTCGGAGCTAGATGTGATGAGAGGGAACGGAGGAAAAATATTGCAGAAGAGCAGGAGTACCGGGTGCGTGGAGGGAAGCGACGGTACACAGGCGAACGGTGAGCTGGGTAAGTCTGGCGAGCATGTGTTTGGGAGGCGTCCGGACTGGAGCCAAAGGGATGAGATGGAGAAGTTTTCGTCACATCATCCTCTTCACTTGCATGTTCCTGGGCTCGGAAGAAACAGTCTCACTACGGATGTGCCGAGTGGAGACGAAAGAGGGTTCGCGTCGGATGGTGAGAGAAAGAGGACGAACAGAACGCCAGAGATGAAGACAAGCCACAGGCAAAGTGTCCGCGTCGCCGACGTAAGCAAGAGGGCATCGTCACCAGCAGCACCAGCACGACGCGGCCCGCCGCAATTGCCAGCGCTATTGCACATCCCCAGCCTGCACAGCTCAGACGAAATCATCACCCTCCAACAAGCCCCGTCTTCATCCTCCCCGCTTTCGCCCACCACCGTTCCGTCTCCGAGTATCACCCTGTCCCCTGTCGACTCTTCCGACACCATCCCTATGCACCCAGGTTTCGGCCCCACCAAAAACTCCACCAACCCCCTTGTCAGCATGAGAACCAGCTCGTCACCCACGCTTCCTCCCCTCCGTCGTTCGTCCTCCTTCGAAGCACGGATCCCGCAGCACCTCTTCTACTCTTCCGAGGACGGTCAGCTCCACGGCGAACAGTCACCCCATCATCATTCTTTCCCTGGCAAAGCGTCGGGGATGGCTGCTATGGCGTTGGAACCGCTGCCGGAAATCTCGCCGTTGCCTGCGCCTGATCGCTTCTCCAAGAAGAGGCCGTCCATGGCTCCCAGGCAGAAGAGCTCCTCAACTACTGTCACTACGACGTCTACTGGGCAGCGGAGCACGAGTGCGACTAAGACAACTGCAAGCGCTTATGCTGCTACGAACAAGGCTCGTGGAAAGCGTGAGTATGGGACCGTCATGTCTCCTGTTTCAGCATCAGCACCATCTTCCGTCCCGTGGCCAGGTCCCTCGCAGGGACGAGGGGCAAGGGTGATGGTTGGTGGCGGCGTCGGAAGGCCGGCCCAGCACCAGCTTCAGCAGCACCAACGGGGTGTGGTGAGGGAAAAGAGGAGTCAGAGCGCGATGGAGATGAGAGGGGGAGACGAGCACAGCAACAATGGTAACAACAACAATAAGACGCTGGGCAGGAGGAAGAGCGTGGCCTTCGTTTCTAACTCTTATCCCGCTTCTGCCTCTGCGGACGCATCTGGTCGTGGTGTGGGACCTCAGGGGCGGGAGACATCGTCCGGCGGCCCTACTACGGGCATACAGAGGTCATCGACTTTGCCGGTCAAGGGAAAGGTAGGCGAGGATAAGGACGCTGAGGGACACGCGGCGAAGAATTCGACTAGGCTGGTCTTTTGGCGAAGGGATAGCGGCAAGGCTGTCGATGAGGCTATGCTGAGCGGAGGAGAAGAGCATCATATCCTCAGGAGTCCGAGCCGGTTGGCATTTTGGAAAAAGGGGAAGTGAGGAGGACAAGGGTGCGAAAGAAGCAGGGCTGGTTAGCCTGGTAAGGATGTACACTTCTTGTGCATAGAACTCTCTTTCTTTCTATTTTCAAGGGGAGGATGATATGATGGTTGTTGGTTGTTGGAGCTCGTTTCTTTTGTTGCATCCTCATTGCAGTATTTCCTTACGTGGCCAAGCGCCATGATTTCCTCTTGGAGCCTTATCACCGTCGGCTTGTCTCATAGATTTTCTTAGTTAACCATATTTCTACCTTCATCGTCGTTGGGCGCACATCGGGTTGCGAAAAACCAATATCAATAGATGTCAGTACGACGATGGCTCCCTACGTGCCGGGGTGTTGAAGCATGTGTCTAAATGAGTTGTACGGATTTTGATCTTCCGTTCCTTCGCAGGGTACCGAGAGACGATACATTCCGCAAGTAACTGAGGGCGGGTCATCACAGCTCGTTGCTCCCTCATCCCCTTTCCCCTCATTGCCTCATTGACGTGTGGCGTGCGTCACCTGCCTCGATGTTTCTCGCTTATGTATGCCTAGTTGCGCATTATAAGATCCTCGTGATATTCTTTCCATTTATCATTGACCCGGGAAAGTATAGTGAGACGTGTATAAGGGAATTGGTCGTGGTGCGGTAGCGTGCTGGCGCTTTGTGCGTTGCTCCTCCCGAGGGTTTTCTTAATCTATCGCCATCCAATCGCCCTTGGTCGTTACAATAGGCGCGAGGGATGATGGGCCCGACCGGGCCGTGTGGCGCAGCCGCGAGGTGCACGTCATTTCTTACAAACAGTGGAGTACATGGGACCCAGTTCATGGGAGTACCGAACGGCTCCGCAGCAGCGACTCGCACGCTCTCAGCGTAGAGGGCTGAGGTTGGTGTTGCGTGTAACGAACCTGAGACGAGGCGAACGGACGAGGAGATAAGGCTGGGGCTGTGGGCTGAGTTGGTTTCGTCTGTCAACGGAGTTATCTCCCTTCTGATGCATGTCTGGGAGTTCATGTTGACTGTGGATGTACGTCGTACTCGCTCGCTTTTCGGATAGGGGGATTCGCTTTGCCGGAGCCGAGTACGAGGATCCGGGTGGCTTGTACAGTAATTGCAATACAAGCTATTTGGTGGAGACACGACTAAGGCGAGGTGGGTACGTACCGAGGTGAAGAAAAGAAAAGACAAGGGTATATAGGCATGTGATTCAATTGATCGCGATAAAGGGAGCACGGGAAAATCTCTGACCGGTTGTTCGCGGCGGTGATGAGTACTAAACGGGGGAATTTGGAACGAGGGATCTGACTATTGACCCTTTGCCCCGGGTTTCCAAAGGGAGGTGTGTGGAGGTCTCTTTTGGTGGAGTGGGGGATCCACAATAGATTGCTTCTTGAGACAAGGACTTATTTTTGTGTGTATAGTTTGGCGATAAGTGCGGATGATAACATGGTGATTTTCTGAGACACACGCGCGCTATGCGGTTCCTCCTCCCTTGCGCAATACTTCGCTTAGCCGGGGGGCTCCTCGGAAGGCCAGTGAACGTGCTTGATTCGATGAATTAGCCGATGAGAGGTGGAGCGAGCTCTTTTTTCAGCGCGGCGATCATTTTTCTTTATTTTCCTTCTCGTGCTGGCAATGCGCATGGATGGCGCAAGGGTGGTGCTGATTAGTGATGGGCGGCGGTTTATAGTCGAGGAAAGTTCGGACGCGGGATTACGCGCGCGATGGGGCAAAGTGGAGGTGCATCTGACGAGATTCACCATCTTTCCTCTGTCCTCTCATGCATCTGCGAGAACTGGGCTGAATTCCGCGTTGTTTGCGAATCGACAGGGCAGTGCGTGTCAGTGCGGGTCTCGAGACCGTCGTGCACCTTATGCGCCCCCGGCGCGCGTGTTCTCTGCTGGTTTCAAGAAGCGCGGGCATGCGGACGCCGTGGGCTGATTCTGACGCTTCGCGTTGAGAAGCTACGGATCGCTTTTGGTAAGGAAGGGTAGGCAGGATGGGGACTCAGCAAGAGTCAGCAAGCGCGTTGAGAGTCAGTGGCCTTTGTGGAGACGTACAGCTGAAGTAGCTGACGACCTGTTCATGTGGGGCCCCCTGGTCGTCGCTCATCGTCCAGCTTGGGCGCCCCTCTGCCGGCACAAGCACCGGCATCGGCTGCGATGACGGACGAAGAGATTGGACGCGTGCTGGCCGATGTGTGCGCGTCGTGTGCTAGTGTTCAAATGCGGCACGTTGGGGTGCACGCAATCGCGCCCATCGAGGTTAAGCTTAATTGATGTCGAGGCACGACACATGGATGATGATTTTCCCTGTTGTTGCTTTTGCCGCATGAGGGGAAGGGGGGGGTATGCGCGAGTCGGGGCCGCAGGCTGGCCGCGGCCAAGGGGGGAATGGACGACACGGGGGCTTCGGGACTATAGATAGTTCATCGCAACTACTGCAAACTCTCGCTCCCGGCGAAGCCAGCGAAGTTGAGCGAAAGAGGCAGGTCAAGAATTCCGCGTTGCTTCAGAGCCCGGCACGGGTTGATCAATCGTACGACGGATCTGCGACCTGGCGGGAGCCAGTATTGAGATCGGCTTTCCGTCTGGTCGACGGGAGGACGGGGCTCTGGCGTTCCAACCAGCGAGAGCGGAGAGCGGGGCGTTTGCAGAGGGTGAAAGCCGGACTGATCGCTCAGCAGCGGGACTTGGTGGAAATTGCTGAATGTGGCCGCCCATTGGCATCCTTCCCGCGCAGCATCTCGGCCGGCTGCACGCTGGCGCGGCGGGGAGGTTCTGAGGTGAGGTCTGGATAGAGGGCGGACGCTGGCCCTAAGGCTGCGCGGCGCATCCAATGGGAACCGCCTCTGGCATTCCGCTGCAGCCGACAGCGTGAGGTCACGGCTCGTCGCCCAGGCGCTTCCTTATCGGAGGCATCCCCTGAGCGGTGGCTGCTGTCAACGCCATGCACAGCACGGCGGCGGGCTGCACCGGCGCTCAGTGCTCAGCGGACGGCTGCAGCAGGGCCAGTGGGCCGCTGCGCGTGTCGCGCAGACGCAGGCTGCAGCGGCGCCCTCGCAGCAATCTCAGACACGCGGACTCACGGGCCTCTGCGCTGCGCGGAGAGCGATGATCTGCTGCGATCAGAGTCTCTTGACGCCGGAACGGCCGCCACACCTTCCCCGGGCGAGTAGGAAGCGTTCCAGCGGCAGCGCGGCGAGTCGTGAGCGCGCAGAGTCTGGCCCGCCCTGCCCTCCCACAAGCGCGTCTCTCCCGTCGCCTTTCTGCGCGCCCTCGCGGCTGCGGCTCCGCGCGCTGAAGACTGCCACAGCGGGCGCTGGGCCGGGCGCTGGTACGGGCGTACCCGACACGTGCGCTTGCGTCCGTATCGCGCGCTTGCGAGGTGGATGATGTCCAGCGTGGTGGGCTCGCTGCTCCGCTGCACCCCCCTGGCAAGGCCCTGATCCCTGCCTGGCCGTTAGACCTGGATCGCAGAAAAATGCAGCGACCGCGAGTGTGCGCACGCCCGCGCGCACGCACAACGCCGAAATGCGCGGGCGACGGGACGCACGCCGGCCGTGCGACAGGCCCCCGGGCGCGTTTGCGAGGCGGCTGGAACGGGCGGGCAGGCTGCTGGGCGTCGGCGGGCAGGTTTAGCTGCTGGGTAGGGCTGGCGTGCGCATGACCGGGCTGGTGAGATGAAGTCAATCTACTGCACGATGCGAGCGGGCGGCCCTCTGCAAACAGAGCAGTGCGCAGGGTCTGCCTGCGCCGGGACCTTTAGTGCTTCACAGCGCTGCGCGCATCACATAGCCTCCATCGACAATCGACATCGCCGTATCGCCGCTCTCCTCTGCATCATCCTGCATCCTGCCTGCACCCAGCGGCAGTCCCGCAGCCATCCCGGCGCCCCTCGCGTGAGCCCACCAACGTGCATGCTTGCTGCGCGCCCGCAACCCCTGCCCTCGACTCGCCGTAGGTGCCCGGGGTGCATTGCCAAAACGGAGGGATGACGCTGGCGCAGCGACAAGGGGGGAGTCACCGGCGCCCGTCGATAGAAGCGGCCTCCGACCGCGCACCAGCACCAGGCCACACGTCCGCGTCCCGCGCCTCTTCAACCTCCGCTGCCCACCATCGCGACCAGCAGCCAAACTCGCCACTCCACGTCCGCTCGAACGCCCTGCTCCCGCCGCTACGCCTCGCAGATTCGCCGCCGCCCGCACCCTCCAAGGATCCACTCTTGCAGCTGCAGCATCCCCCGAGCCGCTCGCTCGCGCCGTCCGCGACGACGACCCTGGCGCCCTCCGTCGCGCCTCAACACCAAGCCCGCACGAAGAGCGTCTCCACCGCCAGCCCGCCCAAACTGCAGCGCCCGCCGCTCGGCAGCAGGGCCAATTCCGCGCCCCACGTCCCCAAGCAGTCGCCGTATTCCCCGCATGGCGGCGCAAAGAATGGTCACGTAGCCCGCGCGCGGCACCCCGACGTCAGCGATAGCAGCAGCGACGACGACGACGACGCCATCAGCCGCGATCCCTTCTTCCTGCGCTACCAGAGCGTCATCCAGCGCCTCGCCGACCAGAGCCCCGGCGACCCTGACGACCCCCTCCGCAAATCCCCAGAGCAGCAGAAGAACCCCAGCACCGCGATGGATGTGCAGGCACGTACTCTCCCCGCTTCGGCGCGCTCTGCCCCGGCCCCCGCTGACCGCCGCGCCTTGCAGGCCGTCGACGACATCAACATCGGCGTCATTGGCGACTCCGGCGTGGGCAAGACGCGCTTCATAGACCGCGCCTTTGACCTGCGCTCCCGCTCGCAGGTGCGCACCGCCACGCGCAAGATGTCCATTGACGGCACCGTGTACACGGTGCGCCTGGTCGAGGTCCCTTTCGAGGAGCTGGACATCGAGCACGACGACCGCATCTGCTGGCCGGAAAAAATCGACGACATGCCTGCGCCACGGATCGATGGCGCGCTGATGCTATACGATGTTATGAATCAGGAGAGCCTGGCACAGGTGCCGGGCATGCTAAGTCAGTATATCCCTCACCCCCAATTCCGGCAGCGCCGCGAGCCGGCAGCTCGGAGCAGGATCAGTGCCCGCGGGCCTGGAATCCGCCCGCCGATCGCAGCCCAACCGTCTAGTCGGGCGTCGCGGCTAACGTTTCCTTTGCCTCTGCACAGATGTCGTCCACAAAGCGGCGTTGCCGTGCGTCCTGGTCGGCTGCAAGTGCGACAACCACCCGGCCCATCGCCAGGTGGATCCAGCTGTGGTGGAGCAGCGCGCGAAGACGCTGGTTGGCGACTTACCCGCGTTTCAGAGCTCAGACGGCTCGCCCGAAAGCCAGCGAATCTGTCTTTCTGTCATGCTGCGGGCCATTCTCGCGTCGCGACAGGGTGAGTGCATCTACACGAACGCCTGCCCCTCCGCGCCCCTGGTCCCTGCCCGCCGCGCCGCATCCATGGCTGGCGGCGCGTGCACGCTCGGGCCGTTGGCGCAGTCCCCCATATAACATTACGCACGCAGCTGCCGTTTCATTGCTGCAACATGTTTCACGCTTGTCGTCTTCCACCCATCATTCCATCCTTCCACGCTGTTCTGCCTGTTAGCGTACCGTGGCCTCGTCTGACGTCGTACCCATTTAAGATACACCCGCCAGCAAGCTCGCCGCCGCACAACGCCGCCGCGCCACATCCAATTCATCTGCCCTGCAGGCCGTCTCTCCCCGCCCTAGCTGGAAGCGTCGGCATGAGCGTGCGAGCTCAGAGTTCTCCGGTTCGCGTCTGAAGATTCTGTCAGACAACGATGCAGAAGCGCGCGCCAAGAACCGCGCTCCCACCAACTCCTTCCTCGACCTCGAAGAGTCCCCCGGCTACGAGTCATACGGTTCTGACGGTGCCGACTCGTCAGACTACGAGCCCAGCATCATCTCCGTCATGCCTTCCGATGAGAATGGCTACACGTTCGAGCAGCTCGTCGACCGCTTGGTCTCCCAGCCGCTGTCCAAACAGGACACCAAATTCGTCTCCATATTCCTTGCCCTCTACCGAAAGTTCGCTGCCCCGAGCCAATTGCTCGAGGCCCTTATCAAACGCTTTGACGCACTCGAGAACGACAAAAGTCCGCAAATGGTCCGCACCATAGCGCAACTGCGCCACTTGTCGATCATGGAGCAGTGGCTCAGCTCATACCCTGGTGACTTTGCTCACCCTATGACAAAACGCATGGTGTTCTTATTTGTGAATCGTCTGGCTAGCAACCGCATTTTTGCCGTTGCGTCCAAGGAGATCTTGGCTGATCTCGATGCTGTTTTGGAAGACGATGATACAGACTGGGCTTGTAGTGACAAGCATCGCGAGCACGCACTCTCCGGCCATTCCATCTTGCACGAGGCATTCGAGGAAGAATTGCCCAAGAGCGCAACAGAGCTTACCATCAGCATAACGCGCGGTTCCACGAACACCACGGACACGTCGATGACAGGCCACCCTGAACGCTCCATTAGCACCTCTACCACAGCCACCAGCTCCTCCCAGACAATGATGAACGCTATTGAGCAGGCACGGCAACAGGCCAAGCTACTCGTCCCCATACCTCGCGTCACTCTCACTAAGACACAATGGCACCTGCTCATGGGAGAGTCGGAAGATAATATCGCCCGAGAACTGACGCGCATGGACTGGATCATGTTCCAATCCATCAGGCCCCGCGACCTGGTGCGCCATGTGAGCATGAATGCGGCAGAGAAGAAGAAGTGCAAGAGTTTGGAGAATGTGGATCGGATGATTGAACACTTCAATCACCTGGCTTATTGGGTTACCAATTTCATTCTGCTGAGGGATAAACCAAAGCATCGCGCTTTGATGCTCGAGAAGTTCATGAAGGTTGCACGCAAATTGCGTGAACTGAACAATTACAACTCTCTCGGCGCTATTCTCGCAGGCTTGAACGGAACAGCGATCCACCGCCTTTCAGCAACACGCGACCTCCTCTCGCCAGCCACAGCCAAGGACTTCATGAAGCTCGAGATTCTCATGGGCACGCAAAAGAGCCACTTTGCGTACCGTCTTGCCTGGGAGAACAGCTCCGGGGAGCGTATTCCCTACCTTCCTCTTCACCGCCGCGACCTTGTCTCCGCCGCAGAAGGTAACTCCACTTTTGTCAACGACCCACACCGACGCGGATCCAACGCCGGTCTGCTCGGCGGGAGCACAAGCCCCCGGTCCGGTGGTCCGCCAGCGAATGCGGAGGCTCTTAGCGCATTGACCGGTAACCCTGGCAATGCAGCTGCCCTGCAGGCTGCTCTCAACAGAGCGAGCGCCCAGGAGAAGGAAGCGCCTCCCAGTGGCGTCGAGGGTAAGGAAAGAATTAATTGGAAGAAATTCGCAATCATGGGCGAGGTGATCGTTGGTATGCAACGGGCACAGGGCTTCCCCTATCCTAACATCGCTCGCAACGACGAGGTGAAGAGTATGATACTGGATGTGAGAATCTGCAAGGATGATGACGTAAGTTTCCCATGAATGCGGCGGCTTGCGTTTACTGACACGCGACTCCAGGAACTGTACGACCGTTCGACCAGCCTCGAGGCTGTCGGTGCGGCCGGCGAACCCCGAAGAAGGTTTGCCAACTGGTTTCGTCAATAAACCCCAGCGCCGGGGGGCTCCACTTCCAAGGACACAGCTCAAAACGCAGTCCTCGCCGTTTTTCGGAGCGATCGGGCAGCTTGACCTGGAGAAGGCAGAACGCGAGGAACGCTTGCGAAAACGCAACGAGAGGAGGCAAAAATCCCTCTCGTCGGTTCCCAAACGCGCGATTCCCAATCAGAGTAGAATTGCTGCCAGCTTGCTCCTCTGAGCGCGGCGAGAAACAGACTGCGTCGAGGGATTGTGAAGATGGACCAAAAGAGTGGAAACAAAATTTTCTTTATCATATTGCCAGGAGGAGGGCCAAGGCGGCATTTGCTGCACTCGATCTACCATATACGGGCGTTTTGTCACAAAACATTGGGATACCCATCTCATGGAGCTGGGAAAGAAAGGAGAACGTCATAATCATCGCATTTCGATATGCTACACACCACTACATGTACCACCGCATACCGTCATACCATCTATTCATCTCCTTTGTCGTTTCTAGCATGGCATGGCATGGATGGTCTCGAATTTTCATCATTTCTGCTCCCTCATCCGAGAGGCAGGTGGCGTATGAGCGGGGGCCGGTCGGCGATCAGATGGGTTGGAAGGGGGGGGGAGGTGGGTCGTCTGTTGATCGCTTGAGAGATGAGCATCCGAGTGTTTCCTCGTTATTCCGCGGGTGGTCTTCTGTTTTTTTCCGCTGCTTCACATCATCTGAGCGTTGACTGACTTTTGTTCTCGGTTCGTTGTGCTCCTCCTTTTCTTCTGAGCGTTGATATTACTTTTTGTCACGGTCATACCAATACTGGAGCAAGGGAAAGATCTCGGCAGAGATTGATTTTGGGTCTCATGCATCTGTCTCCGTTTCTTGTCTCATCTATACCTCGGTCTCACTTCCGTGTTCATTTTATTTTCCCTATTTCCTATCTTTTCAATATCGAAGACAAAAAAAATACCCCTACCCATTTCTGATGGGTTATCTTTTCTTCTTAACTTTTCTCTCATCTGTATATTTCCAGTTTGGTTGGTCATAGCGCTGAGAGGGAAGGTGGGATAACATTGGGTCTTTTTATTGTCGTGTAAACTATCTGCGCGCCTCTAGTTGTGGCGAGAAATTGGGCGTGAAAGCGAGAGCTGGGCGGAGTGGTAAAGCGCCCTTTTCCGAAGTTGATGAAGAACGCTCTACGGTTGCAGAAACACGTGGCACGTAGGCTGGAGAATGAAGCGGGGGGGAAAAAGGAAAAAAGACTGCATGATTTGTGTGTACGTTAGCCTGGCCCCACATGCGTGGATTGTGTGAACGCTGAACGTCGTCATAGAGTTCTTCTGGCTGCGTTCTACTCCGATTCTCTCAGGAGGTATACCGCGTCAGTGGCGCCGAAGTTTGACGTTTGGCAGGCGTGGCAGCGGCAAAATACTGGCTAACCACTCTTCGCCTCGCTATCCCCTCTCCTTTTTCCCTTCCTCTCCTTTCTCTTCTTTTCCCCAAGATCGACGGATCAGGAGTGTAGTCACATGGAACGATTGTGCGTGTGACTGTTCAGCTAGAGAGACACTAGATGATGGGAAAAGAGGGGTTGCAGACGGTAAGAGACGGGATGACTGTTTAAGCTTCTTCGATCATCCTTCGACAATCCTTCGGTGCATGGCGCCGTCTGAAATTTTCACGGTGCTGATAGGGCAGGACGGACGGCACGGCGGATTGCGGTTTTTTGTATGGTTGCTGCTGGCCACGGTGGCGCTGGGACGCTAACGACAAGGAAAGTGGGGACGGGAAGGATCAGTGGAAGGGCGGATGGAAGACCACGAAGGATGGGAGGGGGGCGCTGATGGAAAAGATGGAAGGCCCGAAGAAAATGCACGGAAAAGTGATGGAATGGTGATGGAAAGCCCAGAAGGTTTCGCGAAGACGGGCCGCGAAACAGGGCGCATTTCTTGTTTTCTTGGTGCGCCTGTAGCGCCACATACCCAAAACCAACATCATCGCGGCCGATGAGAGGGGGAGGAGGCGGTTTGGACGTCGAGGAAGAGAGCCTGCGCGGACTGAGAAGTATCTGCGATTGGCCGATCGAGCTGATCAGCCTTGCCGCGTCGCTGAGGGCTGGTCTAGGGACTTTTTCGGAGGTCGGGGTTCTGGTGGCTTTACGCAAGGGACTACTGCTGCTGCAGTTGTGCGCACAGCTCGATGAGCGACGAGGTTAAGGGGTTCCGAACGTTGCGTTGCCTCATTCGGCGCCGAGGTTGGAACGAAAGCAGCATTGCGGAGCTTACCGTCGTCGTGTGGCTACTAACGCCCTTCCTTTGCAGGTCCTGATATCACCTTGCCAGCGGCCTGTGGAGACCATCTTCGGCGCAGTGCAGGCCGCTGCGGCACAGTCCGACGTTCATCATCTCCCTTGAATCGGCGCCATTTTATGAGACATGTCTGCCAAGTGCCACGATATAGAGCGTTAAAGAGAAATGCTGCGGATGGGGAATTTACGAATTTCTTTAAGCTTAAGTAAATCTAGTTGTCGGCGCTAAAAATTGGGTTCAACTTACACCTCGATTTTTCGTTAGTAGGTGCTGTCACCGTAAGCCCTCATTTTAATCATGTTGCATCGGAGCCTGGAATCGTTGCTTGCCCTTGGTGCCTGCGTTGCATGGCATTCCGGGTTCCTGGTCTCGTCGTTTATTGCCAGCCGTAGCCTCGCTGCCCGAAGGATGGCGCTCAGTCACTTACCCAACCAAGAAGCATGTTCCCTGCCAACATGTGCGCACCTTTCTTTTTGCGTACTACCCTCGCGTATCTCGAACCGAATCGCGTCCTCAGACTTCGGCAACACAAATGCCTCATCCCTGGGACATGGCACCGTGTCTATCTTTGGCTTTGAAGGGGATGGTCATTGTGCACTGCCCACGGAGGAATTCCCCTCTCGCTACCCGACTCCTTGGCCCTGGCGCGGTTCCCCTCATGTTGCACCGCACCGATTAAGGCAATGCCCCAATTTGCTGGAGAAGCGGAAATAGGTTGCTAAGGCGCAACTTCATGCCCTGGAGCTTTGTACCATTGAGTCAGTCGTGTGCCCCTCAACACTTTCAATTGCTGAGGGCAATGCCCTCTTCCTCAGTACCCCAGTGCCAACACCTCCGTCCACTCCTATGTCCGTGCCTTTCGGCAGAGGCCGACGGTAGAGGGGCCTTTCATCCGTGCATTGCTTGCCGGTGACGGAAGACGGGCGCCCGCATCGGATCGGGGGTGCGGGTTGCGGCACGCCGGCAACGTGCGGGAACGGGGGCTTGGTAGTTACGATTTAGATTCACTTAATATTGCAACGCGATTGGCGAGATGCAACATTCGTCCAGTGTTGAACTTGTTGACACTGCCGTACGTTTGCGGCTCCATCAACCCTTCAGCTGCCCAATTCTGCCAATTTACTATACTGTAGTGTTGCATAATCTGATCTTGAGAACTCGCAGCACAGCCACCTCAAGAGAGGCAGTTTTCGGAAATGGTAGTGCGCGGGGTCGTGTTCAATGACACAGTGAACGCCTGTCCGCCAACCCCACAACAAATCGCTTTTCTACCCACCCATACCCCATGAAGGTGCAAAATAACGCCGTGATGATTCTTTCCAACACCGTCTTCACCTGATACAACCGATTTGCATCACTTGGGGGCCGAAGACAACTGCCGGGAAGTGCCTTTCATGCGATCTTTTTCCTGCCTCGTCCTCCTCCACCGCTCCTATCATCACCGCTTCTCTGGATTGACTCTGGGCATTTTCCCTTTTCACCAGACCCATTCCTGCTCCGCCGAGGTTCGTCCACTGTGCAACACGCTCAGCTGCCCCTACTCCACTTGGCTGCTGCTTAAACCCAAAAGGGGAGCACCCGAATGCACATCCTTTGCTCAGCACGGTTTAGCGGATTTGCTCGGAAGGGCTCTTCCGCGTGTTCCCCGTCACCGATTTCCCACCGCCAGGATTCGAGTTTTTCTCGCCGATGGGGCGGCGTGGGAATTATTGTGGGGCTTAGTCGAACCGTGTGCCGTGTTATGACTGCCTTGAACCGCGTTAATGCCGTCCGTGCTTCTGAGTTGGCGTGCAAATCCTCTTCTGTCCCGCGACGCAGGACGGGTCTTTTTGAGAGAAAGACTTGTAATACCAACCATAGCCTAGCAGTAGAGAGAAGAGCCGGGAAGCCGGCGCATGTTGTGGCGGCAAGATGGTATCGGGCCTTTATTCACTGGACCTCTGGCGGGTAAGACAATCTGACACTGCGCTCCCGTGCGCGGGATCGGGGCATAGCAAGTAATTTAGAGATTGAGGGTGGGAATGGAGATGAGAAAAAGAGCTGCATCATTACTCGTAAAGTGAGACAAGCTATCCGGCGCTCGCCGCCATCAATCTGGTCGCCCTTACGTTAAAATTTCGGAGGCGCGTCCGGTACTTCACGTTTAACTTTCTTGCATCCTCCATGTCTCGCAGAGATCCACTCTAATCTATCGCAGGTCGGAAATGCAGGCATCAAAATGCGTGGTGGCATTGTTTCGCTTGGCGATTTGAATGTCCCTTGCCGGTTTGGAAGGACGCGGGCGTCCAAAACAGGACACTGCACCATCACCTCACTGCACGTCTACTAACTAACAAGAAGCATGCGGCACTCAAACTTCTGCAGGCACAGAGCTAGAGAAGTTTCGATAATGATGGTGTAGTGTTTGAGCTTGATGCTTCGAATCGCTTTGGTTTAGCTCGTAGGCTATCATCAGGAAGCACAGTGGGGGGCACTAAAGCAGTGCCTTAGAAGTTTTTCTCTTCCAGAGAGGGCAAATCCTGCAGGCAGCCACAATCAACGGTCTCCACCACGGCTGCCGCCGGTGCAGCCGTTGCTGCAGTCCATCGAGCGACAAGAACACCCCCGGCCATAACAAGGCCTCCCCGGCTAATGTGGTGTAACCTGAGCGAGGGGGCATTGCCGCGGCACCAGGGGCATCAAAATCCCTTTCCGAAATCTCGTCTTTCGAATTGCAAAGCAATCACGAGTTCCGAGACAAAGGAGAAGAGCGGAACCGAGGGCATGGCTTAGGGAACGGGAAGGAGGGGAAGGCAAAAGCGAGTGTTGGGTTTTGCGGTCCTGTCCAGAGGCTGGCTCGAGCTCCTTTGTGGGCATTAACCCAGGGGGGAAACGGCCCAGCCGCCTCCCCTCTTTTCCGAATTTACCGAACGTTCGGATGCGTTCACGCCATGCTCATACATAATGATCCTGCTTCCTTCAAGACCGGGAGCGCGGACGTTACATTCGAGATAAGGGCCTGAGACATTTTTTCTTGGCGGTTGGACCCGGCCTTGTGGCATTGAGGGCAGGACGCCCGGATGGGCAAGGAGAAAGAGCATGGGATGGGGGGTGTTGAAAGAACGCTGTCGGTCGTCAGGGGTAGGGTGGGGGTGACGCGGGGCGCATATCCCGTATCAGGTGAGGAGGGGCAACGGCGTGCTTTGATTCTGGTCGACCTTCATTCCTTTTTCCTCTCGATGGAGCCGTCTGCCTTCCGTGAGTGGGAATCGGGACGATTGTGGCGTGTGGCACAGTACAGCCGAACATGGGGCCGTGGAGAATTATGGCGTACTCGGTCCTACTACGCTGTTCTCTGGTGTTGGAGGTTAGATTCCACTTTCGGACGCATGCATGGAGTTACGGGTGAGATCGCTTATAAATCTTCTGGGGGTTTTCCTGGGCTTTTGATTGGATCTCGCTGTTTCCTGCTGGGTTGTATCAGGAGCATCAACCGCTTGCAGCAGTTGCGCATATGCAGGAGAGATTCCGGGGTTAACAGAGTTGCTTGAATACAGATATGATGAAAGCGTCTGCAGAGACCTTCAACTTCATCTTGCTGGCATATTCTTCTTAAATGATGTGGTCTGGAGGGCTTACCTGGTATTCTTGTTTTGGGCCTTTTCTTGAACGGTGCCGACCTCCACTTATAAGGCTTTTAGATGAGGACTTCCTCCGCATTCCACACGTTTACATACTATGCAATGGATGGTGACAGACAGAATAACAACATGGCACTAATTACGTATGCTTAAGCTCAAATAAGCTGGTAAGATAAACTACACATCAATTATAATTCACCAGTGTATTGATTTTAGAGTGTATGTTTAAATTCTAACAGCAGCAAACAACCTTTATAGCAATCAGTTCGTGGATATGTCAAGATGAGATATTGGCGTGACGTGGCGGACACCTTGTTTTGGACGAGCTGGCATCGACCTGCTGTGTTTTCCCTCATACGGTTTGAATTCCCGCTGACTACACTTAGCCCTTGAGTATTATTACGAAGTTTCTGAAGCTCTTCATCGCGGAATTTAAACTTTCTTTGAAAGTAAGGCTTATCTTCTTTATGCTTTACTGCTTTTAAACCTTTACTTCTTACGATATTTTGCTTTTTAAGCCTATGCTTCAACACTAACATTAAATAATACACTTTTAAGCCTCAACCTTCCATAATGAAGAGTGTGGAATAAGACGTAATAGATAACTTGATTGATAGCTTCCCAGACTCTTCTTCATCTGCAAGCAGAAGAATACAAACTGTCCTTGATGCCACTGGGCTCCGGTTCCCCGATAAAGCTCGTAGATAGGTGCCGGGACGAAGCTTTCACTAGAAATATGAATACTGCCGCGCTGTATAAGCCGGTTTGACTCTTCTGCGCCCACTTATGTGTTCTGCTCACATCACTTACAACGAGTGGCTATCTATAGTTTTAATCAGCACTGGAAAAAGATTGGCTCGTTACGATAGTCGCCAGCACTAGAAAAATCCAGATCCAACCCTTCTCCAACGAGTTTGTTTTCCAAGTACCATCTGTATTACAGTCCCTTCCGAAGACGATCTGGGAAGGCACCCGGACAGCTTTGGATAGTAGTCGGGTCGACTGGGTCGATCTGACAACCATCAATCCATCATCTTGTCTGGATAAGGTGGTTACTCATTACGAATATTGAAGAGTAATGTATACAGTGGTCCTTCAATTGGAATAATCAGCCTCCGGCTTAGCTCAGCACTGTGCTCTCTTGGACTATTAGAGTAAAAATTCAGAAAGACATGATGAACATCGATTTCAAAATCTGCAGGAAGCCTAAGGTATCACTCTTCATGGGGTACATCACTTTCAAAAACAGCGGCACAGCATCATCAAACCTTGATGCTTCATCGTATACATTGGACCCCGAAGATCGCATCGTCAGGGCAAGACTGACGCAAAAGACAAACAAAAAGCCGAGTCTTAAGAGTTGGAATCTCTTCAATCACCATTCGAGCGCTGGCTCTGCTGCTGGGAAGGTCAAAGAGAGCAAGTACTCGATCTTGCATTCAAGTTAAGGTATTTTGAAGCTTGAATTTGTGCGACACTGGCAACGAGAGCATGTTAGAGGATTCGCACTGCTGATACACTGAAACCTGCGATCACGGTTCACCTGCAGCCACCGAAATATCATCTGTGCACCTCATTTGCGTCATCTCATGGCCATGAGGCCTGGCCATAACGTTATTGAACATTCCACGTGCTATTCCGGACCTCCACGCCAAAAGTACTTAAAAACCTGCTTTAAGCACAGCCAGCCTTTTCACCAGCGGCACATTGCTCCGTCTATTACACCTGAATGACAGAATGACAAAGGCAACTTGTGTCTGTCCTTGTTTCTCGCTGTAATAGCACTGCACGTTGTGCTTTCTGTCTTAGCTAAACCTTGAACACTCATCCCTATCTCACTTCACCTCGCAGAATTATCAGAAAACACTGTCGATCAGCAACACCAACTGATATCCAACAAAAATAAGATTGGCTAATGCAGAGCTTTCGCAAGTCATAGCTCCCGATATTCAAATGGTAAGGATGCCACGTCCAAGAGTGGGTGTGGCAGAAACGAAGAACACGCGCGCACAGTGTGTCTGCACCAGCGGTGAAGAAATTGCCCAGTTTGATGACGAAGTATCAAAGAAGATCTCGCCATAACCTGCGTTTATGATTGTTGCATCTTACCGCTCCTGTCGTCAGAGTCAGCTGCAGAGCCAGTAGGATAGTCACACGTGCCTCTAGTGAAATCTCATGCCAATGAGTCTCCTATATCACCGTCACTGGAGAACGATGCGGAATGATCATTGGGCAAGTGATCTCAAGTCAACAGGAGGTTCTTCTTTTCACCTCTTCCTCCCGCGTTAAATTGGTCGCTATGCACAGAAGCTCCTGGAAAGGCAAGTCATCGGTAGATAATTCATCGACAGCATCTCCAACCACACACATCACCAAAGTAGCAAAACAGACAGGAATTTCGCTTGAGAAAAAGATTCTGAGCAGGCAATGAAATGCCCGCGCTCAATCATGTATATCATTACAACCGCCTTACTGCTCACGGCCGCTAAATAATTCCATATTCTTATCCCCACCCGTCCATAAGCTTCTCGAATTAAGCCTTCCTCCGCTTCCCGCCGGCGTCATCAACATCGCCATCCGCCGGCGTACCACCACCGCCAGCACCACTAGCAGCAGCGTTGCTTGTCGCTTCGTACACGCTCGTCCGCTCCGCCGTGCGCCAATTAGCCACGCTGGCCTCGACATCCTTCGCCATCTCGACTGCATCTCGCACGACTCCGTCCTCGCCGCTGTTGAACATGACCGCGTTTGCGAACATCCGCATCAGTTCCTTCTCCAGCTGCGCAGAGTTAACAATGCCCCGCGGCGGAACGAGCTCTTCCGAGATTGGCAGTGTGATATGTGTGCTTGTGCTGGGCATCTGAGTGGGCGTTGCCGGAGCGCCACCGGGAGAGTTCGCCGAAGGTGTGTCGGCGGTTGATTGCGTTGCGGCGGCAACGGCGCGCGAACCGTTGGTAATGGCGGTGCGGATGGATTTGAGGTCCTGGGGACGGCGGATGATGTCGTAATACCCTTCGGCATCCTTGGGCTTGACTGGGTGCGAAAAGAGACTGGCATGCTTGTGTGAGGTGATGTCGTTCATAACCGGCACGCTCATTCGCCCGAAGTTGCGACTCGCGATGACAAAGGTAGGCGGGCCGGGAGTACCAATGTCTATGTCGATATCGGGGACGTCCGGTTCCGCTGTGTCGGATTCTTCGCGTTGGTCGCGTTTGCGTTTATTATTCGCCGTTTGGGTTTGCTCCAAAACCGATTGCAATGTTCCCGCCCTTCGACGCGTACGTCGACCTCCAGATGTTGGGGTTTCTGTGGTGGATTGCACATCGGATTCCATCGTCTCCGCCGGTGTGCTCGGTTCTGCCTTGACATCTGGAGCAGCCTCATCTGCATGCGAGGCAACTGACTGACTTCTGGTTCTTCCACGAACAGACCCAGTCACAGCAGAGGATGCCACGCTCGTCCCCCGTGCCTTCCTTGCGCCCTTTCGGGAGCCCTTGCCAGGTTTCGGAGTCTCAGCTGCATCGGGTGCTGGCATCTCCTTGGACTTGACAGCTCGCTTGGACTTTGAAGCAGAGCTCGGCGGAGCGCTAGACGGTAGTTCTGGGGACCTTTCGGGCGAAATAGGACTGGTCGGAGGTGGATTCCAATCTTGAATAGGGTTGTTCTGTGGCATAGGTTGCTTCCAAGAACCAAAGCGCGTGTTCACATGCAAGACAGTCGGTTTGCGCATGGGAAGAGCAGTGCTCGGATGCGGATAAAGCGGATGCTGGCCTGGAGACGGGTGGAATTGAGGCACTTGTTGAGTTCTAGCAGGAGTTGCAGCTGCGTTCCTTGGCGATTGCTGGGTGCGAGCGGATGACGAACGGGCTGCTTGTGCTTGTGCTTGTGCTTGCGCTCGCATCTGTCTTTCCTGTGCCTTGTGAGCTTGGACCGGATCTTGCGCCATGACTTGGAAGGGCTCCAAAATCACACCGCCTCCCCTTGGCGGCATCGGAGGATGCTGAACGGGTTGGTGATACATGGGCTGCGGGTGCGGATAGGGATGCTGTCCAGGGTATTGAGGGTAACAGCCGGGCTGCTGCACGTGTGGCGGGTGGTGAGCATTTGGTGAATGCGGTGGTGGGCCGGGTGGAGGACCAGGTGGAAACGGCCTTGCATGCTGATGTGGAGAGCCTGATGGAGGCCGATTGTAAGGCCCACTTCCTTCTTGCATTGAGGGTACCTGTAATGGCGGGGGTGGATACTGCATGTTCTGCATATTTGCAGGCGGAGGCAGGATTACAGGCGGCCCCTGCGATGGGCGGGAGGTTATGGGGACATTATGGGCCGCAGGACTCTGAGAAGATCCAGCGGATGCAGAAGGCGGCGGACCATAGGGCGAAGGATACTGGCCACCATGCGGAGGGTGTTGCGGAGGGGCCCTAGCTTGCTGTTGTTGCTGTTGCTGCGGTTGCTGCTGCTGCTGCGGTTGCTGCGGAAGCGATGGGGTCCGTTGATGAGGCGCAGGTTGCGGTTGTGCTTGATGGGGAACCGGAGATTGTGTGGCCGACTTCAGATGAGGAGAAGAAGCATTTCCATTGACAGGAGAATCAGACGGATGGTTAATGATGCTTTCTATTTTAGCCGAGGACCGACGCGGCGCTTGCGTGTGCTGAGCGCTGGGTGATTGCTCTTTGCTGCCGGGTGGACTGGCCTGAGGAGCTGTAGAAGGTGCTTTCACCGGACCTTGGGCGTCCTGCGGCGCAATTTCCGTAGTCGGCTGAGCAACGGCGGGTGAAGGTCCAGCAATAGGCGAAGCTCGAGATGCTTCCCTCGCGCCATTGACCAGGTGTTCCCGTTGCAAACGCTCATCCCACTCGCCGCTTTGAATAGCGCGAAGCTCCCGCGAGAAGTGATCATAGCGCTTCTCGTGTTCGCGAATCTCGTCAATGGCATGGCGTCGGTAGCGCGTGTACAGCTTCGCGATCAACTGGGGCAGCAGATGTTGGTGCTGGGCAGCTTCCTGGACGGAGGGCGGGTTGGGGCTCGGTGCTTTGCGCTTCCTCGACGGACTGTCGCCATTCTGGACGGGCGGCTCGTTCTCGGACCTCGGATCGAGCTCATCGCGGATCTCCTCCTTCAGCAGATGTAGGTACAGGTCGCGCAGGGCATCGGGCGTCAAGCGGTCGGGGCTGAAGCTCGCAGCGTTCTTTACAGCATCGTTGTGCAGCAGCAGATCGGAAACCTTGGCGAAGACGGGAGCTTCTACGCCATAGCAAGCGAGGGACTGGAACAACAGGAGCGACTCGAGCGGCGTATAATGGGCTGGGAGGCCACTCATCCCCCCGCGGTGGAGCGCAGCGACGCGGTATGCGGAGGGGTGGATGGGAGCCAGCGCGGAGACGTGGAGCTGCAGCGGACCATCAGACAAGCTCGGACGACGACGGCGCGCGCGTCACGACGGGAGCTAGAGGGGCGAGGCGTGCGCGGCGGCGGGACTCGGAGCTGGCGGCGATGGAGAGTTGGACGAGGGATGGCGGGGGCCGGGAGCGATGGGCGCGGCCGTGTTCCTGGCTGGGGAGTTGCGGTCGCGATGCGTGTCAAGCGACACGGCGGGCAGCAGTGGAGTGGAATTTTGCGACCGACGCCGCCCGCCGCCCAGGCCCGGCCCAGCGCAGCACCCGCCCACCGCCCTCTACCGACGCGCGCAGGCCGCGTCCATCACCTCACCCCAACCACGTCTCTCACCGCCCTGCCACTCCGGCTCGAGAGCGCGCCCTCGGAATGCTCGCCGCGTCTGTCACGTGCGTGGGCCGCCCCTTTTCCAGCGCGACGAAAACGCTACTCGCCCCGCGGCGCCGGTGACGTCGGCGTGCCGGCAGCAGCAACCGCCCGTGCTGCTCAGCTGGCTTCGCTGCCGCGAGTAGGGCTGGGGCGAAGGGCACGCGTGCGGTGGGCTTGGCTTGGCCGTCACGGCAGGGTATGGTGTCTGCCCAATTGGCGTCGATCGCATGAAGGCTCCCGCGTTCGGCGGAAATGACATACTTATCAAACACCTCCTTTTCCCCTCCACCGCCCTCTCTAAAGGCCTGCCGCCGCCCGCGATGACAACTGCCTCCACGCGTCGCCCGGTGCTCCTGCTGCTCTCTCTCTGACGTCGCCGCAAGAAGCCAACAAAGACCACCTCGTTCGCGGGTCCAAGCTTCCAACCAACCTTCTCCGAGACCGCCTGGAAAATCGCCTCGACCCCTCCCGACGCTGCTCATCCTCGCAACCTCCTCCCAACCGAAGCTTCCCTCAACCAAAATGGACAGCCAGAGCGCCTCCGCAAGCCCAGACCGCGACTGGGTCCCCAAGCAGCGCCCGCAGTCGTACGCTCCGCCCCCGCCCAGCGCTCCCCGCTTTCGGCCCCTCAAGCTGACCGCCGCACAGCCAGATTGCCAAAAACTTCTCTGCCGCGCTTGACGACATCTTCAACCTGAGCGGGAAGTTCGACGAGGTTGAGAAGGAGGTCGACCAGAAGTGAGCCAAGCCACCACCACCTCGTCTCAGACCTCAGCATGCTGACGCCCCGACAGGCAGCAGGCGCTTACGTCGCAGAATGCCGAGCTCGAGGCCCTGGAGGCCCGGCTGCGCGCGGCTGAGGAGCGCCTGAGGGCAGCCAAGGGCGACCCGTCGTCGTCATCCGACGACGGCAAGAGCCCTGTGCAAGAGCAGAAGAGTCCCTCTGACGCGACGCCGGCCATGCAAGGCAGCCGCCCGACCAGCAAGGGCATCTCGGCGTGAGGAAAGCGAAAGGAAATTGCAAACAAATCATTCAAAGGAACGCGTATTCGGAGTTTGGTGTGATACCAGATATTTGTACAGGATTGGATGTATAAACAGCCACACATTTTTTTTCTTTTTTGTTTCCCTTTTCTTTTCTTTTTCTTGGGAAGCCATTCGGGACATTATACCACACCATCACCGTCATTGTGATGCTGCATCACGGCCAGATGATGACGCCTGCCATGGTGAAGATATGGGCACGAGAGACGGGACGACGAAGGTCGTTGTTTCGATCCACTTCATGTTACACGCTGCTAGAATCTATCATGCTTTCACGGTAAGCTCCTGGCTCTTCCAGTCTCATTGAGCTTCACTCCAGGATCAGGACATGTGCCCCTGTTGGGCAAAAGAGGTCGACGCAGCTGGGACCGGGGTGTGTTTGAGCCGCGAGCTTTTGGAAGTTGGGGGTTGGACCCTGATGTTTCGGCCGGCCTCCCTCCGGCCTTCGTCCCCTTAGCGCCCCCCACCATTGAGAAACGCGCCAGCCGTTGCTCTCAATTGAAACATGATGGCGCGGCACATCTTCGCACAACTTGTTGCATTGCCGTTGCTCGCTCTTGCACCGTCAACGGCTCCGCCTTCCGTGTGTCACGAGGCACCTCAATTTCACTAGGCGCACGGGACCCTATCATGCCGGACTTCTGGAAATTTCTGCTGATATTTCGCCCATCATCTACCGTAACGGAAAATTGCAACCTTGCTGCCTGATTCAGGAGAACGACACCACCACCCAGCGACATTTCCGCCCTCATTTCTGCTAGACCACGCCCGCCCAACAATCTTTTCCCAGTCTTGCAGCGACCCAGTCTTATTTGACATGCAGATTGATAAATTGTTGGGACCATTCGCCCCTTCGCCTTCTCGGAATCTTCTCGTGTGTCCCAATTGACCGTCGATGCCGCCAGCCAGCAGAAAACCATTGAGAACTTGGTCCACATGGCGCCGATATCAATGCCGATCAGTGGGGCTTGAAAGGAGACAGACGAAGGCCCCAATTCACGAGTGCTATCATATCTGAATTGAGACAATACGAAGTACGCCTGAAGCCAATTAGTAGATGACGTCGGAAGACACTTGCTCCCCGCGACACCGCTCTGTGCGAAACGTTTCTTCCCGCGGCCGGTCTCATCTCAGACGAAACAGATCTGCGACAAGGTTACAGAAGGTAAGGTACCCGCCGCTGGAGCGCGCGAGCCGATCCGGAGGTGGCGAAGTGCGGCTGAAGGAGATCTCCCTCGTGAACGTCCCACTGGCTGGCGCCTGGAAAGGAGAGGTTTCACGCGCCCTGCGATCACCGGGAGATACTCCGATCGGATAAACGGCGCCAGGCTGTGGCCTTTGCGGCTGATTGTCGCGGAACGGGAGGGGACCAGCTTGTCGGGAGGCTTGAAGAAGATGGGAAATACAGTTCTCGATTTACTCGCTGAGGCGGGACATGAAGAATGATTACAGATGCTGTATGGAGATTGCGATCACAGGTTGATCCTCAGTTGATTCAGTATCACGACCACTGGAGGTAAGTCTGTGGTTGTACCATGAGCAGGAAGGCCCAATACCCATTCTGAGGGCGTAAGCTTTTATCTTCCCATTGAAGCTTCATTCCATTCAACCGCTGCCAGCGCCCTCTACGAGGGATTACCAGAAACAAGATCAGAATCCTACACTGTGGCTTTCATGGAACACAGAAAAAAAAAAAAGACTGGAGCTGGAGATGCAAAGAACATATAGTCCAAATGTCAGTCTCTAAACTTGAATCTTCACGCATATCGGATGTACTCAATTGCAATCAGATCGCCTAATAAGCATACAGAGGAGTGCTGCAGCTGATGGCTAGCGTGAAGAATAGCAGGGCTCCAGAACATAGCGTAACTATGCCCCAGCTCTGCCTTAGAAAAAATAATAACATATGTGGGTAGTTGAAGCTATCGTCCGGACGAGAATGTCGAATTAAAAATGCTACATACACGTCCGGACGATAGCTTCAACTGCCCATGACATGAGCAAAAAAACAAATCCACGCTAGCCATCGGCTGCGAGAGGGGACTGTGATTCCACCGCTTGACTGAGCCCAGGACCAATTTCTATTTGAACGCACGCAAGTTTTCACTGAAGTCTATGCTGACCGCAAATAACTCCTAATCCAATATAAATCACTGTCTCAGTTCACTCGCTGGCAAGTTTGATAGAGAACAAACTACCTGAGTCTGATTGAAAATCTTCTTACGACATTTCACAAACAGTCTTGAATTCCTACAAATGTAAGTAGTCAAATGCAAGATCACTTCGCCGCTACAATACATCAGCAGATAGTGCAAAACGACGTACTCGTATTCGAAACTGTCCATGTCTGGATCCATTCTCCTCCCCGCAGTAGTTGTAACAAGCACTACAGTATGGACGAATAAGAGGCTAGGCACCAAGTTAAGCCCTGCCGAAGGAATCTTGAACAGCCATGGCATTCCCCGGATTTCTGGTTCGGAGCGCTTGGGATACCCCAGAACGCCCCACCCCGCGCTTTTCGGGTCAAGTTGGGCGGGGAACCGGGGTAAACAGCACCGAGCTGTGGACGACGCCTCAGCCACCAAATGGCAGCTGCTACCATGTCGCAGAGCTCTCATCCAACCCGGCACGCGCTGCCGGCTCCTACCGTACGGCGATGCAGCCTTTTCGGTGCGTGACTGTGGTGTGCGCAACGTATCACGCTTCGCAGCCATGTTGCCTTTTCGGAAAAGCCGAATGGATCTCCACATGCGGCGCTTCCCTTCCCCCAGATCTAGGCGCGGCTTCGGTGGGAATGGAAGCGCGAGCTCCGCACATGGAGGGTTCAACTCATTGATTCTTAAGAAGGCTGGATAGCTTGAAGAGATTTCCGGGCCCCACACTCGCAGCTCGCTCGCTGCTTCCGCGTTACACTTCGATTTTCGACCGTCACTTCAGTCTTTTTCCAGTGAAATGGCGCTGTTAAAACGGACAATTGTCGCTGATGATCATGCTGTCACTCGGGGTGGACATCTGACCCTGAAGCAGTCCTTGCTGCCGAATTCTCTTGGTGAGTTTCCCAAGAATACTTACTTAGCTAGCAGGGGAACGTTGCAGACCCCAAGACACCTTATTCAATCCTGATAAGTGCTAATACAGCTTTGCCACTCTGTAGTCACAATTCTTTTCTTCCTCTGGGGCTTCGCCTACGGCCTCCTCGATGTCTTGAACTCGCACTTCCAAGCCGACCTTAACATCACCGCCAGCAAGGCGTCCGGCCTGTCTGCCGCCTACTTCGGCGCCTACTTCCTCTGCCCACTGACCATCTCCGGCTGGATTCTGCGGCATTACGGCTTCCGCGTCACCTTCATGACCGGTTAGTTTGGTCAACCCACTCCGCCCACATTCGCCCGCGGCAAACGTACCCACACAATACAGACATTCTCGCTGATGCAGATTCTTCCCACAAAATCTAGGCTTGGCAGTTCTCGCGGTCGGGTGCCTGCTCTTCTGGCCGTCGGGCGTTAAGGAATCGTTCGGCGGCTTCTGCGGATCCATGTTCGTGGTGGGCGCGGGCCTGTCGACGCTCGAGACGGGCGCGGACAACTTCCTGTCCATCTGCGGCCCGCCGCGCTACAGCGAGATCAGGCTGAACCTCGCGCAGGGTGTGCAGGGCGTGGGCTCGTTCGTCGCGCCGTTGCTGGCGAGCAGGGTCTTCTTCGCCGACACGGTGGACACGAAGCAGGGGTTGAGGAATGTGCAGGTGAGTTGTTTCCAGTTTCTCCCCCTTTCCCGCCTCTTTGGCTTTCAGTATGTTGTAGCTTGTATGGAAGCTGATGAGGAAGATGAGTAGTGGGTCTATCTCGGCGTCGCGGGTTTCGTCGCCCTGCTCATCATCATGTTCTGGATCGTGCCTATGCCGGAAGTGACAGACGCCGACATGGCTGTTCAGGAGCGCGAAATCGCTGAGGGTGGACACGGTGGCGAGTCGGGCGAGGGCGAGGGTCCGTTCCGCAAGCAGTACAACCTATTCCTGGGCGTGTGGAGTCAGTTCTGCTATGTCGGCGCGCAGGTGGCCGTCGCGAACTACTTCATCAACTTCTGTCAGGAGGCCGGCTATTCAAGTGCAACGAGCTGTAAGTTTTTTCTACTTCTTTTCCTATTCCTTGCCGAAAATGGGTAGTTGTGGGCTAACGGGGGTGTATCTACAGCGAATCTGCTTGCCGTCGGACAGGGCTGCTACGCCTTCATGCGCTTCGTTGGCTCCGGCCTGATGGCCAAAAAGGCCTTCAAGCCCCGTTACATGCTCGCGATCTACCTTGCGCTTTGTTTTGTCTTCGGTCTCGCCGCCGTCTTGACACACGGGAAGACAAGCGTGGCGATGCTGATCTTGGTGTTGTGCTTTGAGAGCGTGAGTGCACCGAATCAGTTCTTGGGGGATGTGACACTTTACTGACTGAAACGGGATTGTTCACAGATCTGCTTCGCTACCATCTTCACCCTCGCCTTGCGCGGTCTTGGTCGCCACACCAAGCGCGGCGGCAGCATGTTGGTTGCCGCCATCTCCGGCGGCGCTGCAATCCCTCCCAGTATGTTCTCCGTCCTCACTCACTTTCCTTTACCTTACCCCCTCCCCCTCCTACTCCTTTGACAGTAACTTCCACTAATCTAATCCGCTTTCTCCTCAGTGACTGGTGCCGTTGCCACCTCGACTGGCAACTTCCACACCGCTATGGCTATTCCAACTGCCTTCTACGTCGCCGCGTGGATCTTCCCAGTATATGTCAATTTCTTCAACCGGGAGAGCTTGGACGCGCATCGTGAGTCAGAAGTGAATGTAGAGAAGAGCACAGTGGGTGATGCTATGGATAAGGCGGTGGAGCTAGAGAGGGGTGGAAGTGTAGCGGAAGTTGGGAAGGGAGAGGTGGTGAGAGTCGAGAGGCGGGACTGAGGTTTACAAGGGGCTGAGAGGCGCAGTACAGAATGGATGAACAAATGACGATTTCGAATCTAGAAGACTGGACCTCAATATTCGTGTAATGGTATTTGGTGGAGGGAGTGAAGGTGAGAGACTTTCAGCGAGTGTGGTAACCTCTTCTCGGTACAGCGCATGCTATACACTTAACAGCTGCCGTTTTCATAGGGCATGAGAGTGGCCGCATTCGAAGAAATTAACCGATCGGTGCACTACAGAGGGGTTCGACGTCCAAGCACTAGCGTAAAATGTTGTTTCTTGGGACCGAGAAGTAAGCGTACAATGAATGGAACGAATCACAATGGCGGAACGGCTCACAGCCACTGCTGGTGCCTTTACGCTAGCCATTAGGAGCGGCACCCCTCTGTACGTATTCATCAAGACACGACGAATACGCAGAGTATGCCCCCCTACACAACACATTCCACCGAATTCCTCCGCGAAGAATCTTCCACGGCCCTCGCACCCAAAATAGCCCCCACGACACGCAACCTCTCGCATCCCAGGAAATCCTTCATCAAAGCCTCCTCAATCTCCACCATATCCGCCATTTTGGACCCCGCATCCACGAACTGCGCCTCCTAAACGTCGTCCGCCACCTCTTCTCGTAGCGCGACAATGAACTCCTCTTTCTCAAACCTTCCCCGCAGACTCAGGGCGCCGCCACTGCCGCTACCACTGCCGCCGCTGCCGCGCCATGCTGCCGCGCCCCTGACTGGGCGTCCCCAGAATCGGCGTGAACGACTTCCCGCCGCTCTCTGCGCTCTCTGTTGTACGCATGTGTAAGTTTAGAAACCAATCACCCAGCCAAGCCGTCAAATCCAACGCGCAGTTGCTGCTAGCCAGTTATGGTGTTTTCAAGTACGTGCAAAGAGCGCACACATCCGTATCCCAAGGACCCATCCGTGTCCGCTTCCCGTCTTCACTATTTTTTTCCGCTGGCGCCATGGCGGTTGCCGGAGAATGGGCCACCAATCTCGTGCTACTTTAGAAGGAGTCGATCACTTAGTAGCGACGGCTCGGATGGTCGAGAGGCGGGCCGGCGGGATGGATCGTGCGAAATGGTAGAAGACGGCAAGGGGAGGCGGAGTCAAAAGTGTCGTGGGTGGAGAGAGGTGGGGGGTGGCTTCGGTGGAGCTATTGTGGTGGTGGCGCCGCGGACTGCGTGGCGCATTTGTTAGTGCTTGCGGCGGAGTAGCGTCCGGCAAACTGATGAGGGAGGGGCGTGAGGTAGTGTAAGACATACATTAGGAGGAGAAGGGAGCAAAGTTCAGACGGTGTGTAGGCCGTGGCGTGGTCGTCGGCATGGTCCGGTGCGAGGGATGCGTCGCTCCAGTTAACATTGTGGCAGTAGCTTTAGCAGCGGGAGGGGGAGAAGTGCTCTTGGTCCCAGCAGTAGGTGTGTTCGAAAGCGCGGTTGTAAGGCTCAATATTGAGCATGTCGAGTATCGGCCGAGGACTTGGTCATAGATTTACAAATGTAGCTCGATGGGGTGTTTGGCGATCAAGGATGATTAGAGTTAGTTTAGGCAGAAGTTCCGGAGGTAAGAGCTGATCGCCGGGAATGAGAAGGACTCGAGGAGAGAATTGCAGGGACATCCCTTCTTGTGCGTCTTGACGCTGCCACTAACGCCGTAGCTGAAAAGTGATCACAGTGAAAGTTTTATGGACAACGACGCCTGAATTTCTCACATGGTCACTAAAACTCACGGGCACCGGTGGTTACAGCGATTTTAGGTGGAGGCTGGACGGTGACTGTAAATGGTTAATCTGGTGTTGTCTGAAAATCTTACAGCAGCTCTTAACACTAACGCTACCTAGCGAAGCACTGCCTCTAGGTGAGGCGTGATTGCACCCCTTCATTGTCACAATAGGCAACACTGACAACCATTAACCATGTCAAATATCGACTGGTGCCAGGTTCTCTGGAGTGATGGGGGACGAGAGGTTGCAGGAAGCATGAAAGCTTAAAAGCTTAGGCAACCCACCAGTGATGCGTAGCGTGCACCAAACACGCACATGGACAGCGAAGTGGAGAGAATACCGCGTAGGCAAGTCGATGACGCATTCGAAAGAGCAGCACGTGGCAATGCGTCGGAAAAGGGAGTCCAAGCATCGGATTTGCGCGGTGTGGCTGAAGGTTCCAGACACGCGGGTTGTAGGTAGATGGCGTTGCACAAACAAATAATACCTCTCTCCAGTCCCAGTGTTCCCATAGGGAGGTGGTAAGCACGATCCATTGCCCAGGAACGCCGGCCCAGAACCATGACTGCGGGCCGAGGTTCGTCCATGCGCTAGGTTGTGTCCGCAGACGCGGCCTCCTGTCAAACCAAGTCCTCCCCGTTGCGCTCCGTCCTCCCCCACTGCTGGGCTTGAATCCAACTGAGTTGTGATGGTGGGCAGTTTCGGACCGAGCCCGCCTCACACAGTGCAAGGAACGCATTCCCGATCGAGGGGCCTGAAAATTGACGCGGATCCTCTAACAGCCGTCATCCGCATCCTCCACGTGGCTCCGAACGGGACGCACACACGTGGGCGTCAGAGTTGGCTGACGAGCAAGCAGGGACTCGGACCGGGCCCGTGTTTGCATTTGCCGGCGGCGGTAGTGAATTTGTGAGCGGGAGAAGCAGAGGCATTTTGGCCGTCTCTAGACGGCGGTGCAGATCAAGCAGATCAACGCTGGGATGAGGCACCAGGCAGACGAACTACTGGGGTTCGAGTGCCCCGCGGCCTCAAACTTCGGCCCTTCTTCAGCGGCCGTACCTCCGTAGCCTTTTGGTAGTTCCCTCACATCCGCTTTTATTAGCTCGCTTATCCAGCGTTGGCGTTCGGCAATCAGAGTTTGGCGCGGTCGCGCTTTCTCCTGGCGTTCCGTAAAAGCCAGCCACCGGCATCCTGGCTTGAACTTGGCTGACCTCCCTTCCTAAAACACTGCCCGCCCTTGACTTGACCATGGGGGCACGGCCAGTTTCAGTTAAGATCCAATGGCCTGCCGCTTCCCTCCTCAGACCCAGACTCGACTCAACCCACGCTCTTTGAACCAACATGGCGTTCGACATTGCCGGCGGACGAGGCAATTCCATGTACATTTTGGGTGGATTTGGCCTCTTCCTCGTCTGGTCCACCCTCTCTCTCCGCATCTATGTGCGGGCTCACATGCTCCGATCCTGGGGATGGGATGATTGGATGATGACTTGGGCTGTCATATGCTTCACTATCATGGCTGCTGGCATGTTCTGTCTCGCGGCGAACTCATTTGGCAGCCCGGCATACACCCTCTCTGTCGACACCTTAGTCAAACTTTACAAAGTAGGCATGAGCTCGTTCCACTGAGCAGACATGCACTAACCTCAACAACAGTCTGTCATCTTCGCAGAGGAAGGCTATGTGACTACCTCCATGTCAGTCACCCATCCATCCATGTTCCCGCAAGCACTTTCTGACAAGTGGCAGGTTCTTCCGCCTTTCCGTCTGCTGCTTCTACCTCCGTCTCACGCCCGTCATGTGGCACATCTGGACCATCAAGATCTTGATGGTCGTGAACACGACGTATTCCATTGCCTACTTCTTCGTCCTCCTCAACCAATGTACTCCAATCTCTTTTTTCTGGACCCATTTCACCGGCGACACGGACGGCACCTGTCTCCGCGACAGCATCATTATCGGCACAACCTTTGTCCATACCCTCATTTCCATCATCGCCGACTGGACGCTAAACAGCATCCCTCTCTTCATCATCATCCCCAACGTCACAATGAACCGGCGCACTAAAATCAGCGCTCTCGCCCTTCTCGGCCTAGGAGCAGTGTACGTACCATCCCCATTAGGAAACCATTCACTGTGGAAGACTGACTCGCATCCCAACCCGCAGTGCCAGCAGCGGCATCATCGTCCGCCTCATCGCTCTCTTCACCATCAGGCCGTCCAACAGCGCCGTGCCCCTCTCTCCGCCGGTCGCGTTCTGGTCCGCGCTCGAAGCCACGATCGGGATGACGGCCGCCAACCTCGCCACATACCGGCCCTTCCTGCGCTCGCTCGCCAAATCCATCCGCAGCGGGCCCGACAGCGATCTCCCAGACCAGCAGCAGCCGCGCTCCATCATAAACCTCAGCAAAATCCGGTGGCCGCTGAGCAGAGCCTCGCGCAGCCGGCGGCAGCACCGAGCCGGCTACGTCCTGAGCGGCGGGAACGACGACGAGCTGGATGCCCAGGAGCTGGATGGGATCGAGGAGTGGGAGCGGGGGCTGGGAGTGCGTCGGGGCAAGGAGGGCGGCATCGCCATCGTGGATCTGGATGACGACAAGTCCCCGCCGGAGGAGATTGTGAGGGTGGGGAGTGAGGACCGCTTGCGGCAGGACTCTGGTTCGCAAGGCGTGTGAGTGAGTTGTTTAACGGTCGGTATTATGATTTTTCATTTGATGTGTTCTTGAGCGCGCCCATGTCTGGAAACGTTTACGTTTTTTTTTTAGCTGTATCAATACCATCATCCGTGCCGGATGTCAAAAAATCGCATTCACAGATCTATTCCGCTGTCAATGTCTTTCATTTGGTATGTGCTCGAGCTATGAGATTCAAGCGAGGACTTGATCATGGATTCTCAAACCTTTCATCTTCCCACTATCACATCCCTGAAACGGCCAACAAACTTGACGATATCCGCAGCTTAAATCTTCTCCACGCACGTCAAACTCCCATGGCCATGCTTCCATCAAACTGAGTTCTCCTCATCCTGTTCATCCTACCCTTCCCGTCTCTTTACCAAAATGGACAGTCAATCTCACTCACCCTCTTCTACCCAATTCACTCAAGCTTCACACAGACCTTTCCAAAGTGGCCCTGGCTTTCCATATACGCAAACGCCTCCCTCGCCTCGCCAAACTCGAACACCCGCTCGTCGATGGCGGGCTTGATATCGAACGCCTCGATGGCCCGGTTCATGGCCTCGTACTGCGTCCGCGGCCCGACGAAGCTGGTGCGCACGACGCAGAAGCGGAAGAAGACGTCGAGGAGGCGCGGCTCCAGGTCGGGCGTAGAGGCGTCGGGGGCTCCGCCGCGGAAGCCGACGAGGGAGATGAGGCCGCCGGCCTTGATAGCGGATAGGGACTTTGGGAATTGTGAGTAGGGGCTCGTGGCTATCTGGGAAGAGGAAGAGAAGTGGGAGAGAAAGGGAAGGAAAACGAAACTGAAAAAATGAAACGAAGATCCAGATCGATGTTGGAGTGGGAATCAGAGGATTCCGATGGAACGTACCTGCTTCAACGTCGTGGCGCCGCCGACCTCGACGATGAGATCGACGCCTGCGCCGTCGGGCGTCAGTGCGGTGACGGCGGCGCCCCAGTCGGGCACTTCACGGTAGTTGACCACGTGGTCCGCGCCGAGAGAGCGGAGTCGTTCCGCCTTTTTGTCCGAGGAGGTTGTCGCGATGACTTTGGCGCCGGCGGCTTTGGCGAACTGTGTGGGTTTCATTCAGGATCAGTCAGCACACCGGCATACTTCCATCCGCACCTCTCTATCACACACACACACTCTCTCTCTCTCTCATACATATCAGAGAACTCGAAAGAAGGCGAAGAGAAACAACGAGCGTTAGGAAACGGGGAAGGCCCAACAACTCACCTGCACAGCAAAACAACTCACACCCCCACTCCCCATCGTCAACACCCAATCCCCCGGCCTCACCTGCTTCCCTTCCAGCCCGTACAGCGCATCCCACGCCGTCAGCGCCGCGCAGCTCAGCGTGCTGCCCTCGACCATCGTCAGGTTCCTCGGCATGTTAATCAAATACGCCTCGGGGAATACACCAAACTCGGTCAACGTTCCTGGCATCGATCCGCCTAGCACGTGCTCTAGGTGCTTCGCCGGCTGCATGGGGCCGAACTGGTGCGCGCCGTTCATGACCGTCGCGACGGCGTCGCCGGGCGCGAAAGAGGTGACCCGCGGGCCGACGGCCGCGACGGTGCCGGCGCCGTCGGAGCAGGGGACGACGGGGAGGGTGAGCGCCCATGGGTATTGGCCCCGCGTTACGACGAGGTCGCGGTAGTTGAGGGATGCGGCAGAGACTATAAAGGGCGGGAGGGGTTGGTGAGTTTTTCGTTCTTTCTCGTTCAAGGCTCTTCCTTCCTCTCTTTCACTTCCCAATCTTTCAAGAACTGGTGATTTTTAGACGTACGTTTTACGAGAACGTCGTTGGGACCGAGCTCCGGCATTGGGACGTCTTCCTCAATCTCAAGCCCTTCCGGCCCGGTGAAGTTGCGGACCACCCAGCGCTTCATCATCTTCGGAATGGGCGGCGGCGGTCTCCCGGCGCCATTCTTGTGGCCATTGGCAGGCGCACTGCTGCCATTGCTGGTAGGTAAGTACGCGCTGTGACCAACTGTCGTAGTCGCCGAAGGAGGTGCCATCGTTGGGTAAGTGTTACAGATCACCGGAGTGGGAATTCGGATTGAGAAGAACGCGTATTTTCAAGCAGAAGATGGGGAATCTTATATCCGACATCTTTTTGCCCATTATTTCCGAATCTTCTGGGGTTCTCTCTGCTGTGCCGCATGATGTTCGGAAGATTGCTGTGAAAGGACGTTGTTCGGTCTGTGTCCTGAGTCGGCCCACCTTGAGTTGACGTCAGAATGGCTCTATGCCTTCGGCCCGAAGCGAAGACCGAGGGGTGCTTAGGTGGAGTGAGCGATTCAACTGTTTGTACATATGATTGAAGATCCTCTTTCCCTGTCTCGACGAGATACGATAGTATATTTAGGGCAGGTTCTTTGTCTTACATCAGTTCGTAAACGCTAGTAGCCTGCTCTATTTAGCGAAGCTTTTGAGCATCCTAAGCTACCGAAGACTCGTCAGACATTTACATATCTCTCGAATCCTGGGTGCCACGTTCAACGGTTCCCACTGCTCGGCAACTCGAGGCGATAAGAGGATGCTAAAAAGGAAAGGTACCGGAGACGAGACCAGCAGCTCGGGAGCGGAAGTCCGGATATGGGCCCGAGAGAAGGGCCGCAGACCCTATTAGAGGCCTGTCTCCGTCTATGTTCCGTTTGCTTGGAAAACACTTCCGACTGGATCATTCCATTCAATTGGCTTTGGTTTAAATTGATAACTCTCCAAGTCTTCATGAAGAAATTGAAAAGAGAGCAAGGCACTCGCTCTAAGTTTTGAGCTGCGAGAGGCGTTCGCAGCACGAGGCTGGGGTTTAATGATACCAATGCGGCAGCCTTAAGCCAGCCTTGGCTTTATGGGTTGATCTGCCTGGGTAGGTCAGGCTAGGCTCATGAAAGCATAGCATAGGAGGAGAATCAAGAACCTGCAATTGTCTCTTCAAGTGAACACTGGGCGGAAGAGGAAACGAGGATGCTGCTTCTGTGAAACCCGTTTCCTTATTTCTGCCCCACCCCCGGCTTCGACAGAGTGATCAGCAGTTTGTGGTACCGGGGCTACGGTTCTCACCACGGATCCACCCTGGCAGGCTTCTTGAACAATGGCCCCAGTTTGGACCTGCATGACGGGTGTGCATGTGGGGAACGAGGGTTTATGGATCAATGCATCCCGATTGACCTCCGGACTCATGTGGGCGGCATGAGACCAACAGCTTTTCGGCTCCAAACGATCTTCTTTCTCAGTATTTGGGTAAATAGAAAGCTGATTTATGATATGACTGCGAATAGTGGAATCGCGACAAGTGTGTGATCTCTTGCAGCAGCCTCGGACGGCGGGACGTTACAGAGACTCCTATAAGGGGCATGCAGCAAATGTACGGCTTTAAGCGGTGGTTAAGTTCAAGAGAACATTAAAGAGATGCTTCAAAGACTATTGATTGCCAATTTTGTCTCATTTTGTAGACCTGGGATCGGGGAAGAAGCAGTATTAATGTATTAGGACTTCGACAGTACTGTGATGCGCAGATCATAAAGCCAAATTATCCCTAAAGCTCCCGATGCGACTCGATGAGTCTCGCAATAGCGTTGAAACCTCGACTCCTAGCATATCTGACAGCATTCATGAACTGAAAATCTCCGAACGTCCGGCTCGTAAGATCGGCCCCATGCTGAAGAAGTAATTTGACCATGTCAAGCCTGCCCCATTCAGCAGCTCCTTCTAACGCTGTCCTACCATCGAACTCTGCACCAGCAGCATTTACGTGAGCGCCCGCCCCTAGAAGAACGCAAGCCATTTCGATATCTCCTTTAATTGCTGAAGCTTGGAGTGCGGTAACGCCTCTATACTTGTATGGAAGCGCATTGACGTCGGCCTGCAATTGCAAGAGACACTCAACCATCTCAACATCACCACGATCAGCTGCCTCTTGCAGGGTTGTTTTCGGAAGTCCTTCTGAAGTGGATCCGTACACGTCGATGCCAGCTTCATGCAATAAGGGGATGGTTTTGGGACTGCCATCCAGTGCCCAGTAAGCCGTCGACTTGCGGGAGCTTGCCTGTCCACTAACGTCTTCGTCTCTGAAACTTTCGGCTTCGACTTCTTCCACTTCGACCCTGTCGTCGTCAGAGAGATCACGACAGGCTCCCGGAAACTGTAATAAGAAGCGAACAACATCTTCTGCGCCGACCGCTACTGCAGCATCCAGTGGCGAAAGCCGAAACAGCTTCTGTGCGAAATAGGAAAGATTTCGACAGCCACGCCAATAAACGCCGATACTGACGGGTGCGCCAGCTTCAACCAGCAGTTTCACTGACGCTAAATCTTTACAGATACAAGCCCTCACGAGGGCGGCAGTCCCGCATACGGAACTTGCGTCGACACCACCAAGGATAAGAGCGTATAGCATATCGGAATCGCCCTTTGTTGCAGCTTGGAAGAGGAATTCATGTCCAAAACAGCGACGGGACATGGGCTGGGGAAGAAATTGCAAGATGAAAATGGTCTTCAGAGACTCTTGCACGACAGAAACGTCCCGCCTTTGGAACCCATCATCTAAATCAGCCAAACACCTATCAGCCGAATCGTAGATGGCACCCGTGTTGCGCGCTCCATGCTCAATCAACCGCCGACAAAGTGCTGGCTGACTTCTCCGGAACTCGATGGACAATTTCATGTTGTGCGCATTGGCACCATGGTCCAATAGACAAGTGATGATGTCGATTTGCTTGTCCGATGGATTTCGGATGATCCCATCATGGAACATGGATTCCAGGGCAGTCTCAGGGTGTTGTCCCGTCGCGTTAACATCAAAGCCAGCGCTGATCGCTCGACGGACAAGATCAAGGTTGTCTGTCTTGGTCGCAAAGCTGAAAGCGCAAAAGTCGGCGGGGGACGCGCCGGCATTAAGAAGAAAACGTACCACGGATTCTTCTCTCAGTTGAAGAGCTGTGTATAATGCTGATGATGTGGTTCCTTGCATCTCATTCACGTCTGCACCGGCGCTAATGAGTAGCTTCACAAGCGCCAATGGCTCCGAAGAATGACCTCCAATAGCATTAACCAAAGCGGTTCGTCCGTTCATGGGTTCTGTTTGCCGGCCGATATCTCTCCACTCGAAATTTGGAGGGCAGGCATTCACATCGGCATTTCTCTCGAGGAGCAGTTCGACCATATGCTGATCGCCATTCCAGGCTGCAATTTGAAGGGGAGTTGGAATCAATTGGTTCGCTGGCCTTTCTAGACCTGCTCCCCAGTTCACAAGATAAGTCGCGATACCATAATTGCCGTTGAGAATGGCGTAAGCGAGTGGCGACATGCCGTTACTGTGCCGTACGTGGACATCGGCACCTTTCTTCAGGAGCAGTCTGACCATGTCTTCAAGCCCCTCGCAGACAGCCTTAATGAGGAGATACGTGTGATCCGTGCGCGGTAAAGGCCTGTCAACGTTTGCGCCGAACTGAAGAAGCACAGTGGCGATTGGGATGTTGTCCTTGCTGATTGCAGTATACAAGAAGGAATAGCCGCTTCCGTCAACATAATTGGCATCCATGCCTCTTTCTAAGGCCATGACGACGAAATGGAGAGCGTTGTCGTAAATAGCAGCGAACATCCCCCAGGGGGTGAATTCGAACCCTGATGATATGATTCTGTCGACGAGGCGCATTTTCTTGAGCTCAATGGCCCAATGTAAAGCCAATTCAACAGAGGAGTTCGGGAGAAATTCCTTCTGTATCGCCCTTTCCAGGAAGAAATCAATGAGCTCGACGTCGCCTATCTCAAGCATAGCAGGTATGGCGCTCGGCTCATCCAGAGGATACTTGTGTAGGAATGACTGGAACTCCAACCTTGTGAATTTCTTGTAAAGAAGCTTGATCCAATACTTCGTTCCGTATTTTAGATGTTGAAGATGAGCTCCAGCGTCAAGCAGAGTGAGTGTCATGGCCAGGGAACCGCTTTCAGCTGCTATGTCCAAAGGCGTATCGTTTCCCAAAGAATCGTTGGGTCCAACCCGGGTATGTTTGAGGAGAAGTTGCACTAAGCTAACTTGGTTCTCATGAAGGGCATTTTTGAAGAGAACCTCCACCAAAGACTCGACGACTGGGTCATGTTCTGCCATGAGATCCAGGATTTGGCTTCTTCTGTTCTGCAATTGAACACTCGCCGTGAGTGCCATGACTGTGCGGCCGAACATTTTTTCTAGCTCCATGTGCTTTCCCCGGAAATTGGAAAGCTCAACCACAACGGCCATGAAATTATTTAGGTGTTCTGGTGCAACGTTCTTGAACGTTTCCATCAAGCACGAATTACTTGAGCTCACTGTGACTAGAGCCGCTAACCCAGAGCTCTGGGTGAACTTTGATGTTCCCGATCCCCTTAAGACCAGGGAAATTTCCAGCGGGTCCTGGACGGCGCAGAACAGTGAGTTCGCAAGCTGTTCGAACAGTGGAACTGCTTCAAAATTAGTCAAACTTGTTCCAGAAACTTGTTGCTGACCCTAGGAAACTAATTTGTGTACTCACCATATTGTTGCATGACATGCATGAAGCTCAAGCATGGGAGTCCATCGATTGTAGTGAGATTCCTGCGATAGACGCAAGCAGCTGGCGATCTCTGCCGAGGAGGGGTCGTGATCATGATTCCATCGGGGGTGTGGCTCCGTCTAATGACTGACTGTCGCTGGAAATTCTCATAAGTAGTCTCGAAGTTTCGGGAAAGTGCCTTTCTGATCTTGCGCTGGGGAAAGTGGTAGCCGTTGACGATCAACCCGCTCTCCTTGCCCTCTTCGGCTTTTCGCTTCGCGATGCGACGCCCAACGAACCTCCATTCTTTTTGCTTGAGACTTTTGCGAAAGTTCCAAAGACTGAAGTGTCGCTGATACTCTTTTACACTAGGACGAGTCAGATCCGTGAGAGCACCGTAAATCTCAGAGGCGGAGTCTGCGTACTTCCTCTCAAAGCCGTATAACTCTTTCATTTGAACCGCGAGCTGTTTGCATGTCAGGTCTTCATCCATGTAGAGGCGTTTGATGTTTTCCTTCTGGGCTTTCCAGTCGTCTGCCATGACTACCTTTTCCGGCAGAATAGTAGAATTTGGAATAATTCTGTCGGAGCAAGGTAGAGAAAGGTGGGGAACGTGATGTGGGCTTGAATCGGCTCAAACGGGTGTCAGGCTGAAAAGCCAGAATTCTTATTGGACAATGCCGATATTTTGTGTAACATAAAATAGCCCTAACGGGCCTGGGCCTCGACCCAGCTCTTTTAAAGTGTCGCTCTTCAATTGGTCTCTGCCGAAATATCCATGCAATGCAGCCACGTGCCTGTACTATGTCAGTAGAAGGATGACATCAATGATAGAGCGTTCACCATGATCAGTCGCATGTGATGAGAATCTGCTGGCCTTCTTCTTGAGCTTCTGCCTTTTTCGAACTTGAAGTATATTCAATTTTGCCCATCGCGCTATGCGGTGAGAATGAGTTTAAGAAAAATGGCTGGGCACGGTCAGTGAAGTTCACAGCCTCGGGCGCATTGCTAAGACAGCATTTTTAAGCACAGTAGGTAGATGTTGAGAAACTCTTGAGATCGCATTTTACATCTCGAGACCGTAGTCGTCGGCGAATTTTGCTAATTTTCTTCCAATAAATGCAGTTGAAATTACTCCTCCCTTCATAATTCTCATTAAACAATGAATTTAAGCAGGCAGGCAGCTCAGCAGGCCCTGCAGCTTGTTCAGCACGACGGCCTGCTTGTCAGCGGTAGCCGTCGTCTTGTCGCCGGCGTCACCAACGCTCACGCTGACCCAGCAGCCGTCGGTGTCGACGACCTCCCTCTCCCTGGGCAGGCTGGTGCGGTCGCACTGGGCCACATCGTCGGTGGACAGGCCGGGGGTCTTCAGGTTGATGCGGCTGAGCACGAAGGAGAACTTGCTCGCATCATTGCACGTCGTGTCGTCGACCTCGCCGAAGTTGACGTTGAGGAAGGTGTCGGCGGGCAGGTAGGGGGTGCCGCTCTCGATGATCTTGGACGTCAGGTTGAGGGCGAGGTCGGCGTAGACCTGGGCGAAGAGGGGCGTCTCGGCGTTCCAGGCGGTGCGGCTGCCGCCGACGCCCGAGAAGGCGATGGCCGGGATGCCCTGCTTGACGGCGTAGACGGCGGAGCCGACGGTGCCCGAGAAGGGCACCTGGATGTCCAGGTTCGAGCCGACGTTGGGGCCCGTGACGGCCAGCTCGGCCGGCGCGTTGTCCCACAGCTTGGGCGCGAAGTCGGAGATGCCGTAGCGGATGGCCGTCACCGGGTACGAGTTGACCCAGTTGAGACGGGGGTCCGTGGCGTTGCTGCCCGTGGGGCCGCTGTTGGCTGCGCAGCTGTTGTATTCGCACGCCGAGGTGCGGTCCTTGGGGTCGCTGTCCAGGGAACCTGTTGGCGGTCACTTGTTAGATTATTTTGTATCTTTTTTTTTTCTTTTTCAGAAGAAAAGTGAAGACTTACCACGGCCGGACTGGTTATCAGCCGGGCAGGAGAGAACGGCGTCGTGACCGGCGGCAATCAGGGCGTCGTGCACGAGGCGCACGTTCTTCTCGGCCCATCCGTCATCGTTGCCCTGGATGATCCTGATGCCGCTGACGGCAACGGGAAGAGCGACGGCAGCAGTGGCGGCGGCGGCGAAACGCATGATGATGGTTAGAATCAAACGAGTGTGATGGGATTGCCAAACAGGAGTTGTTGGGCCGAGCGGATATATTTGTAGTCTGCGGTGCACTAGTAGCGAGCAGAGAGGTGGAGCGTCCAGTTACCTATATCGGCACCACGTGCTATGCGTACTTCTCGGCCATCGCGCAGGCGAGCTGCCGGAAAGCCGGGGCGCTTAACGAATGAGATGCGGAGTTGCGCGCGTCTTCATTTCACGCAGCCTACCAGTTGAAGCGTGTTAGGCTGCATGCCGTAAGATCGGCCGTTAGACGAGATGGATGGGGGAAAAGGAGGCACGGAAACTAGAGAGGTTCGGGCAGGAGCAGCGCCCGGCCCCGGAGTTGCTGCAGTTTCAACTGGCACGAGCCACAACTCCTGTTGTCATGTCGCCCGGCTTGGTAGGCTTGGCCACAACATGCAAATGCGACCTCTATGGACGGCTTGAATAATGACCAAACACCACCTGCCCACTTTCGCCACTCTGGTCCGCATCGTTTCGCCCCGCTTATTGGTCGGCACCGCCACGCCTCATTATGCCTGTTCCTTAGCGGCTGCGCATCGAAACAGTGCCGAAACCGCAGGGATGCTCGGATAATGAAACTTTGACTACCAGCTGCAGAGAGTCAGCCAGCGCCTTTAACACGACTTTTGCTCGCTTGGAAGAAGGGAAGCATTGGTGGAAATGCCTCAACAGGCGAGACCAGCCGTAATGCAAACTCGCTCGGCTTGAACCAGCTCTCCGAAGCTCCGAAATGTTCGTCTTCAGGTGCATGACTTCTGTTGCAACACATTTCCCACTGCTTTTCGCACGTGTGGTTGGCCTCAATTTGGCGCAACTTCGGCCATCGGGATCGCCGGGGTGTGGCTAGGTTCCGCGGGTGGAGCCGCATTTGACCAGCTAGCTGATCCTGGTAGGTTGGCCTTCACGGTGCTGCAACCTCTACCATCAGACATGGAACATGGCCGTCAACTGAGAGGAACATTTGCGCTTTGTTCAAGATCAGCAGGGCCCGAAACACGCGTTTTCGCAGACCCCAATTGTTGAATCGTGCGCCCCGTGGCCAATCGCATTTGTCTCGGTGCGAAGCCACGCTAGCAGGCATCATCAACTTTGAGACAAGCATATGTTAACAGCTCACTGGTTGTACAGACTGCAATCAACAGTCATCGATTACTAGGTACCGATGTCCCACGCTATCTTATACAGGAATCGACCACTTGAAAAAGTACACATGTGTGGTGTTCGAAAAGTGAAGCAAAATCAAGCTACGCAAGAGAAGCAAACCCACTCACCGGGACAACCTTGTGTGATGTTACATGCAAGGTCTAGAACAACAAATGTCTAATTCAACGACCGCTCTGCCACATCCTACAAGTCAAAGCGGCGTTTCAAACCACTGCACTGCCAACCCAACGAAATTACCTGCTCTCACACTTGCACGCCTCTCGCAATAATCTTTCAAACCCGCCTGTGACCCTGACTTCCGCTACCCGTGTGACCCGGCGCGCTCTTCCGTGGAATCGAGTAACGTGTTTCTGGTACTTGCATCAGCCTACACCAGCTATACATGCCAGTTTCCTGGGTACAAAAGCGCCAAAGCTTCCGTATACCAGCCTACAAACAAATCTCACTGCCCCTAAACACACCTTTTCGGCACACGAGCGTAAACGAAACGATCAATAGTAATGGCATATTGGAAATGTTGCCGCTGCGGCGCGACAAATACTCCTGACTCATGGTCATGTTGGTGCTGCTACCACAGCCCGCACCCGTGGGGCTGCGGATGTACCTGGTACAATAACCAGAGGCCACATCTGCCGCCAGACCAAGAAGACATGCGAGATGCTTGATGGAGCGTCATCAACCTCGAGGCATGAGCGCGTTCCTTGAGCTTGAAATAGTCTTGCACGAGAGCACCCGGATTGCTTTTCGGTAACATTTTTATGTAGAAGCTACGGTCTTCTGACTTTGGTTCACAATTGACCGAACAATCCTGGTGACTAGCTGATAGACGTGTGCTATGTGAAGTCATATTTGCGTTGCGTTGTTTGGCCCTATTTCCTGGTGCAGTCACTCGACCACAAATGAAGAGGCTGGCTTCTCATTAATATAAATACGTCTAGGCGCCTCGATAGACATCTTTTTAGCAATCACAAACACTGCAAATAACTATCTACTCAATCCCAGCGTCAAAGAAAGCCCTCAACATACAAAACCTTATCAACTTCACTCAACAGATCAGATTCCCAATTTCCTAGACAAGCAAGCAGCATGCCTATGATGTGGGCCTGTTGTCGGTGTGGCTGCACAAACGATGCCTCTAAGACACTGTGCTTGAGATGCGGTCACTCCTTTTACCCTGCAGGCCATGGCTGCTGGATGTTTGAAGGTTTCGACTACATGGTGAGACCTCCGCATCCAGATTGGAATGGATATCCTATGTAGCTCCCATAATTAATGAATTTGCTTCATTCCGGATCATCTAGTAAAAGTCACACTTATTTGCTAAATCTGCAGAACGATGTGTATGAATAAAATAAGGAGAAAGTAGAAGTCTTTCTTTCATATTTAGGGAAGTATATAACATCTGCCCAAATATCACAGCCTCCGAATCAAGTGCAGTTCTCAGTCACAAACCCATAAGACGTAGATTCAGTGCTCCATCAACTCTCATGTATTTTTGTTAAATGACAAAAAAAGACTCTGACATGCTCTTCTTACTCCATAGCTCTCCCTTCCCCTTTTTTTCCTTCTCCCCTTTTCCCCCTTGTCAAGCCCGGCCACCACCAATAATTTACACGCTCTTGGAAGCCCAACCGATCTGGTTAGTGCCGCCGTTGAAGACGACGAAAGCAGCCTTGAGCGCAACGTCACCGAAGATGGTGAAGCCGATGTCGCTGTTGGACTGGATGCCGCCGTAGCAGGTGGAGCTGGAGACGGGGGCGTAGTTGATGTAAGAACCGGGAATGACGATGCGGGCGCTGCCGACGCCGAAGGTGAAGCTGGGCAGGGTGGCGCTGCAAGGGAAAACGTAGCCGGCCTGGCTGTTGCTGTACGACGCGCCGCTGACCTTGGCGTAGTAGGCGTCGACGACGCTGTCGGGGAGGAGGAGGAGCGTGGTGCCGGTGTCGGCGATGCCGTTGATCGACGACGACTTGAAGGCGGCAGAGCCGACGGCGTAGCCGGAGGAGGTCCACTGCCACCAGCCGTTGGCGGAGGAGATGGAGGCGTAGGTGATGCTGCCGGTGTAGGCGGAGCTGTCGATGTAGCCGAAGTTGTATTTGCCGGCTGTTTTTGGTGGGTTTGTTAGCGGGTGGGTGGAGATTGGGGGGGGGGGGGAAGGGCAAAGGGCGGACGGAATA